ACTATANANAGAAGAGAAGANANANAAATTTTCTATATTCTAACTTTTTTTTTTTTTTTTTTATGACTAAGAATGGTAAGATAGCGCAAGATTCACAACTGTTCCAGAATTACAAGAATGATCATTCCTCCATTCCTATAGAGGAATCAAACAGTCAATCAAATAGAAAAGTCTTAGAGAATCATAGACAAAGAGTTTGCCTTTACGGTACTGAATTGATGAAATTACGATTGGCTTGGAAACAAGGTTACAAGAACAAAAAATCAATATCTAGATGATCAGAGTTTCAAAAAGTACATGAATTGCATTATCAAAAATGAAAACAAACAGCAACGAAAAGCATCAATTAAACAATGGAACCATACTTTAATGGAGAGGGAATTCTTGTTTGATTTATAAACAAAGGTCGTAGCCACGGGGGGTTTTTTGAGAATTATTGGAATCAAATTTTTTCTTTTTTGTTATCAAATTCTTCTATCTTTACTTTATTAATTTTTACTTCTGTATAGTTTTCAATGTTTATTTACACGAAATTATCATGCCGGCGGAGTTGTGCAGAAGGAAATAATTCCCTTGTCATTTGATCCGTCACAAGGTTTTGGCAATTCCCCGCGAAAAACGCAACCGTGAAATCCTGCAAATCCATCGACCGACACTGGCGTTATCATGGTCAACTAAGCAAACGATAAAAAAAGACAAGCGGTCAAAAGAGATGGTCAGCAGAAAAACAAACAAGAATCGGGTTACGAAAGAATTGTTAAAAAACGATGGTCTATGAAAACATTGTTTTTAATTGAAATTAGTTCACTCGATCGCTTCTTAAAAAATCATTTGATAATTAACAAGGTGTTCTCTCCAATCCCCCACACCCATCTTGCATCGAAACATGCTCCTCCTCTAATTCTCCTCCCTTGCCTCCGCCCATTGTTACTTCTTTCCATCTTTCTACCCTAGTGGGGGAGCTCGGGATACATATTGGTTGATATTTTATCTCATCACAATCATAATCATAATCATAATTAAGTCCATCTATCACATCACCTTTACCGAGTTTTGGAATTGCATATTTAAAGGCTTGTTGAAGCAGCTTATTCCTAACTTTTTCTTCATATCTCTTCACCTTTTTCCACTTTCAATTCACTTGCTTTTACCAGCACTTGTTTATTCTGTCATTACTTCCTTTTCCTCTCTTATCCTCTGCTTAAGTCATATATATATATACACACCTTTTCGTCCGACCTTTTTCTATATCTTCTCGTTCAACATTCACTAATTATACTTGTCCTTCATATTATTATATTATAATATTTTTATTTCTATATACTTTCAAATTTTTCTTTACTTTTTGTTCTTCTTGGTGAATTGAGTTGCTTTCTCCTTGTCTTTCTATCCGTCTGCATTTTTCTATTGTTTTCGGGCTGTTTCCTTATTAGTGTACCTCTTCACTTTTTTTTTTTTTTTTGTTTTGTCTTCGGCAATTCGGGTTTTCTTTCTCGGTGTGAATTTTTACCTTCATTCCGCTATTGGCATATACGTTTCATATTCCCGTTGGTGGTGTGGTGATTTGAATTTGTTTGTCTCTTCTTCCTCTTGTTAGAAAGCGACAACACATCTTTTTACTAAGATCGAATAAACATCACATTTGGTGTAAAAGGATTCATTGGTCTCCTTTTTTTATCTTTTTTATTTTTCCTTCTTCATTTTGTATAAAAGAAGGTCCAGTTTATCCTTATCTTCTTATTTACTTTTCTTTCATTTCATTTCACTTCTTTTTCTACTTCTTTTTTTTTTTTCGTCTTCTTCCTTTGTCTTATTCTGTTCAAAGGAATTTAAAAAAGGCTTTCATTGGTTCTTCAACTAAACTTTGAAAACTCACTTCTTTGTCTCCACTTTTTTTTTGTTGCCTCTTTGCTCCTTTTTATTTATTTGTTTCTTATATTTATTATTTCTATTCCTACTTAATTTCTTACATTCGTTTGTTTCGCATTTTCATTCCTCTTTCTTTTTCTTTTTCTTTTCCTTTTTTGTTTCTATTCTTTCTCTGTTGGCCTATACTTGTTCTTTTTTGTGTAAGCATCTCTCTGGTCGCTTCTGGATTGATACATACCTCAAAGGTTTTGTAGTCGTCTTTTCTTACTTTCCCACACATTTCCCTTGTTTCTTTGCCAAAAATCTAGGTTTTATTTTTCCTTTTTTCATCAGCTCCCTTATTTTGACTTATCGTGTATGTTCATTCGAATCTCCGTCATGGTTCTCTTCTAAACTTTTCCCCGATTTCTGTTTCAGGAGTGTGCTATACTCTTACACTTGACGTCTCTTTTGTTAGTTATTTTCGAACGCAACTACGATTCTCCATAAACTCTGTTCTCCTTTAAAACCACGTGGCTTTTTGCATTCTTAATAAGTTTCTCGATATTTTGTTCAAGAGTTAGTATTGGTTCAAAAGGGATACATTTTCTTTTTTTTTTGTCTATTCTAATTCGCTTTGTTTCCTCTTATTTTCACGGCATCTTTTTTTTAATAAACTTCTAGTTTCTTGGTTTCTTTTTTTTTTCGCAAAATGTCTAAAATCAATATTCGAGCTTTGCTTGATGCTTTTTCTACTGTTATCCTGTCTATCTATCCGCTTGCTCAAAAGGCGAACCAGCCTTTTCATTCACACACATTGCCTTTGAATCAGTTCTTATACGAAACCATTCGTCGTAGTCATACCGATTACACCACTCTGATACTTGCTTTATACTACTTTATAAGCTTTCGTGAACGGGCTTTTGTTGAACCCGAAAAGTACATCCCTTTACTTTGCGGTCGTCGTCTGTTTTTGGTTTGCTTGATAGCAGCAACCAAATTTCTACATGACCGTAGCTTTAGCAACCGCGCCTGGTCTAGACTTTCTCAATTACCCGTTGATAAACTGCTTATCCTTGAGCGCTTATTTTACCAAGGCATTGATTATCGCCTTCTTGTTGCTAAACATGTGTTTGCACGCTGGTCTTTATTGATTGGTGAATGTTGCATGCAAGCAACTTCTTGCTTGTCAAACTCTGCTGACCCTCCTTTGGATTTTCGCAAGTTTTCGCCTTATTGGATATCTTTGTTTTCCAATATTCACTCTTCTTTAAACGATTTTCTCTCCATTGCTTATATCACAAAGATTGCCCAGCAAAGGATGAACAACCGGATGGCAGCCATGCATCGCATGAATACGTGCTTTTCTCAACAAGTCCCAACTTCGCCGGAGAGCTCTACCTCCACAAGTCCCTCATCAACTCCCATTATGGACCAGTTCAGTCCAAGTACCAACTTTATTGCTCCTAACTATGGCCTACAGACGTCTGCTATTCAACCTCCTATCCCTGCTAACTATCCCACTTGCCCAAGATGGTTGAGTCGACCGAATGTAAATGCGCCCACTCAGTTTGCCATGCCTGCTCAAACACCTTTTGTCAGACAACCAAATTTACCACCCACCCCGTCCTCTCCCCAGCCTATGTCATACAGACCAGTGCAACCTGAAAGCTTTCTGATAGAAACTCCCCTTTCGTCAGCTCAACCAATGGCACCCCTTCCATTCAACACATCTCATGTACATCCTCTTCCTTCTACGTTTCATAATGATAGAAATGGCCCTTTTTCTAAAATAATGCCAGAGCCTGTGACCGCCCACTCAGCAGTTCCAGTTAAAAAAGTGAGCATTCCTATGTTAATATCGCAGCAGAAAAGGCCTTTCAACGATGTCATTACTATTTCTCCAAGTGTTCCATCTGTAAAGCGCAATCGTCTCGTTTGATGAAGAATTGCTTGGTTTGTTACATGTATAAGTTTTCAAAATTCATACGTCTTCCTTTTTAATTATAGAAAACCTTTAATCTTCTCTCCTTATTAGGTTATTTCATATACTTTTTACTGAACTCTATGTCGAAATACGTTTGTATATGTGTATATATTTATGTGCTTAGACAGCATATAACTTGGAATAGGGACTTTGTTATTTTCTTTTCTTTTTTCGTTTTTATCTTTATTTTTTAGCCATGTGTTTTTTTCAAAACAAGGACTATTTTATGATTTTATTACATTTTCTTTCTTTTTGTTTCCCTTTTCCATAGTACAATAGAAGAATAGTAAGCCTTTATCAGGTTGCCCAACATTAACAACTATCGTCATTACGAATGAAACTTACTCATTTAAGCTGAAAAAAAAAAAAAACCTCTTGAGTACTAATGGTAAGAGGGTCCAATATCCCATTCTGGCGTATTGTTGGTTTTCGAACTGTAAACAAACAAAAGTCGTACCCCTAATGACACAGTAGCTTGAACAACAGGATACGGTAGCAACAAACATGTTAGTAGCAAACTTTATAAGGCTCTAGATTTTGCTTAAAATGCAAATGTACGAACTTCAAAAGAAGACCTTTTCTTCCAAGTCAAAAAGTAAGGGCAATTTCTATACAAGAATGTGTTGATTGATTTGATTAAATCAATAAAATATAAAATACATCTTTTTCGTTTTTTTTTTTTTCATATGGATTATTTAGGGAGCAGCACGGAGACCTCTATTAATAGGAGATACTTCACGTATCCTTGCAAAGTTACCTTTCCCCAATACCCCCTGCACCAACTTGATCCCCAGTTTTCCTGTTTTTGGCTTGTAACTCTATTGTATGAACACAGTTTCTGAAGTTGGACCTTGGGAGCTTGGTCTTTCCTTGGGATCAGAAAGGCAAAACAGTACTCGCTTGGCGAAGCACAAGCAGACTGGGCAGCTTGCGGTCGTCAAACCATTATTGGGATGGTCTCAATATACGCCAAGCCAGCAGACAAGCATAGAAAGTGAGCTTGTCTTGCTGCGATTGATTGAACATCCCAATGTCTTACAGCTTATCGATGTTATTACCCAACAAGACCAACTCTATGTTGTTGTTGAGTACATGCCAGGAGGAGAGCTTTTTGACTGTATGCTCCGAAAAGGAAGCTTCTCTGAAGAAACTGCAGCAAAGTTTTTGTGGCAGATTCTTTACGGTTTAGAATATTGTCATAAACTTCATATCTGTCATCGGGATCTTAAACCAGAAAATTTATTTTTAGACGCCCATGGTTCTATTAAGATTGCAGAATTCGGGATGGCTTCCGTTCAACAACCTGGTAAATTGTTGCAAACATCTTGTGGCTCTCCACATTACGCCTCCCCTGAAATCATCATGGGACGCCCATATAATGGTTGCGCAAGTGACATTTGGTCTTGTGGTGTGATACTGTTTGCTTTGTTAACTGGTCGATTACCGTTTGACGATGATAATATACGCTCTTTACTCTTGAAGGTTTGTGATGGCCATTTTGAAATGCCGAGTGACATTTCCCCTCAAGCCCAACACTTACTATATCGTATGCTTGACGTGAATCCTTCTACTCGAATGACTATGGAACAGATTCGTGAACATCCCTTCGTCAGCTATTTAGCCAAGCCCAATATTTCTATACCTATCGTATCAGCACCTATTCAACCTGTTGACCCTCTCATTGTACAACATCTTTCTTTACTTTTTTGTTGTTCAGAAAATCCTATGTCTTTATATGAAAGTTTGGCTTCACAATCACCTCTTCTCGAGAAGACCTTATACACGCTGCTGAGCCGGCACTTGCATCCCCCTTCTACCGCTGCTATTGATCGCAATCGTGCTGTCGTCAATGACTTACTTGGTACAGAGGCCGCAAAAAATTATATCGTTGATGAGGAAGACAAGAACAGAAATGAAACTGAAAAAGTAGTTCAAGGTCCATCATCAACCCTATTTCCCGCTACTTACGTTGCCGATCCCATATCACGTCCAGCAACTTCTGCCTCCCCTTTTTTTCCGTCCATGGCTAGTGCTGGAGTTAAATATCCTTATACTCTCAATAATCAGTCTTCTTTCTTTCACCGCCCCGCTACCTCTACTTCCGCTATGCCGCAAATTCCTAAATCTGTAACACCTGGTCTGGCTACTCAATATTCTCACATTCCTCCAGTAATACCAAGTTTGCGTTCGACTACGAACGTGCAGCATCCCTTTGCCGTTCCAAATAGTGACCCCGAGAGTTCCGGTAATCGCCGAGCTGTCTCTCTAGACATGTCTAATGACTTTCCAGGAAACGAATCTGAATTACAATTAAAGTCTGGCACCCCTTTTTCATATGTTAATGGTTCAGGTGACATGGGTCCTCCTAAGAGACGTGTCGTTTCCAGGTTGTCGGAGTATAACAATAAAACACCCATGGGTTATTCAGCTGCTAACTCTGGCAATTCGAAAACAGCTCGCTTCCAAGTTCTTCCAGACTCAACTCCATCTAACGAAAATTATGCTCATAATCAACCACTAACTAATCCCCATTACGCAGCGTCTCGCAGAGTTCGTACACCCAGCGGTGAACGCATGGTTCCTGTGGACATGGTTTCCTCTATGGGAAGTTATGACTATATCAATGTTCCTAAGCAACGCCGCCAGTCACTATTTACTCAATCAGCTTCTCAAAAGAAGCTTTCTGGGTCTCCATTTCAACCTAAGAGATCATTCTTAAGAAGGCTTTTCAGTAGCGAGCCGTCTTGCAAGTGCATTTATGCCAGCCTTAGTGCAGCTGAACTTGAGTACGAAATCCTTGAAGTTCTTAGACGCTGGCAGTTGCTGGGAGTTGGTATTGCTGATATTTTTTATGATGCAGTGAGCGTTTCGATCAGTGCTCGTATAAAACGTCAGAACTCCCTTAACCTCAAGGGATTAAGATTTCGAGTTTCTGTCCTTACTGAATATTTTGGTTCTCAAGCCGTATTTGTTTTGGAAAGTGGTTCTTCTTCCACATTTGACCACTTAGCCACTGAATTTCAACTAATTTTCGAAGATAAGGGATTTATAGATAATCTAGAGCCTTCTTATTTTCAATCTGTTGCCCCTCGTCCATCTTCGAGATTTAGTGTAACGAACAGTCCTTTTGCTGCTTTTCGTCAACGCCAGTCTATTCAAAGTTGAAAATTCCTTTTTTTATCATACTACAGAATTTACGATTTGACTCCTCCATACGTTTGTCGTTCTTTTAATCTCTTAGTTTTCGCTTATAATTTCTATGGTACGAGTTGACGTGAACCAGGTATTCCCTTTATAACCCTTTTTTGTTGCTTTTTGGGAACCAACTACAATAATTTTTTGCAATGTAATTTTGGATCGGATTAACACTCGCCGTTTGTTGGCTGTTAGGTTTTGAATCGTTTTCTTCACTTCATTCTCCGTTTTCGACACAGTTGAATACAATATAAGAACCTTCTTTTTTATTATAATGTAATCGATGAAGAACCTTGAGAATACTCTCGCTTTTTTAAGATTCACAATGGAGCTCTCTTTTACTTTTTGCTTTGCAGTCTTTTTGTTTATTTTTTTTTTTTTTTTTTTTTTTACCTTTTTACCCTCTAACCACTATTTCCTTTTCGTCTTTTATTTCTTGCTACCGATGGTTTTAAGAATAACTTCTCGTTCATCACTAAGGATTTATTTACTGTTATAATTTTTAATAAAACGGATGTTAAACTATATAAATGTTTGAAATAAGAATTTTACCTTCCCTTATATACTAAATCTTACATATACATGCTCAAGAAGGTAGGGTTTGAGTATATGCTGGTGTCTGTCAAAGGGTAACAAAAAGCTAGTAGCTTCAGAATTTGTAGGTGTATAGTAATGATCTACAAGTAAAGAATTACTGAAACATTACGAAAAGAAGAAAAAAGCTATGTCTTTTATTCTAGTTTATTACCAAAGTTTCACTATAAGTGCGTACACCCACACTTACTATTTCATCTCAAGTCTAAAAACACTTGATAAAATCCATTTCAAGTCTTAGTGAGTAAACTTGTAAAGATGACTCAAGTAGAATTACAAACAAGTTTAGTAAGATCAATACATTGATCGAACTTGTCTAACATTTCTGTAGGGAAAAATTTTGTTTGAGCTTTACACTGAGCACGCTCCAAAAGTATGAATGATGGAAATTAGATACTTTTTATGATTTGTATTTAGGGAACTAACTTTGGAAAGACTTGTCAAAACTTTTATACTTTAGCAAAAGAAGGATATTATGATGGTGTTCTTGTACGTATGCAAGCGAAGGATTTCGTTTATAGGGATGATCATGGAGAATACAAACATGGGTTATATAGCCTGTCAGTTCTTTCTTTCTCTTGTGTGAATGATCTTTTATGAAGTAGCTAACGTGGACTCAGTTCCATAGAATAATTCCTGATTTTATGATTCAAGGCGGAGATCCTACTGGCACTGGTCGAGGCGGTACTTCTATTTATGGGTAAGTTTTTTTAAATGTTTTATTTGCTATGTATTTTTTTCTCACAGATTAGAGATTCATTTGAGGATGAGATTCATCCTGAATTGCACCATACGGGAGCGGGTATTTTATCCATGGCAAATGCTGGACCAAATACGAATGGATCTCAAGTATGCTTATTTTTTTAATATCACTCTACTTCGTACTAACCAGCAGTTTTTCATTACATTGGCACCCACACCTTGGTTGAATGGTAAACACACTATATTCGGGCGAGTTCAAAGTGGACTCGGTGTTTGCAAAAGAATGGGTCTTGTTCGAACGGATTCCTCTGACCGTCCTATTGAACAAGTACGAATTTTAAAAGCCATCGCTCTTTGAAGTAAGAGAAGCGCTTTCTGTGTTTACGGTTCCATTTTTCTGACTTTTAAACCCAATAAATGGAAATATGATAACTTTCTCAATATTTGTCCCATCTCAGGTTGTATCTAAAAATTCGAAAAAGTCAGAATGCCATCTTTTTTTAATTTGCATTACCGGGAATGCAGGGATATGGATATTTCTGAAATTCATTCAAAAGCTGAATAAATTTGATTTGGTGTTTCAACCTTTTTTTTCCCTTGGTATTTAGTCTAAAACCGATTTCTATCACACAGATGCTCAAGCATGTTGACCTGCCCTTTTTCAGTAGGAGCTGGAAGGAAGAATTAGAAAGTAAAAACTTGAAATTACTCTCAAGGTCTCTCTTTGTTCTTGCAATTCTGCCGTTTCCTTCTATGTTTACTACAGCTGCTTTTTTATCGAAAGTTTCGACCAATGATCTCAAAGGTCCTCGTTTCCGGAGGCCATCTCGCTTTAAAGAATAGAAATGGCCGCTGATATTCAAGACCCTATCCATGCCAATCTTCTAATTTCTCACATTTTTGTAAGAATTCCAGGAATCTGTATTTACCGTATTCGAAGGAACCTCCTTAAATAGTAATGTTTGGCAGCTGCTGAGAATGTTTCTGCGTTTCTATTTACATGCAAGATGGCATTTTTGGAAGGAATCCACCTTTTTCGCTCGTTGACACGAGGAAAATCCTTCCAAAAAGAAATAAAAAATAATAATATACAGAAAGATACTGGTTCTCATGCTTTTATTGAAGCGAACAGTGTAAAAACACCTTACACAGAATATGCGAGTATTTTAAAAGAATTGACTAGCACAGAGTTAAAATATGTATTAGAACTAAAGAAGATATTAAACGTAATTAAGAGAGATTTTTGCTTGCAGCTGACGTTAAACATACTTACTAACATTGTATTTTTGTTTAGGAAATCATACTTCCAATTGAGAGCCAAAGCTTGAGCCAAGAAGCAATAGGAATCTGCACATGTGTAAAAACGTTGACTCGGTTTCATGGTATTTTACATGGCGAAATGCTAATTACTAGATCACCAGTCTTGCTTCTTCTAAAATATTTACCAGTGTTTCGTGATGTGTATCAGATGTACACGATCAACTTGGCTGGAATATATGAAGTAGAGAAAGCTGCTTCTCCATATACCATTTGCGGAAATCGGTTGCTTATTCCACTGCAACATTTGTTGCGATACCCCATGCATCTAGCTCGAATTTGTAAATTACTTCAAAAGCACCCTTGGTTGGAAAAAAATTTGTATATGTTCGTGCAAGCATTAGAAGGGTTTAAACAGTTATGCACATTTATAGACGAAGAAAAAGGCCGTGATGAAGGTAACCATCTTCTAAAGGATCTTTGCAGAAACCAAGGCATCGCACTTGATATTCCTCGTCATATTCGATTTAAAGGACTGATAGTCGTCGCTAAACCTAAAGTTTATGACTTTAATGCATGCGTCTTTTGCGATGATGGATTAATTGTTTGGACAAAGCTCTTAGACACGAAAGAGATGACGCCCATCTCTATTGAGCAGTGTTTATACGTGTCACAAATATCCTTGTCTGTAGTAGTGGTTACCCTTACATTGAAGGGCCAGCTGTTAAAACGACATTTAGCCTTGCATACCTTGGGCGCATCTGTTTTTCTGAAATGGTATCAACAGAGAAGTAAACTTGATAGCCCAAAATCAAATAACTTCTTCTAAAACCTAATGAACCGATGAAACATTTTTCAGGAACATTTCCTTTTTCCTTTTTTATTTTTTATTTCTTTTATTTTTTGAAGTTTTCCTTATCTGAAGTGAAAGTAAGAACTGACTGTTGCTGATTTTTACAGCTTTTGAACCTATTTATTGTTACTTACTTCTTGGCTGTATTATTACTTTTCTTTTCTTTTCTTTTTCCTCTAAAAGAAAGGATGAAACAACTTACAAATCATTATATCCATCAAAGCTATGTTAGCCGTTTCAAATTTACCTTTCTTTCGTTTCCTTTTTCCTTAACGTCTCTCAATCCTTTGCTAGTTGCTTCCTTAATAAAAATCTGTCGTTTCCTAATATCTCATAAATTTTTTTCTCTGTTACTAATTTAAACTAACTAGCTCGTCGGAACAATAAACATTCATACATGACTTTTCACTGGCGTCTTCGAAAGGTGGTTCGAAATAAGCAGTAAAATCATGAATCCTGACTATTCTAATTTATTTTTGTTTCCCCGTTCTCGTTCTTTTTTCTTGACAAAAACGGCCATACCCTTCATCGCCCTACAAACCCCATTATTATCATAAAAAATTATTTAATCCTCGTCATTAGAATTATCTCCATCAAGAAGACTAGCATAAGATGTAGCTGATGAAAGTGACCGACCTTTACACTTTTCCATATGTGCTGCATATCGGGAAGCTGCTATTTCACGCCGGCAAGAAAGACATTGATAATATGGTATGCTAGAGGGTGTTTGGATATTGTTTGCATAAATATCGAAACCAGGTTTGGTACAATGTTGTCGGCAATAAGTATTACATCTCTGGCACTTTTGTAATGCAAGCTTACTCATTCTATGGATCCTTTGAGTTAATTCATGAGTATAATCTCGAAGTAAGTCTTCAAATATAGAACAAGACTAAATTTAGAAATGTTAGAGACATCAAGGATATAAACTATAATGAGAATAAAATCAATTCCATCTAGCGATAACTTACGATTGCTGCAAGAGAGACAGGTTGCATAGTCATAGTGATCCTCAATCGCTTAAGGAAGATTTCAGTCGGTGGTTTTTATTGTAAATAGATGAATCGAGCAAGATCGTTGCGAAAAACAAACCATAAAAGAACCAAAAATGAGCCAGGTATATGTATTTAATCGTTTTCTTTTAATTTATTGTCTTTTTCTTTAGTTTAGTTTAGTATAATTTCAGAGTCGGATAAATAGTGATTTCAGTTTCTTGAAAAAATAACGATTGGTAAGAAATACTTTATAATTGAAATTTTGTATCAGATCAAGACTTTTCAAAAATTCGTTTCAAAGTAAACAGCAATAAAAATCAAAAAGAAAAACTCAAAAGTCGAAAAACGGTGCTATAATCAAGCATTCAAATAAACCAAACTTCTCTAGAAACGAGCTACCGAAGATGGTTTTGGTATTTTTCTCTTACAAAAAGAAAACTTGCTGAAGTCTCAAGACTTAATTTTCATTTGTATATTTATTATAAGCACCTTACAGTGTTTCTTTTATAGGTCTAAATTTCTATGATTTTATTAAAAAAAGCAATTAAAATACAGACTCGTGCTTACCAAAACAGATAAAAAGGAAAATGAAATAAAATAAAATTATAATGACAAACAACATAATCGACTCTTCCAAATAAATAATAGAATGTTGAAGAGTCAACCAACATAAAGTATAGACAGCATTAAAATGGCAAAAGCAAGTAAAACAATTATGTCTAAAGCAACAAATGAACGACATTATATAGAATAGATTAGGAACATAATCATTTGGGAATGAAATGTTTGCAAATTATAGATCACACACGAAGCAACAAAAGAAAGTAAACATATACCATAACATATGATCTTTTTTTCCATAAGCTCAGCCTTCTGGATATTCAAATTAATCATTCACGCTAAAAACCAACAACATCAGCGGGAACTTCAGATATTGAGTAACCATTATGCTCATCAGGCACAGTCTGGATTATTGCTGTGGGACTACGCACAATGGAATCATTGGCATTATTAATAGTGGATGGACATATTTTAAAACTGTTAGCGTCATCGATCAAGTTATTAAATAACCATAGATGAATCTTTCCATCCTCTGAGCCACTTATTACCTCGCAATCTCCCAAAGCCACAGAAGTCACAGGTCCAGAATTACTTCTCAGCGTCTGAACACATTGACAAGCTTCCCAGACTTTGACTGCTCCATCATGTGCACCAGAGACAAGACGTAGTTGATCCGAAGCAATCTCCCATACGCCCTCTATATGACCAAACAAAGTGTGAACACATTTCCACTTTTCAATATCCCATTGTTTAATTGTACCATCTAAAGCACAAGAGAACAACCGATTGCCTGTCAACGCTAAGCTTTGGACAGGTCCTATGTGAGCATTGAAAGTGTATAAACACATATTTGTTTCTAGAGACCACACTTTAATTGAACAGTCATCCGATGCGGAGAAAACGAGACCTAACTCGCGATGGATACGCACAGAATTCACTGGCCCCGTATGACCTCTTAAAGTAATACGTTTTCCTCCGGTAAAATGCCATAGCTTTACGGTATGATCTGCACTGCCCGACACTAAAAGTGTGGAATCAAAAGATAGGGAGAGAACGGTGTCGGTGTGCCCGTGTAAAGTAGATATACATTCGCCGGTACGATAGTTCCAAATTCGAATGGTTTTATCCATTGACCCACTAATTAGCTTACATTTATCGAATTGTAAGCAGGTAACGCCACCGCTGTGACCTTCTAAAAGACCGATTTGGCGAAATGTAGTAAGGTCCCAAAGGCGAACAGTCGCATCATAGCTTCCACTAGCTAAAACATTCCTTTGAAGCTGCAAACACATGATTCCATCATTGTGTCCATTTATTATAACCTGACGACATCGACCATGGCGCCAATTACACTCAATTCGACAGCGCTCTGCATATACTTCCTTCCACGGACGTGTTTTTAAAGGAGGCGAGGAAGCTTTCTCTGAAAACTCGGGCAAAGAATTATGCTTTTCGAGGGCTGCTGACGAATCAATTAAGGGAGCGGGTTCGGTGCGCAGTCGCTTTGTGGAAATACCGGATGTATTGCTATCTGGATGACATCGTTTAGTAAGAGTATCATAGCGTTTTTGGATAGATGCCTTGGTAGCGTAGAGGAGCTTTCGTTCTAACAAAGGTAAACCCCAGCCGCATTTTTCACATTTTCGATTGATATGTTGCTCGCACATACGATGCCATATAATATCGTCATCAGCAAGCTCCTTCCATTGCCTACAAACCTGAGCAGCCTGACATAGGCTGCGAGCATCTAAAAAGGATAAAATACGGAAAGAGATTTCAGGAGGGAGAATTGAAAGGAAGTCAAGACGGACAAGGGTATCTAGGGTACTGGAAGCAAAGGATAGCAAAGAAGGACAGCAGCGATTTAGTATATTTTCTAAGGCAACTTTTCGTTCTTGTATAGAGGCGTCTGAAAATGTAGAGCAAATTGTATTCACTCGACGACGGCCTGTATCATCGAGCTTTACCAGATCCTCGTTGACTTTTTCCATAAAGAGAATTAATGGTAATATTTCTTCTTTTGTTCGTAAACCGTTAATTCCAACAACTCGGAGGCTATCGGATGTTTGGAGAAGATACCACTACAAGGATACTTGATAATTGGGATCCGTAAAAAATTGATATGATAGAATAAAATAAAAGAAACTTTTTTAAGTATCTCTATCAATCCCAATCATTCACAATACAAAGAAGGCAAGATTCCAAGGATCAGTTTATTTGCCTGCAACAAAACAAAATAGAAACAGAATTCGATAATTATTAGTATTTCACAGGTTCAAAGTGATTAGTCGAAATCAAATTCCTTCCACAAAGAAAAACTCAACGAAAAAAAAACTGAATTGGGGAATACAAGCTTGGACTTTGGCAGACTTCTTTTTAAACAGATACGTCTTGCCTATTACAGAGCAAAACCGTAAATGCAAGATTTAATAAATCTTTTCAAGTAAGATGAAGGAAGTTTTCAGGAATAATCCACAAATCAATTAATTTGTATAACCCGATAGTCCAAAATGCTGAAAGTGGATGATGGATCAAGAGAATTTGAGCCGAACTCGAGTTGTATATAATCTCGTTGTTGCCTGACATGATAGGTAACAATCAAGCAATCGGCATTCCCCAACACTGAGTGATCCCAGTAACATTGTTGCCTCCTGGGACTCTTTTAAAAGGGTAAGGTAACATAAATGCTGTCAAATTTTGTCGGTCACTTCAAAGCGTCACCTCGTTTTGAAAAAAGTCAAATAATTGCACAATCTTCCGTGGATTTCATTGCAGAAATTCCTCTTAGAAGTAACAAACGTCGCAATTAAGCACGATTAAATTATTGATAGGTGCGAATATGATTGAACGAAAGGCATCTAATGATAGCGAATTCCATGATTGGTAATTTAGCAATCGTTGATAGAAGCTCATCAACATAGTACACCTAAAATTCGCAGACGTGCATTCGAATTACGTAAAGTGCTAAATTAAGTTTTTAAATGAGCACTTAATTCAAGTTGAGTCTGAGATTCAAAAAAAAGAAGTCGCAATGGGTGTGGGCGTTATTTCGATTGCCGCATGTGTTAATCATACAGCATAAGTTTTCTATCACGCGAAGGGGCAATGCGTGCTTCTGTATGAGATGAGCGTTTCGCCCCCTTCGGCAAAAGTACGGATAGAAAAAGCTAAATGCTTATGTGAGAGAAACTAAGCGTTCATACTTGGAGAGGGGCTTCTTGGAATACACGAACGAATAGAGTGGAGAGCATAATCTTGACTGCAATTCAAACCGTCGTTGGTTTTGTTTCAGAAGCGAAAGAAAATACCAAATTAAAATACAATATAAACTAAAAGAAAGTATGATAGGATAAAGTGTAAAGGACTAGTCATAAAAAATATATATATATATATATATATACTTTTATTTCTTTACGATAAACAAGCTGGCTATCAGCTATTTACTCGCCTCTTTGAATCTCCCCTATCTGGCACATTTGCTCTTCATTTCTTATTCCTGAAGATAATACATGGGAGAAGAAGGGCAAGAGTTTGTTTTAGGGAAAGGTATCTAGGAAAAATTGAGACAGCATTTACTAAGCATATACCCATATATAAATACATAGTGATTGTTTATTTTATCAATTTTTTATTTTTTCTATATAAAGCCTCTCGTTCCGTTTCCATAGAAATGAGTTTCATTCGAATCCTTATTATTTGTACCTATTTATATACGCATGGACGCGTTGTTTCGTTTTTTTTAATGAATTGAAAAGGGATACAAATGATGAGCTTGATATTATCGTGAATAAGTTTCATCAGTTAGCCAAAAAACGACAGATGAATAGCATCATCCATTTGTTGCAACTACAAGATACTTTGCTTTTGAAAGCATCCCAAACACGACGCGTAAATGAAGATCCTTCAGAGATTTTGGTTAATCTTCGGCAAGAAGAGAAAATCCACTTATTAGAATAGAATAGGATGAAACGCGTAATTCTTAATCATTATGCATGGTTTGTTTACCTGGTTTTAAAATTCAGGTGTTACCGAAAGTTGTGTTGTTACTTCACCATCATCCTTTACCCTTTCACCTAGTGGTGGTGTGCACTGGCAAAAGCCCACTGTAGGGAACACTTAAAGCAATAGCACTTGAAAAGTCAACAGCAAAGGTTGGTCTTCCACCAAATCCTTATGTTGAATCGACGATTAACTATCCACCTTCCGTTCTATGCAAATCAAAATCCTTCTCCATCGTGGATTTGGCGTTACTTTTCTCCTAAATCCCGAATTGGCTTATTTTTTTATGTATCGCTAATTATACTTGGGACTTTAATTATGACATTTAAAACTATGAAATTGAACACCTCGCAATGCTTCACTCCTGTTCCATTGGTGGGAGCTGATCCCTTAAGCAATTTAAATCACTTAATTATTATTGCTGGACACGCTGTCTGGTTGGGGGGATCTTCTCAGGGACAAGAGGATAGCGAATGGATTTTAGAGCCATACCAAAAAGGAGAGGGAAAAGTATTTGCAGAACATGCCCGTAAAGGCTTGAACTTGCTTGAGCAAGACGAATCTTCACTTTTAGTCTTCTCAGGTGGACAGACTCGTCCAAATGCTGGTCCATATTCTGAAGCCCAGTCCTATTACTTACTTTCCAAGTCGATGAATGATGATGCCTTTTTATTATCGCGGAGGACCACCGAAGAGTTTGCTCGAGATAGCCTAGAAAACGTCCTCTTTTCAATTGCCAGATTTCATGAAGTAACCGGGCATTATCCTGAGAAAATAACAGTTGTCTCTTTTGAGTTCAAACGAGAGAGGTTCCTAAATTTACATAGGGAGGCTATTCGTTTTCCAAGTCAACACTTTTACTTCGTTGGTATAGACCCAGAAGGCGGCGTCCCTCAAGCTAGCTATGATGCAGAAAAAAATAATGCCCTTCTCCCTTTCACAGAAGATCCTTACGCTTGTGTACATTCTTTGTTGGTGCGAAAAAGAAGAGAACGTAACCCTTATCGAAGACAACATTCTTATCTTATTACATGCCCCGAACTAATTCCTTTAATTGAATATTGCCCTTCAAAAAGTTCTAAATACTACTCAGGAAAATTACCTTGGTAATTTATTACAACCACGTCTCAATTATTTCACTTTTTTTTTTTTTTTTTTCTTTCAAAGGCTGGTGGTATATGTTCAAACACTTATTGCTTTTATGTAGATACATTTTCTTTTCATCTTTTGTTTACGTACAAAAATAAGACCATTCTTTTTGTCCAATCTTATTATATATAAAAAACTAGAAATAAAAAAAAAGACAAAACGGCATAATTTTGGATTAATATGTGTTCATTTCAGCATAAAGTACGATTTCAATAGAGCTCGAATTTGTGTTTGTCATATCTAGTAAACTAACTAGAAAGTCGTAAAAAGTTATGGATTTTCTGGTAGATCTATTATCGTTAGAATATGTCACACAATATAGCAAATTATCTCTTTACCTCGTATGGTTTTTCCATTAGCAAACAATGTCCTGCTTCAACAACTTGAAAAGAAAAGTCTCCTTGGATGTCTTGATATAGTTCCTTTTCTGATGAAGGAGAGAGAGAGTCCTGATGATGTGAAACTTTATTAGTAAATCTATTTTTTTAAAAAAAAATACATACCTCATTGCCTGTTATAATTAAAGTAGGTACCGAAGGAAAAGTAAAGGAAGATGCGAGAACGCTTTCAATACCCATCAGCATCATCTTCCATACATAAGTATCACTTTCACGATTCCATATCCAAAGTTGTGCACGTTGAGCCTGAGTAGCTTTACTAGAGAAACATCGGTTCACCGATGGACTTTTGAGACCCTGAAAACGGTCAAAAAGTCGGTACAAACTGAAAATAGGTGAAGGGATTTTCTTGATTCTTTGAACTAACTCAAGTTCACTTTTGTTAAAACAGTTTTTAGGAGCAAGCAAAACAAGAGCCTCACATTTTTTTCCCAACCTTTTGGCTAATCGAGCAGCAATGCTCGTACCCATGGAATGCCCGACAAGTACAATGGAGTCAGAAGGAAAAATATGCTTTTCAATGACTTTTTCAACAATTGTAGTCAATCCCTCCGTGGACAATTCACGAGGTGATCGTCCTAAATGGGAATTAAAGGCACGTTTTGACAGTCCGCATCCACAGTAATCCAGTGAAAACACGGTATATTCAGGCGGAATTAGATTGATTAACCCTTCAAACTGAGCCATTTGGCCGCCCAAACCATGAAGGAAGACAAATGTCTTTGAAGAGCGACCAGTATTCTTGTCGAAACTTGTGTCAGCTGCCGTGCGCAAGTAATACGCCACTTGATACTGATAATCTAATCGGCAATTCTCTTCTACGTTCTTTGATAAATCTGTAGCAAAGAAGAATGAGTTGGGATCGGCTTGCTTGTTTAAATGAGAACGCATTTGTTCTTTCTGCTGATCCACATACATTTGAAACTTGACAGCTAGATAGGCATCGTGTAAATAAAGGGAAAGAAGGAACAATATAGCTATTCCGAGTAGGAAGAACAAAAGGGCAATCATGCTCGAATGTTTGAAGTGAGTAAACAAAGCTTTCTTTCTCTAACAAATAAAAAAACGAGTAAGAATTTACCAATTCGACTCCGCACTTGAGAAATTGGTAAATTCTCCAAAAAATCGTTCAGGAACAGAATTTGTATTGCAATTAACTAGGATCCTCAACTTTCAATTCGAAATCAAGAGATAAAGTGTTTATAATTAGTATAGTATAATAAGAACCTCCTTTTCCAATGATATCTGCTTGCCTTAGGGGTATGTACTATCGAAAGTGGAAACCTGAGTGTTTCTTGGTATTATTTTCAGTTCGTTATGTGGCTAGTGGATTTCTCGACAAAAGGCCGCAAGTTGGATTTGCTAAACAAGTTTATTTCAATCGATATAAATCAGTCCTTTTGTTTGCATCACAGTTAGAGAATCGATGAATGAACTTGAAAGCCTTTAAGGAAACCTCTGTAAACGGACAAAGGACGTGTTTAAAACATAAAAAAAAAAAAGAAAAGAAGAAAAATTATATACATATAAAACAGATGAATAAAATAAGGATGTGCTGTAAAAGATCGTAGCACACATTCAAAATCTGTTTATGCTTAAACTTTTGTTTTTTCCATTATTTGACCTAATTTATACAGTACTTATCTATTTATTGCTTATTGTATCCTTCAGTTTAATAACTCAAAAAGAATAAATTTTACTTATCCTATTTTTTTAAGCAAGTGTATGTTTACATGAGCAAAATAGGGTAGGGTTAGCATTGGGAAGAGAAAGAATGAAGTTGCTAAAGCTATTCTCTGCCATATTCAATTGCCCAGTGCTACTATAGTAATCATGTCTGACGAACAAAAAGAACAAGTTCAAACCGCTGCTGTAGAGAATCAAGCACCTCAAGAAGGTGTTCCTAAGACTGAACAAACCACAGAGTCTACAAAGCCAGCTGAAACCGTTTCTGGAAAAGCTGAATCTTTTGATGAAAATGAAGTTTTAAAGCAAGTGGGTAAGTTATTACTCAAAAATCATTTGATAGGAATTCGCTAGAAAATGGGCACGGATTTCGGACTAACACACGATGTAGAATTTTACTTTTCTGACTCCAACTTGCCTCGTGACAAGTTCTTGTGGACTGTTTCCCAGAAAAACCAAGGTTGGGTTCCTATCCAAACGATTGCTTCCTTTAAGCGTATGCGTCGCTATCAGCCCTTAGAAGCCGTTGTGGCCGCTTTGCGCAAGAGCCCAGAGTTACTTGAAGTGGATGAAGCCGGCGAAAAGGTTCGTCGCAAGGTTCCTATCGTTCGTCCTGATCCTTCTGCTATACAACGTTCCATGGAAAGTAGTGTGTATGTCAAGGGCTTTGGTGAGGAACAAGAAGATACTCAATTTGTATTGGAAAGATATTTCGAAAAAGAAGGTGGTGAACTTGCTTCTCTTCGTTTGCGCCGTGATGACGATAACAAGTTCAAGGGCAGTGTTTTTGTAGAATTCAAGACTCCCGAAATTGCCAAAGGCTTTTTGGAAAAGGTCAAGGGATCTCCATTGAAGTTCAATGAAAATGAGTTAACTATCATGTCCAAGAAGGAATACGTGGATATGAAGGCTGAACAGCATCGCAATGATCCTCCTAAGCCTGGCAACAAACGCAGACGTTTTGACGCCTTTAAAATGATGGATCGTGAGCGATCCAGCAAGCGTGCTCCCAAGAGAGGAAAAACTGCTTATAAGGAAACCGAAAAGCAAGAAAAACCAAAGGAACCCGAGACTGTTGAAGAACCCAAGAAGGCTGAAGATTCTAATGAGGCTGAAAAGTCTACTGAACAACCCAAGGCCGAGGGAGAGGCTGCAGCTGCCACCAACGAAAAAGAAGAAGCCGCTCCTGCTTCTTCTAACTAAAATAAAGATAAAACTGGTTTTATTATCTTTTTGGAAAAGTTTTTATTTTAAGGAATAAAATGGTTAGTATGGGATGAAACTCAGGAAAATGAAAAGTAAGATAAGTAAGGTTTCGAGAGGAACTTGACTTGAAACTGTATTGCGTCTTTGTATGGAACGACTTGAAACATATTTCATCACTTTGGTTTAGGCTCAAATTTCAGGTTAAATTTAGTATTCACCTTGTATATAAATTTTGGCAATGAATTGCCAAATTTGCTCCTTACAAAAAATAACAGGGCTATGAAGAGTGATTGACAACATTAAGAGATTCATTAAGCAAGACGATAAACAGACTTTCGCAAAATTTCATTTGAAAAGTGATTAATTCCTTCAAAAACTTGAAAGTTGACAAAAGAAAAAGGGCACCATATTCATTTCTGGCATCGCTATACTCAACCATTTTCCTAGAAAAAGGAAAGAAAATAATGAAAAGAACACCATATGCTATAGTTACAACTCTGCAAGCCATTTCTTCAATTTTATTGCATACTAGATTTATTTATTTGTTAGTGAAGTGGAACGATGTTAATGGCAAACTCCTGAGGAAACTATTTACGTTGTTATGTAAAAGAACATATCTCACCCGGAAAAATTGGTACACGTAAATTTTAAAAAAAGTATATTACACTACGAAAAAAGAATGGAAGCTCGTTTTTCGGGAGAACAATTCCATGGTTGCTTACCTGTGGTGAAACCCCCATACTATATCCAAGTGGGGCGAGTCCTTGATGGAATTTGTGTGGGGTAGTGGGGTATTGTAGCGGACATTAATGTAGATTACAAAATGCAATGATATCGTAATCAGTTTAATTTGTTTACGTCAATGTGTGGGGAAAGAAAGAACTTACATTTGTAAAGGTGATGCTACGTGCTGTTTACACTCAACTATTACTACACAATTTTCATCCTCCCAAGCAGAAATACGCGTGAATTACAATGCCAAGAGCACCTAAATCTAGCAAAAAAAAGGATCCTAATGCACCAAAGAGAAACATGTCGGCGTTCATGTTCTTTTCGATTACTAACAGAGAAAAAGTAAAGAACGAAAACCCTGATGCTTCGTTTGGTACGCGTCTTATTTGAAGAACAGAGCGTCTTCTCATCAATTCTTTTTATTGATATTGAAAAATTCGTGTTTATTTGTCAAACTAACGCGTTGCAGGGGGCATTGGTTCTCTCTTAGGAAAGAAGTGGAAAGAATTGCCAGCAGATAAGCGCAGGGTATGTAAAATGAAAGAATTCTTTACAAAGGGATTTCACCAGTGAATAAAAGTCTACGCCACTAGAGGATTTGAATAGTGGAATCTTGCAATTCGTCAAATCGTTTGAGAGCGATCCTTGAAATGAGAATCCTTTTGATATTTTTCAAGTTTTTTTAGCTAACGTTTTACTATTAGCCTTACGAAGAAAGAGCACGCGAAGACAAAGATCGCTATGAACGGGACCGCAGCGATTATGACAATAAAATCATCAACGAAGCAAAGAAAAACGCCAAGAAGGAACAAAGCGACGAAAAAGAGGATTAATATTATATTCATTACCGGTTATAATTTATTGTATAATTTTCCCTTGCTTTTTTAATGAACTCTATAATCAATTCATCTTAGACTTTTTTTATTTCCTATTGGTCCTACATGGCACTTTAGAGCATATTTTACTTGCTTTGTTTGTTTATATTTCATCTTCTTCGCGTTTCTTTGTGCCGAGTACTCAATATTGTCCGGAAAATGTTTTTACCCTAAATGAATGAATGACCGACATTCTGCAATTTTTTCAGATTATTTCGATTTGTTGCTGTTTTGTTTTCTTTTTTTCCCATGAGTTTGAATAATTCATTTCACTCGTTAACTTTTTACGATTTGCTTACAGATTTTATGTGAATATTGCTCCCTGAATGTTTATATTAATTTAGTTTTTATGCTTCTAATGAGTAATGTTTCCTTCATTTTCTCCTACTATAAAGAATCTTCAATGAAAATAACCATTACAATATACGTACTGCAAACTTATAGGTTGATTGCTCAAGCTAATGGTCAACGGTCTGAATCTGTTGACACTTAGCTTGTAAAACAAAGCGCAATCGGTCATTCATTACCATAAGTCGTACTCTGTAAAGTTGGCTATTTTTAGCGTCTCGTTTTCCTAAATGGCAAGAAAAGAAAATACTGTTTATTAAAGTTTATAGTCACCTATCCCTTATGCAAAGCTAATACTAAAGCTTCATGTATTCAACACTATGAAAATACATAATGATCGTATCGCTGTTTTTTTCTTCAAAACTCATTGTATATAATACCACACCAACAAGGCGTATATAAACTCTTTTCGTGAACTTAGGAATCATCCTTAGCTGGACTTGTGTTTGAAGTAGAAATTTCCTTGACTTCATCGTTACTAACAGGTTTATCATTCGAAGAAGCTGCATCCTTTGCAGGAACTTCGCTGCTTTCTCCTTCTTCTTTTTCAGTAGTCAAATCTTTGTAGACATCAGGATGCTGTTGGAAACAGGTTTGCATAGCCTGAAATTTTTCAAGACATTCCATGCCTTTAGGCTCACTTTTTGAGTAGACAAAGCAACTAAAGGCGGCCTTGAACTCTTCCCCACAGGGACCATGAGCCATTCCCCCCAAACAAGGGCAATCCCAGTTAATTTCTCCGGTTTCAGGATCAAAGGCGGATTCTTCACTGCCTTCTTCTTCAACTTCTTCTAGCTGCTTGGTTATGTTACCTTGCTCAGTCGAAGTCTCCTGCTCAGGAACGTCATCATCGGAGTAGACGCTGGCATCAGAGTCAAGCTGTTTTGGATCATTATTGCTTTGTTCTTCTGGTGTTTTAGGTTTCCATGCTTTTTCTACCATCTCTTTCTTCTTTTCGTCTAATTTTGCTTCAATTGAATCTTCAATGCGATGTTGTTGCATATACGGTTCATTGTAAGCTATTATTTTGTTAATAAAGAAATAATAAATCATATAAACCTCCTTACCCTGAGTTTCTGTTCGGACATGCTCTCCAACATAGGCTCCGTTATCTGAGTCGGGTTTTGAATCATTAAACACCTTTTTATTGAGGTAAAATCCAAAAAACAATGATAGACCGGCTGCCCCTGATAATATGGATGCTAGTTGGCTCCATGAAGGAGCAGCTTTTGCTCGGAAAACTGAACTCGTTTGATTGAACCGTTTTGGAAAGCTGCTACTTAAACATAATGACTTTTTCTCCAAAGCAGAATTTCTTTGGATCGCAGTTCTTAGGAGGAAAGGAGCTTTTCCACGAAACATGGTCTTTCTGTAATTTGCTATGGTAGAGACTTGGTTAGTAACGTCAACGATATACCTCAAGAGAAGAATATAAGCTATCACTTACTCTGATTAGTTGAACAAATAAAACGAAGCTTTTATTACTTTGACTCTAGTTTAATTCAGTTATCAAACAATAATCCATAACTTGTACGTATAAACGATTGTCTCACAGGCATTAAATCAAATCCTAATATTGAATTCAAACAAAATACTAAGTTCTATTTTAAATCTAAGAATTATTTAATTTATTATGTTACACTGAAAGCAGCAATCGGATATGCCTTTTTTCTATATTCAGGAAACCAAAAATATATACACATGTATGATTCTATCGTGCTAAATTATACAATTTTGTTTGAGCACTCAGTAACGCTTAATTCTCCTTACCAACAATATCAACCCAACGCTTTCCATTCAATTCGGCAAGAATTTCTTGCTTAATTTTATGGGCGACAACAGGTCCATCGTAACCAAGAGCAGTGTATACTTGAACCATAGAAGCACCAGCGCGAGCATATTCAATGGCATCTTTACCATTAGAAATACCACCACAGCCGATAATAGGAATGTCAGATGACAAGTGTTTCCGTAATGTACGGAGGGTGTTCAGAGTAATGGGCTTTAAGGGAGGACCAGACAAACCACCTGTTTCTTGAACGTGCTTCGTGGATTTTAAGGTATCAGGACGTTGAATGGTAGTGTTGCCGACGATTACACCGTCAACCTTGCATTTTTTCAAGACAGCAGCAATGTCGGCAAGCTCTGTTTCGGACAAGTCGGGAGCAATCTTAACCACAAGCGGAGGATTAGGAGCATTCAGCTTATTGCGTTCGGCAATGGTGGCTGACAATAGTTCAGTTAAGGCAGACTTTCTTTGGAGACTACGGAGACCAGGAGTATTTGGAGAAGAAACATTGATGACCAAAACATCGGCATAATTGCCAAAGTTGCGGACACCCGTTACATAATCTTCAATCTCATTTCCGTTTTTGTTCTTTCCCAAGTTAATACCTAAGTACTTGTTGGGAAGTAAGCTACGCGGGACGCCAAGAACAGAGGGATCAGTGTAAGCAGCAGGGTTTGCATCGAAATCTTTCAAAAGCCCTGGCTTGTTTTTAGCAATATACTTCCGAATACGCTTTTGAACCTTTTCGAGAATAGCTTCGTGACCTTGTGAGTTAAAGCCATAACGGTTCACCACTGCTAAATCGGGATCCAAGCGAAAGTATCTAGGTTTGGGATTACCAGGTTGAGGCAAGGGAGTGACAGAACCAACTTCCAAATATGAAAACCCGAAATTCAATAAACCGGAAATAGCATCAGCCTGCTTGTCGAAACCAGCAGCCAAACCGACGGGATTAGAAAATTTCTTTCCCCAAACCTCTACAGCTAAAGCTTGGTCGTCAAGAGTAAAGTCACGAGGAGTGATGCCCCAAGAGGCAGCAAGAACAGCTACGCTGTGAGAAAACTCTGGCGTAGTAAAAGCATGGAACAATGGCATTTCAATGCGACCATGGATAAAGCTGCGTACATCAGACATGTCATATATCATCCAACCGGCAGAGAAACTACCAAGTAAGCTCCAAAGCTTCCAATTGCCTCGAAAAAAAGAATTTGGCTTGGAAGAAGCAGAGTGTAAATTAGACTGAAAACTTTTACCACCGTGTTTGAATACGTTTCTGGAAAGAAGACGATAAGCATTGCGGGACAACATATTCGCTGAATTTAATGAACGACAGAAATTAATGTCAAATATGAGGATCGAATCTAAGAACCCAAAAAAATTAAGAATAAAAACAAAAAGGTACAAATTATACGGAAATATTAAATTAAAAGCAAGAGAGAATTAGCAAAGAATGAGGTTTCGATCGGTCGTAATTAATCGGAGGATAAGAAAACGAAGATGAACGAACTGCTAAAGAAACGATGAATTATAGTTAAATTTCAAGGCAGGTTCAAACTTCAAGTGCAAGCAGAGGTATACGCTCTGAGAGAGAATGCATTTTGCAGTCGTACCATAATTTTTGTTGTTACTGGATTCAAGGTAACAGTCAGAGATTTGAAGGATTGGATTTTCATATAAACAATGTAGACGAGAAATAATAACAGTTCAATGAGGAACAAATGGATCCATTATGGGTATTCAAGATCTCAAATTAGTGTGTTGCTAATTGATTTCATACCCTATCGGCTCAGTTTTCAATAGTAAACAAATAAAATCCAACAGTTTTAGACTCGAGAGGCGTACAGAAGCACATCGACGAAAATGGAGTGATATTTGTATGATTTTCCACCTATAATTTGCATTTACATTACAGAAAACACTTTGTTTTCTATTTCGTATCTTCATGAATAACGCTGGCACTTAATTTTTTCCGTAAACAAACATTCCAACTCTGTTTCCAAAGCAGATATCATTCCTTTCATAATTTTTCCAAAAGTACACAGGATTAAATATGGTCGTCAATGCTTCTACTTATATCTTCTATTATTCATTCATTTTCTCTCTTTTGTTTACTTGTATTACGCAATGCACCGCTCTACCCTAAACGGTTGCCCATCTTCCAGCATGCGACTCTTCCTGGGATAAATCCGACATGGGAGCTGTCTTGAGTCCCCTTCAATACTTAAGACGCGCCGTATGGTTGAGACCTATGTCTGGAAGGCAATCAAATATCAGGTAAGTACAACTATTAGAGGAGCTCGTTGACCAGTATTAGCAAGTTCTTCACTTTGGGCCCAGAGCAAGCGCGTAAAAAACGAACTCCAGCTGCTCCAGCGAATTCAGAGAATGAGGACGGTTCTCGAGTAATAAAGAAAGAAGAGAATGATGAGAAAACTAGTGGAAATGATGGAATAGCAGTTAATGGAGAGAAGAGAACAGCAGACGAACTTGAGAGTCTGAAAGAGGAACATGGAGAAGCGACAAATTCTATGGAAACCAAGCGTTCTAAGGTTGATGGCTTGTCATTAGCTTCATCGTCATCTTCCTCTTCAAATCTTGCTTCTGAAGGTGAAACCACTCCTTCTGAGATTCCTCCTCCTATTGCTGAACCACCGCTAGAGTCTACGAGAAAACAGCAAACAAAAAAGGCTCACGCAACGTTTGCAGACATGGTATCTACTTTTACGAAAATTGAGAAGACTACAAAGCGTCTGGAAATCATCGATATCATGGGTACTTATTTTTTTAAGATGCTGCGTGATTATCCCAATGATTTACTTATCTCTGTATATTTGAGCATAAATAAGGTATAGTACAGGTCCATTTTCCGTCGAATGTATACTAATGAGAGAAATAGCTAGGTCCAGATTACTCGGGAATTGAACTTGGTATTGGTGAAAGTATCATCATGAAAGCCGTTGCCGAATCCACCGGCCAAACTCTTCAACAAATCAAGCAAGCATTCCACAAAGTTGGGGATTTGGGTCTCGTTGCACAAACATCCCGCCAAAATCAGCCTACTATGTTTCAACCTGCTGCTTTGACGCTACCTTTTCTGTTTGATTCTTTAAAGTCAATCGCACAAATGTCCGGAAATCAGTCTCAGAATAGAAAAATCGGCTTAATTAAACGATTACTAAGCTCTTGTCAAGGTGCTGAGCCGAAATACCTTATCCGAGCTTTAGAAGGAAAACTACGTTTACAGTTAGCAGAGAAGACCATCCTTGTTTCCCTAGCAAATGCCTGTGCACAATATCACGCTGACAAAAAACAAGTTAAGCTGTCTCAGCAGGACCGTATCCATGCTGAACAAACTCTTCGCGATGTTTATTCTCAACTACCTTCGTACGACATTATTGTGCCTCGGTTGATTGAACATGGAATCGAAAATCTGCGAGAAACTTGTAAGCTAACTCCTGGCGTCCCTACAAAGCCAATGCTTGCCAAACCCACAAAACAGTTCTCCGAAGTTTTAGATACGTTTGATCAAGCTACTTTTACTTGCGAATACAAGTATGACGGAGAGCGTGCTCAAGTCCATTTTACCGAAGACGGGAAGTTTTACGTGTTTTCTCGAAATTCCGAGGACATGTCCGTTCGCTATCCCGATATTATGGCGTCCGTACCCAGATGGAGAAAGCCAGAAGCTACAAGCTTTATCCTTGATTGTGAAGCTACTGCTTGGGATAAAGAGGAAAACAGAATTCTTCCCTTTCAAAAACTGGCTACCCGTAAAAGGAAAGACGTAAAGTTGGAAGAAATCAAGGTCCGAGCTTGTCTCTTTGCTTTTGATATTCTCTACTTGAACGGCAAATCATTGCTAGATATTCCATTTTCAGAGCGTCGAAAGCACTTATATACAATGTTTCAACCCATCACAGGTGAGTTTGATTTTGCTAAGCATAGTGACCAACGGTCTGTTGAGTCTATTCAAGAGTTCCTCGAGGAAGCCGTTAAAGAGTCTTGTGAAGGTCTTATGGTCAAAATGCTTGAAGGACCGGAATCTCATTATGAACCTTCGAAAAGATCTCGACATTGGTTAAAGATAAAGAAAGATTACCTTTCAGGCGTTGGTGACTCACTTGATTTGATTGTTGTTGGTGCATATCATGGAAGAGGTAAGAGAACTTCTGTGTATGGCGCTTTTCTTTTGGGTTGCTATGACCCTGATACAGAGACTGTCCAAACAGTTTGTAAATTAGGTACTGGCTTTTCAGAAGAGCAATTGGAGCAATTTCATCGCCAATTAAGTCAAATAGTCATTCCAAAAAAGAAAGATTTCTATTCTCATAGTGAGGCTCCCCCTCATCAACCTGATGTTTGGTTCGAGCCAAAATATTTATGGGAAGTTCTGACTGCAGATTTATCGCTCTCCCCTGTCTATAAAGCTGCCATTGGTTATGTTCAAGAGGATAAAGGAATTAGTCTTCGGTTCCCTCGATTTGTTCGAGTGCGTGAAGACAAAAATTGGGAGGACGCTACAACTAGTGAGCAGGTTTCTGAATTTTATCGCTCTCAAATTGTGCACACCCAGGCTTCAGCGCGTGCATCGTCACCTAATGCGGAAGAATACTAAAGAAAAATTGCTAGCTTTACCAACTACCTAAAATAAGCCCAACATTAAAACTTGGACATGTTACTGTTTTTTTGCTCTACAAAGACGCTAATTATGTATGATGGAATTAGATTATTATATAGTTTTCCCTTCTAATTAATATTCCTTTTAATTGCTTTGGTTATGATCTAACAATGGAATTTCAAAGGGTTAAATCGAGACCAATGCCGTATTTTAAATGTCAATAATAAGTTGATTCTATTTTATATTTTGCAATTTTCATTAACATAATCCTTTCTACTCTCAGAAATTTCAATCATAATTAGAGATTGGAATTTTCCTAGTTCAGCTTAGACCTCACTCCTACATTGTCATTCTTACCTAAAGTCAATGTGTCCCGTTAACGAAACAATAATTGAGACTAAAGCTGGGGTAAAATACCAGTAAAAAAGATGGAGAATAGAACAGAGTGGCCATTAAAGCATGTACAGCCTCCTAGAGTTTCATTTCGACATCAATTGTCAAAGTCCAGTGCTGATGCACCTTCCCTTCGTGTTCAATGGTTTTATGCGATAGATCGACCTGTAAGAAAATCCAAAAAAGGAAGTCTAGAAGCTAAAAAATCAAAAAGTTTTAAACCTTTTTCCGTCGAAGACTCTGACCGAATAGAAGCTGCCTACCAAAACACAGAAGACACGGATGGTCAATCGGAAACAATAAGGGTAAACGAGGATTATCTTTATGCTGTGAATGTAATATCGAGGGAAGTATTTCCAATCTATTGGGATGGGCCTGTCTTTCGTATTTTAAGAGGAACCTGGTTCTATGCTAGAGGCGACAAATTATATCCGTGTGAGGAGAATTTGGCCATTCAAGTTGAGGAAGGATACTTAAATATATGTCCTTATCGTGAAAAAGTTGAAGAAAAAGATGATCACAGTATGTCAGCTCAAGGCAAAACCTGGGCTTTACTTGGAAAATATACTGGAGCATTTATTGAATATTCGGGAGATAGAAGCGCAAGAATGCACTTTGGAGGATTCTATCGAAATGTGTCAACAAAATTATTTACCAAAATGTCTTATTCTAGTAATCATCGAAGTGATAAGCTTATCCGAGGATACGATATTTCATCCTCTACAATAACAGATGCTAAATCTACTACAAGCTCAACAGTGGATGATTTAAGCTCCTCTAGTACATTGGTAAACGATTCTTCTGAACCGAATGAATTACTTTCGCCTTCTCTGACTGAACCAGCATCGGAAATACCAACCTCGACAGATGCTTCGCACTTAAAGTCTTCACCTGATCGGGAAATTAATCACCTTATTCTATGTTGCCATGGTATTGGTCAGAAAATGGGCGAGCGCGTGGAAACGGTAAATTTTGTACGAGACATCAATGAATTTCGGAAAACACTAAAGAAAACTTTCAATGCTTCTCCAGATTTGCAAGCTTTATATCCTAACTTCAAAGGTGGCGGAAATGGGATTCAATGCCTTCCATTATTATGGCGCCAGGATATCCACTTTGGCATGGCACGAGACAATAAATCTGACATTTCAGAGGAAGAAGAATCAGACAGTTTTGATGTTTCAAAAGATCTTGCCCTTGACGATTTGAGCGAGGATCCTAATCCCACTTTAGAGAGCATTAATATACCGACCGTTGTAGGATTGAGAAGCATAATTTCTGATGTTTTACTAGACGTGTTACTCTACTGTCAACCAAAATATAGAGAGAGGATTTTAGTTGCTGTTGTTAAACGTCTTAATCGTCTTTATCGTTTATATGTGAAACATAATCCCTCGTTTCAGGGTCAGGTTTCTTTGTTAGGTCATTCCTTAGGCGCCTTGATTTTATTCGACATAGTCCGTTTCCAAGGAAACATAAGGTATCCGCGGCTTCAGCTCGATTTTCCTGTAAATAATTTTTTTACCCTCGGCAGTCCTCTTGGCCTTTTTCAGATGTTAAATGGAAAGCGGATTGCAGGCCAGATACCTCGGTCTACGATTACGAGAAGTGTTAGCTATTCAGAAAGCAACTTTGACTCATCAGTTTCTGTTCTCAGCTGCAAGAATTTTTACAATATATTTCATCCAACTGATCCGATTAGCTATCGCGTTGAACCTCTTATAGTGAAAAAAATGGCACATTTAAAGCCTCAGAGTATTCCGCATTTTAGACCCTTAAGTCATGACAGTAGCTCTGGTGTTGGTCACAGACTTGCGGATGGTGCATTAAATGTGTTATCTGGATTACGTTCCGGTATCGCAAATACTTTGATTTTGAAATCTTTGAGCTATGCATCAGTGTTTAATGAAGCCACTTCCAATCAAAAAGTCCACGTTGTTGAAGAAGGCAATCAAGCATATCAAATTGATGAAAGAATGTATCGTTTAAACAAAACTGGCCGCGTTGACTTTATGTTACAAGAAGGATCCTTAGACACATCCTATAGTTACGTTTCTGCAATGAATGCGCATTCGAATTACTGGAAAAACGCTGATTTGGCCCATTTTATATTAACTCAATTACTTTAATTTATTCACCTGCTATGTTAACTTGTCGATGCTGTTAATGATCGAGCTTCATTATATATATGGTATTTTTGGTTAAGTTTATTTATGAAGAAGCATTGCTCGATGGCTACGAGTTAAGCTACTGAACGAAATATTTTTTTAGTTCTAAAATTTTTAATCTATTTATTTTAATCCTTTATTTATAAAGCCTTTTATACATTTTCCACTGTAAGGATACGTCTAATCAAATGTAACGTAAACTTTTGCTGATTACTTATCTTGAGTTTCGCTTATAACGTTTGGTATATCTATGAAAAGATCACAATCTTTCTTATCCTCTCCCAAGTGCTTTAAATGTCAGGATTTAATAACTTTGTAAATTAAACAAGGATTACGAAATAAGGGACCTTAATGAAGCACTTACATATCAAAGCCTCATCAACATAGACACTGTCGTAATTGAACAAGACCACATAACTTAGAGATTCATTAACACACTCTTTCTTATATATTACAATTCTTTTACATTTTCTAATGGACATAAAAGGCATTCCGCTTACGACATTTGCGAGTTCATTCGATAGCCCGAAAGAGGACCTTAATAAGCCGTTAGTCAGTTATCCACCTTCAAACAAGAAGTCTAGTGATGGCCGGGAAAGCTTAGAAGAGGTGCCTATCCGAGCTACTGACACCAACGTGGTGTTATCCTTAGACCCAGACAACCCAGTAGACGAAACTTCTCCTAAAGAATTTCATGAAGAAAAGATTAGTAGTTGGATTTGGATACTCTCAACGGTTGCTGGCATTTCTGGTTTGCTATTTGGATATGACACCGGTGTAATTTCTGGTGCTTTAGCAGTTATAGGATCGGATCTGGGAAGTGAATTAAGTTCGAAACAACGAGAACTCATTACGTCTGCAACTCCATTCGCGGCTTTATTGTCGGGTATTACTTCTGGTTGGCTTGCAGATTTACTAGGTAGGAAGCGTTTACTTATGTATGCTGACGGTATATTCGTATTGGGGTCTATTGTAATGGCAGTAGCAAGGAATATAGCTACTCTAGTAGCTGGTCGTTTTATTGTCGGTTGGGGCATTGGATTAGCTTCCTTAATTGTTCCTATGTATATTACAGAATTGGCTCCCGCTCACATGCGTGGCCGACTTGTAATTATTTATGTTGTTTTTATTACAGGAGGGCAATTGGTTGCCTATTCATTGAATGCTGCATTTGAAAATGTAAGGCAAGGTTGGCGTATTATGATGGGATTGGGAGCTTTACCAGCTCTTTGCCAACTCATTCCGCTCTTTTGGACACCGGAGTCTCCTCGGTATCTTCTAAAACAAAACCATGTTGAAAAGGTATATAAAATTATGTCGCGAATCCATCCGAATGCTAGGCCAGGTGAGATTGCTTACAAGGTCTCTTTGATCCAAGAAGGCATGAATTTTAGTTCCTTAGAAGGTAATCAATTTCAGAGAGTAAAACACTCGTTTAATCGTCTTTGGTCAGTTCCTTCCAACCGACGATCACTGTTCATTGCATGCTTTCTTCAAGCTTTTCAACAGTTCTCTGGTACAAATGCTATTCAATATTTTTCTGCGATACTTTTCGAAAGCGTTGGCTTCAAAAATTCAATCCAAATCAGTATTGTCGTTGGTGCAACCAACTTCCTATTCACTATCCTTGCGTTTATGTTTATTGATCGAATTGGTAGAAGGCGGATATTATTGTATAGCGCTACTACTATGATAATTGCCCTTTCAGTTTGTGCGGTTTCATATCATTTTCTCGAGCTCAAGAAAACTGAATGGAAATACGTTACACTAGTTTCCATTATTGCATTTTTGGCTAGTTATGCTTTTGGTATTGGTAACATACCTTGGCAGCAAGCTGAATTATTTCCTATGGAAGTTCGTGCTTTGGGAACAGGTTTCTCTACGGCTGTAAATTGGTCTGGAAATTTGATCGTCAGTGCTACGTTTTTGACGATGATGGAGTCTATCACTTCAGTTGGCACTTTCGGATTGTATGCTGGATTTTGTTTCGTCGGTCTTATCACTTGTTTTTTTACATATCCGGAATTAGCAGGAATGTCTATTGAACATATTTCCATACTTTTGGAGAAAGGATTCTGGAATGCCGTAAAAGAACAAGATAATAAAAGTAAGAACGAGATCAAAGATACTTACTAGTTTTTTATTGCATGTTTATTTGTTATCATTAGAAAGGCGTATTTGGTACAGATTGTATTAAGTTGAGCGTTATGAACTAATTATACATAATATTATAACATATATTTCTTTTATAAAGCAACAAAGCAAATAGTAAAGGGTTAAGAAAGTAAATCTCAAGTCTTCTGGAATCACTTATGTCAAAGTTTGCTCTGATAGAAGTTAGTTAGGAAAGTAATTTGTTTAAAAACTTACTTGGACCATCACCGCCTTGGGGCGTTTTCCAATCAATGCCTTGAAGAGGATCTTTGATATCACAAGTCTATTTCATCATTAGTAAACTTGAACCTATAGGTAAAATGAAAGACTTACTTTACAATGGACACAATTTTGAGAATTGATAACGAAACGTTTTCCAGTAGGAAGTGTCTCATCATCGACGTACTCATATACACCAGCAGGACAAAAACGAGATTCAACGCCCTTGTATTTTCGATAGGCTTCTTGACGATCATTTGGGCGACGATCAAAGAGATGACAAGGCTGATTCTCAGCATGCATAGTGCCTGACAGAGCTACAGACGTAGGAATATCGAATGAAAGAACATTGTCAGGCTTCGGGTAGTTGATAGGTTTATATGAAGAGGCACTTGCAGTAACGACATCGTCTCCTTTCTTATGGCTAAAAGTCCAAGGTACTTTACCTTTTAATACGTATGATTCTAGGGCAGAATATATCATACCACCGTAGTTCCTTAAGAAGGGAAATGCGTGAAATGATGGCCGAACGTTTCGTACAGAATATAACTCTTTAAAAACAAAAGAATTTTTTAAATTTTCTTCATAAGTATTAATCGTAAGTGGTTTTCCAGTATCACCAGTATTAAAAGCTTCAACAATTGCATCAGCAGCGACCATGCCGGATTTCATAGCTGTGTGAGTACCTTTTATTTTGGGAACATTAAGAAATCCTGCACTACAGCCGATCAAGGCACCACCTGGGAATACTAACTTCGGAATGGATTGGTAACCTCCCTCATTCAAACTACGAGCGGCGTACTCTAAACGAGTTCCTCCTTTAAGAACTTTAGCGTAAAAGGGATTTTGCTTCATTCTTTGAAATTCAGCAACTGGAGACACATATGGATTAGGATAATCTAAGCCAACGACCAATCCTACAGACACATAGTTATCTCCGAATTGGTACATGAAACCACCGCCATAGGTATCACTTCGTAATGGCCAACCAAGAGTGTGGGCAGTCTCGCCATACCTAAAGTTTTCATCAGGGACACGCCAAACTTCCTTTATACCTAAGCCGTATGTTTGTGGCTCACAATCTTTTTGAAGGTTAAAGCGTTGAATCACAGTTTTTGATAAAGAACCGCGGGCACCTTCAGCAAATAGCGTAATGGGAGCATGGAAGGCCATTCCTCTCTCAAAATTATCCTTTTGTAATCCCTTGCTATCAACACCAAAGTCGTTCGTAGCTACGCCTCGCACGGATCCATCTTGATTGTATAGGACCTCAGAAGCAGCAAATGAGGGATACAGTTCGACATCGAGTTCTTCAGCTTTAGCAGCTAACCACTTGGTTAATTCTGCCAAGCTCATAATGTAATTTCCATGGTTTTTCATAATTGGAGGAACAGGCATAGGGAGTTGCATACCAGGAACTAAAAACCTCATGATATCTGATGAAACAGGCGTGCAATGGCGAGGTGGTTCGTTTTTCCAATCTGGAAGGAGCTCATCAAGGGCAGTCGGCTGGATAACTGCGCCTGAAACGCTGTGATTACCAGGTTCGGCAGCCTTTTCCAACACAATTACCCGGATTTCTCTACCAGACTTGGCAGCTTGTTGTTTAATGCGAATTGCCGCACCTAAACCAGCTGGTCCGGCACCGACGATGCAAACATCCACCTCCTCGACTTCTCGTTCTAAAGACTGTATACGCTTCAAGTTATCTAACAGTTCATTACCTTGAACAATTCGACTATGACAGAAGTTTCGGGCTTGGATTCTTTTCATGGGCGGTACATATTGCGTTTTAACCTTGGGAAGAGCAACGAGAAGCGAACATCCTTTTAAACTCTGTTTACGGAAAGCATACTTTGGAGTTTTTAGGGGCCCAGCTAACGTTCGAACCAGGTTGCTCATGTTGTATCACGCCTTTTTCCTAGACCAAATATCTTCAAGGGATGTCAAGAATCCACTAACGCTATAAAGATGGAGCAATAATGCTTCTGAAAATATAAATAGTGTTACTTCAAAGTATCTAAGCTTATAAAGTCAAAGAGTTGAATTACCAAGAAATTTCGAGTACCCTTCTTGATAAATCAACAATTACAAAGTTAGAAGAGGCTTATACGCAGCAAAACAATCGATTTTTCCTTTTTGAATATTTGGCTTATACAGCTAGGAATAGGCAAAAGTTAAAGTACCTTCATGTAAATAAATTGATACGACACGCTTAAAGATATCGCATCTTTTATTACCTAAACCAATTAAAGTCTATACATTATATCAAATAAACGTGGATAATTTTATTAAGGATATTCTATTTTCTAAAGGAAAATAGAAAACTCGTTTGTAAGATGACATATTGTATTAAGGAATGAAAAACTCAATGCGTAAACATTTAAATGAATGGGATACTGTACTTGCTCTATTGAATTGTATTAACGCTTTCTCACACTGTAATTTCTTTTTCTGATTTCTCAGAAGGAAGAAGCGATGGTGTTTCATTTGCTTCCTATAACGAGCATGGGTATTGTTTCTCTTTTAAGTGCTACCAAACCAATTTTTTATTTTTTAAATCTAGCTACTCTTACTCTTTGTGTTCGACTAAAAGGAAAATACGCTCGCCTGAGATGCTATCGTTTCCTCCGTTCTTACCTTACCTGTAATTTACATGTTAACTGATTATTTACCATAGACACATTATATTCAAAGTTTTCCATCTAAAAGGCAACCTAAATTATAACTGTATTCTTCTCCTAATAAATGGTTAATTAAATCTCTTTATATGATGGTACATAGGATAATCGCCAGGATGAGCCAATTTCAAGAATCGTAATAAAAGAGAATGAAATGAGACAAAATTACAATCATATATCAAAATGCTTCATAACAACATCACCTCTTACCTTGAGATGATACCAAACCGCGCAACATAATTATACAAAGACGTAGCCGCCTTACGTCTTCCTTATTAGACAGTCTGCACAAAATTAGATGGGAATAATCCTCTCTTAGGATTCATAATATTGATAACTTCACCATCCCACCATCCATCTTCCTGCGTACGGAGTACCATCAAGGTATCTCCTTTTTGGAAACTAATTTCCTCTGGAATTTGGGCTTTATAGTCATACAGAGCTATAACATAACCTAAAATAGGTTCTCCTTCGGCTGTGAAAGAAGCTCTAGGTTCAGCTTTCGAATAGCCGCTTCTTATTGAGGAAGCAGGCGATCGGGAGCGACCTGTCGGCGTACGCTCCAACAATTGCCTTGATGACCTTCCTCCTAAAGAACTATATCTCATATCCATTCCCGAGGACGGCCTTGAGTGTGAAAAATTCGCGCTCGACCGATTTACAGGATTCGGGGAAGTAGAGCGCTGCATATTCATAATCGAGGAAGATTTTCGGTGATGTCCTAAGGGATTCGGAGACACAGACCGTTGCAGCGAAAGCTGAGATGGAGGTCTATTAGAAAGCGAAGACGCAGGTCGGGAAGTTTGTCCAGACAGCGATTGTCCACGGCTTCTACTGACAGGGTTTACTTCCTGTTGTCTCATACTTAAAGATGAAGAAGAGCGTTCTGGTACACCACTTCGTATAGCAGAGCTTCTTCTAGATAGCATGGGAGATGGTGATCTACTTAAATTGCTTCTGCTATGGCGAAGCGAGTCCTTCAGAGGAACATCACCGCGCTTTTCACCAAAAACACGCTTTGTTTGATTTGCAAAACTGTTGCTCATACGTTGCATCTGAGCAGAAGTATGAGCAGCAGGAGGGGCTCCCAAGGAGCTTCTTTTAGCTAAGCCATCCACTTCAGTAGAAGATTGATTGTGCGAACCAGAACCAAGCATACTTAAACGATTACTAGATGAAGCAGGTTTAGCAGTTGCAGTGTTGTCACCAGCAGTAGAAGTAGACTGACGTCTTCTTACAGACATGCTCAGATGAGCCATTGCATCCGCGATTGGATCGCTACTTTTGTCCTCAGTACCCTTGGGTTGTTCAGGAACATCGCCAACCTTCAACATGTTTGGTCCAACGTTTAACACTACGTTTGCCCTGGGGTCAATCTCATCCATCTCATCCGAATGACTTGAGCCAATTGCTGGAGAAACTGGCTCCTTCAATGAGTCTTTAATTGGAGAATTACTACGGCTTCGCATACTAGAAAATGTAGATCCGACAAAAGGAGAAGTAGGGCGACCCATGCGTTCCATAATTGATTTCCGCTTAATAGATCCCATACTGCTTTGAGAGCCTTGTCCATGACGGGAAAACGACGGTCTTGATACTCTACTATTAAAAGAAGGAGGAGGGAAGTCTTGCCCAAGGATTGCATCATCCAGGTCATTTTTTGAAGATCTATCTTCTACAACTGGTTCAATTGGCTTAGTAGGAACAATTAAAGGCGAAGATGGTTCACCAAGTTCAAACTTGTTCGTCTCTACTTCAGTGGTTTGTGTTGGGACAGTAGTTAAAGACGGTACCGAAGGAGATTCCTTAAACTCGGAGTTTCTCTGGGAATCATTTCTTAGTTCAGGAACGCTAAATGTCATTTCGGGAGATAAGGACTGTTCAAAACTCATGGGTTGCATTTTACCAGAAAAAGGAGAAGTAGGAGGGGAAGCAAGTTCGGATGAAAAGGAGTCGGATTTTTTGATTCTAGGAGATGACATATGCGGAGATGCAGACAGCAAAGCAGAAGAACCAGCCCTTGAACTAGCACGATAAAGGCTGGGAGCTTTGGAAGCAATTTGATTAAGATCGACCTGTATTCCATTCTCCTTAAAGTAGTTGTGTTCTTCAGGAAGAGATGGTACGTTTGTACCGGTTGACTCCTTTTGAATAAGCAAAGTAATGTCATTGGCTACATTAGTTTTCTCGAGAGTAAGTCGAATACGTTCACAAGCTTCGTCATCTCTGACACAGGCGGTCGAAATAATGTTTGCATATGACCACATATTTGTTTTCAGAAACTCAAGTCGATACTCTTCAATATGCTGAAAAGCATCGCAAATTTCAGTCCATCTATCAACCCAGTCTTGGGTGACTGTCCGTAAGAGACTATTAGTTTCACGGTACTCTTTTTCAGTCCTTTGGACTGTTAACGCGGCTTGACGCACCTTAAGATTATGCTTGTCCAATTCTCGGCCAGAGTATTTCGACGCTAACTTTAAATATGAGTTAAGCTTATTAGCGCTGTACTCATAGGCATCATACTTTTCAGAAAGATCAATTTCCAAAGCTGTCTTTTGTTGATAAAGTTCTTCAATGGCATCTGTGGCTAGGGATTTCTGTTGTTGAGTTTGAGAAATATAGGTATTTACTTTTTCGAGAAGCTCTTTTTCAATTTGACCAGAAACTTCATTATGAGCTTGAGACATATTACTTGTCTCTGTTTTTAAAGATTCCATATTCTGATATGTAGTGCCATATTCTGCCAGCTTTGGAGTTTCCGAGACTAGTTCGTTTAATTTTAAAGCATATTCTCTCTCAATAGCAGCCCTATGCAGGTTAGTAAGTATTACCAACACACATTAAAATTTGGAAAATGTTGTAAACTGTTCCCGCTTAAAAAACCAATGCAGCTCAGATACGCAGCCGAAATCACTAAACAATCCATACTTGATTACAGTAATGCCCGCTGGATGTCAAACCGGAATAAATCAACAATGAAGTATCACCATACCTTCTGGAATAGAACCTGTTAATCACCTCTAATGTGGAAAGAGAATTTCTTGTCCGAGACATAAGAGCATCCATGCCCGCATCTTCATATCCCTGATTATACCAGTCGTTAGAGCTGTCCTTCCGGTGAATGATTTTTAAAACGTACCCAAAAATTCTCACGAAACTTCGTTGGAGATTTCGTTATGTAAGGAGCGACTTCATTCTCATTTACAGCAATATCTGCCATTCTATTCAACAAAATGGCCCAATGTACCAATTTCGTGTAGTTGGAAAGTATGGAGGTGGATAACAGAGAATAAACAAATTTGTTTACGCTACCTCTGCATAGCAACCAAACACAGCAACCGTTACCTTACTTGATTTATTAGTAAACAAAGGAGAATCCATGATAACGTTAGAACGCGTTACATATTTTAACGACACTCACAGTATTTCAGCGCATTGAGATCCCGTCGTTAACTACTAGCTTTCTCAGCTTGCGGACCGACTTTAATATCTACATCCTTCTTCAAAACACCACTACACTCGCACATCGAAAATTTTAAAGATATTTCGCCTTGGTTTTGATTTTGTATATATTCAGAGGTTTACCTGTTGAAACAAGAGAATATAGAGTTCAGAAGCCTTAGGGAAAGGCATGAAAGATTATTATTGAAGAACCTTTATACAATAAAAGCAGAAATGTCGGATATGAGAGATAAATCAAGTTCAATGTCGGATTCAAATCATTCATTACCATTAGAAAACAAGACTACAGCTCCTAACGACTCCAAAATTGAGAGTATTGTGAAAGCTCAAATTCTCTTCTTGTTGTCCACTTTACGGGAAGACCAGTATGACACTAAACTTGAGCAGATTAGGCAGCTTATTAATAAGAATGCGCCAGGCGTATATCATCATTTCTTGCGTCGTTTAGTGCAAGGTAATTCCTATCGTATCTTTGGTACTGGGAAATCATCTGATGGTTTAGCTACATACAAATTGTTGCTAGACGAGCTTAAGTCATTAACAAAATCATGGGCTTTAGCGAGGCGGTTCAGCGATGCTATCTCGGGGTCTGATTCCGAGGTCTTTGAAGATTTCGATATTGAGACGTTTCTAAACCACTTTCAATTTTCTCCTTTAGAACGCTCAAATATATTAATTGGTTTGACTACATCTGTAAAACCATCTCTTTCTAAGAAGGCTTCGGCTTTATTAAAGGAAGAGTTTCAGCCCTTATTAAACCAGCTCGCTAATCCAAATCAACAAATTAACATGGAAAAAGCTGATTTGGATATGTTGAGAGATGGTTTATTTACATCAGATTATGACCGCATACCCCTGATTCAAGTTCCTAAATTCGATTCGGTGGTTGAGAAGCGTTTAGCTAATTGTCGCCCTCTTACTGCTCTGTTTGGCAATTTAAAGCATTCGAAGGCAACTTTAAAAACCATGAAAGAAGCCATCACAAAGAAATACCCTCCCGAATCCGTTTCCGAATCAGATGTAGCTTTCCTTATTAATTCTTTAGTTGCTATTCATGACTATGGTGCCTGGGACACAGTCTTGATTGGAAAGGCAGTTGTCTCGGCCTTCGAACATTTAGATTGGGAATCAATGCTTCCGATGTTTGATAATCCTAAGTTCATGGTTACTGGAAGCCCTAGTCTCATTCTCTTCATGACAATTTTTTCTAATGCTTTTAAGCTAAGGCAACGAACTTTCACTTTAGATTTTCTTTGGAATCTTTGGAAGAACCCCTTATCTCAGCTATCTATTATTTCGCATATTATTTTGACGCCTACTTCGCTATTTGATATCAAGGAGCATAATATAACTCCCATTGTTTCTGTTAATGATTTGGATGACTATAGTGAAGAACTTATTAACTATGCTAAAGGTTATGAAAAAAGTAACCTTAATTGCTTGGAACTCGTTCGTGTGCTTCTTCGATTATTAACTGAAGTTGTTACTTACGAAACTTCCTTATTCCTCAATTTTCTGGATGAAAAAATTTCTGCCGAACTTTTGCTTTTGGGTACTCTTCAGTTACCTATGCCATGGAACCAAGTTCAAGAGTCATTAGCCTTCCAATGGTGTTCAGATTTTTTCACTAACTTTTCCCAACATAAGTTTGTTTTCCATAGAATTGAGCACATGAACCCGCAATTCCTCTTTGCATTTTTGCGAAGCCTATGGCTTAAAGACAGCATGTCGATCAATCAAATTGTCAATTTTATCGTTGAAAATAATTTTGTCGAGCATGTTAATAATGTCCAACCTAATCGCTTTGCTCTAGAAATTGCTGCTCTTGCTTCCGCTCGTAAGGCACTAAATTTTCAAACTTGGCTTGATGGAAGGTTATCTGAGTTTCAAGATGCTGAAAACCTGAATATTTTTCTGGTTGAGGTTTTAGACTTTTTGATGGTCCATGCTGCCTTACAGAAAACACCAACTGAAAACGAAGATGAACTTATACCATTATCGATTGACGTAGTCAATATTCTTTTAACTACGCTAATGGATAACGTTAGCATTTCGGAAGAGGTCAGCGAGCACATTAAGGATGTACAAATACTTTGCCTTCAAGTTTATCCTCGCCTTTTTGCTCTTGGTCATGATCGTGATGATCTTATTATGAATGCTAATGGTACGAACTCTTTCTCCCCCGATGTGGAAGCTGAAGTAGAATCTTTTTTCCAAGCTTTATATGAGCGCAAGCTATCCATTGGTAAAATTGTACTTACTCTGCAAACTTTCAAAAAATCTGATAATCCTCGAGATATGGATCTCTTTGCTTGTTTGCAACACAGTCTGTTTGACGAATATAGATTCTTCCCTGACTATCCTTTGGAGGCTTTGGCTTTGACCGCCGTTTTGTTTGGCAGTTTGATTCAGTTCGATCTTCTTTCTTTTGTGCCGCTAGGTGTTGCGTTGCGTTATGTGTACCAAGCTCTTTTAATGCCTACGGACTCTAAAATGTTTAGGTTTGGTATGCAAGCTTTAGTACAATTTCAAGATAAGCTTCCAAAGTATATAAACTACTGTAATTTGATTTTGGGAATCCCTTCTTTACAATTAACTCGACCTGACATTTATAACTCCATTAAAGAGATGATTGCTTCCGCAGAAACTTCAACGATGGAGGCAGAAAAGGCGCTTATGATACCGGAGCCCACTGCTCCTGCTAGTCCAAAGTTACCTTCCTATTCATTCGTTTCCATCAGAGTACCAGCCTTATCTTTTCCTAGTGTCAGCGGAGAAATTCAGGAAACAGTTTGCGATAACATTCTTTTCGCTTTGAATAATTTATCTCAACTTAATTTTGGCGAAAAGTTGCAGATTGTCAAAGAAAGCCTCAAACCGCCTTATTTAGCATGGTTTTCTCACTATATAGTCACCCAACGTGTTAGTCGGGAAGCCAATTTCCTTGCTTTATATAGTAGGTTTTTGGAAGAGTTAAAAAATAGCGATTTATATAAGATCGTATTTAGAGACACGTTGCAAGCGGCTTTGGACATCTTGAACTTAGATACTGAGACATTGCCTTCCATTGAAAAGTCAAGTTTGAAAAACCTTGGATCGTGGTTAGGAAGTATAACTTTGGCTAGGAATAAGTCCATCACTACACTAAATGTCTCATTTAAAGACCTATTGCTAGAAGGTATTGATAGTGAGAGAATTGACCGGGTGCTTCCTTTTGTCTGTAAAGTTCTGGAAAAGGTTACCTTGTCAGACGTATTTAAACCACCAAACCCGTGGTTGATGGGGATTTTGAGGTTGTTGGTCGAATTATATCATTTCGCAGATTTCCGTTTGAATATGAAATTTGAAATTGAGTTATTATTACAGAGTATAAATGTCAAAATGGATGACATTGAGCCGTCCGAATTATATAGGAACCATTTAATCCATAAAGCCGATTTAGAGAATGATCTCCCAGAGGATGTTGTGAGCCAGGACTTGCGAAACGACGCAAATATTATAATGCAATATATTGCGACAGCATCGCCTCAAATAATTGTTTCTGATGCCGTTGCTCAAATATTTGGAAAATCTAAAGCCGCAATTAAGAACAGTATGCAGTTAATTATACAGCAATCGGTTTTGGAAATCATATCTGCTGTTGTTAGGAGGTCTGTAGGTATATCAGCCATAACTACTAAAAGCTTAATCCAAAAAGACTTTGCAGCCGAATCAAATCCCTCAAGTTTATTATTGGCTGCTAGACAGATGGCTAAAACATTAGCTGGAAACTTGGCTATGGTTACATGCCGGGAACCGTTACAAATGCTGATGATTAATAATTTACGTACAATGATTTTGCAGGATGTGGAAACCGTACATGCAGCTGTTGCTCAAGCCATAGATGAGCTTGTGCTTCAGAATTTGTTTATTGCCAGTTCTATCGTTGAAACTGTGGCATCCGAAACCGCGATTGCTGAGATTGATGCAGAAATTGAACCTATGATAGTTGAACGTGTTCGCCATAGAAAATCCACCCCCAACGTTCCGTTCGTTGATCCTGCTGGAGCAGCAAATCTGCATCTTAATCTGCCAGGAATATTGAAGCTTTCTTCCGAGTTAGCCCCCCAACAATTTCAACTATATGAAAATTTCGATCGACTAAGTCTGTTTACCATTATGAGTAACTCTGGTTATGGCAATATGAACGGGGTACGACCAGAAGTTGCTGAGGGTTCAGAAACTCCAAATACAAGCATGAATGTTCCTATGGAAAACGAAGTAAATCAGGCTGCTTTGAATTATGCCCGAAATCTTTTGTTGGTAATAGCACAAATTTTACAATTGTCTAGTCAAGTACCATATACTAGTATGCAAGAAGTACCCGCTGAGCATGAATTTCATGATTTAGTAAATCAATTCCTAACGGGGGTCGCTTCAATTAACCATCCTATTGCTGACCACGTCTTTCTTTTGTGTGCACAGGAATGTTGTCGAATTCTTTTAACTGAAAGCGCTTCTCCATTTGTATTAGAAGTTTTTTGCGCAATATTAGAATACATATGCCAAGCTTCTAAAAAGACTGCGATTAGTGTTTCATTATATTGGAACTTTTCTAGTGATATTGAGAAGTTGAATCTTCCTGTTATTCTTAGTCTAATTCGTTTTGGAATTTTGACGACTGCTGAGGTAGACTACCATGTTGCTCGAGGTATAGATGCTGAACAGGGTAAAGGTCCTGTTACTACATTCGCGATTGGGCTTCTTAAGACTGCTGTTAGTGGAGAAAGTCCTATGGCATTGCCGGGTAACTTTGTGAATTCCATTGATAGTCTTTATAAACACAGTTCTATGTTTACTGATGAAGTTAAGGAAGCTTATGATCAATTATTTGAGTCAATGGGTAAAATTGCCTCTCCAGCCAAGGAAATATTGGCGGTGCTTGACAATAAACAGCAACTAAATGACCAAATGATAATTATTTTTGTTTCTTGGGTTCATCTTTTGCGTAATTCTGCAACTGATGATGTTCTGAAGGCCGCTTTCGTTTATCAACTTCATAAGCAAGGTATCCTAGGTGACTTGGAGTTAACGCTACAGTTTTTCCGCTGCAATCTAGAAGCTGTGCTAGTTGCTTTCCTAGAGGCTGCATCAGCAAATGCTCCGGATTACTGTAATGTTGATGCTTTTGCATCACTCATAGTCAATGTTGTCAAATACTCGGAAGCTAAAGGAGAAGAGAATACGAGCTCAGTTAGAAGTGTATTTTTCCGAAAAATTATGGCTCTCATAACTGGTATTTTTGCCGAATTACATAATGCTATGGACGAGTTCGTTCATCAAAAGACCTTCTTCAGGTTGTTTTCGAGCATTTTATCTGAACTGGATGAAAGCAAAGAATTTGAATCGTCTTTTACGGATATATTCATCATATTTCTCCGTAGTCTTCTTGCTATTCAACCGAATTATTTCCCTGCCTTTACATTTGCGTGGTTAAGTTTGATATCGCATGCATATCTTTTGCCCAAGATACTTATGGCCAATAATGAGCATATCAACACTCTTTATAGTGAGATTTTAGCTGCATTTTTAAAGTTTCTGGGTTTAAAGGATGGATATGATAAGGCGCAGTTTAAATTGCTGTACAATGGATTTTTGCGTATCGTCCTTGTCTTGCTCCATGATTTTCCGGGCTTTTTAGCAACTCATTGCTATCATTTAATTCCCCATATTCCTTTGGAATGTGTGCAGCTTCGAAATATGATTCTGAGTGCTTTTCCTAACGACATGCATTTACCAGATCCTTTTGCACAAGGCTTGAAGGTAGGAAGATTACCGGAAGTGGCTTGTGCACCTTTGATATCTGATTCCATCCTTTCTTCTTTGGATGATTTCGGTTCTCAATTGAGTTTAGATGCTTGTTTGGCTTCCAATAAACCAGCTGATGTAGCCAAATTATTCCTTGAGGCTTTCTCGAACCTTGAATCTGCTGAACAGCTTAATGAATGGGCTAATTGGTTTGTTTTATGGCTTATTCGATATGCCACACGGGATTTGCAATCCAAACAGGCACCTCAATTCCAGCCGAAATCTCCTGAGTGCGTCATTATCAGTACATTTAATAAGCATTGCAACTCCAAATGCCGTTACTTTTTATTAACAGCTATTGCAAATCAGCTACGTTATCCAAGTAGTTATACATATTATGCTAGCTGTTTCTTTTTATACCTATTCAAGAGTTCCTCAAATATCACCCAAGAACTGCTGATCAAGGAGCAGATGACGATGGTACTATTAGAGAGAATTATCTGCAATCGTCCTCATCCATGGGGACTTTTAATTACTTTTACTGAACTTTTGAAGAATGAAGATTATAATTTTTGGAAACACCCATATATCCGACGAAACGACGAAATTCGAAGATTGTTTGATAGTCTTCATGAACATATTATGGCACCTTCAGCGAACATAATGAACGCAAGAGATGAAGGAACAGAGATTATGGGTCAGGTATAAGAAAAAAAAAAAACCCCTAAGATGTTATTACAATTTAGTGATTTTTAATACGGTGAATATATTAAAAAGGAAAATATCTATTCTCTACTACAAGAGATAACGCATAAGAAGGTGGTATTTTGAAAAAGAAATGAAAAGAAAAACCGCTCGTTGATCCAAATGACGGATTATTTATTGTAAGATACGAAAGCATATAGATAATGATAATTGTTGAAATGCATTACCCAGTTTTTGAGTATGATAGTGGTATATATGAGTAAACAAGAAAAAAAAAGATGAAAAGCAAAAGATCGGATGAAATGATTCAAAAGTTCATAAACTTATAAATGGATAGAAAAAATAAGTTTTATTCTATACAGAAAGCTAAACTCTAGATGGTTTTGTGTAAAAGAATGAAGAGGATGGATGCTTAAAACTTGCCTAAAAGGAAGCTCTTTATCATTCGCTTGACAGTAAAGTAGATGGTCTTATAAAGAGTAGGGAAGTCAAGAGTTGAAAAGAGCGTTTCAATTAATCCAAAAGGGAGCATGCTAGGGATCCAGCCTTGAGCCAACTCAAGGGCAAAACAAGGTTGACCAGAAGGCATACTGTATTGAGCGCTTTGGCCCCATTTATGGACGTGTTGATCACCAGGAAGGTACTCACGAGCTTGCAAGTCGTTAGCAGAAGCAGCAAGCTGGCGACCAACCAGAATGGTGAAGTAATCATCGGCCATGTGTAAGCCGGTGTGACCTTCCGTTCCAATGGGAGTACCAAAGAACATGAGGTATTCGGTGAAAGAAGCGTGAAGAATAAACACGTTACCCATAGCTCCACCAGCATTGTTTTGGACCCATTCGTCGTCGTTCATGGGGTGGATCAAATCACCATACTCAGCAATCAGCCGCTTATTTAAATCGTACAATAATCCACGGGTATCATTTCCATAAAGTTCAATAGATTGACGAGACAACTCTTGTAGTTTGGCAGGATCAAATCTGTAAAAGGAAGATATGTTTACCTGAATATAGTATATGACGGCTGCAATAGCTGGCAGTAAAAGCCCGAATAATTTTAAGCACCTCATGATGCAATGAAAGGAAAAACGAACGATAAAAAAAAAGTGGTTTTCTGTAAATCTTTTCTGTTTTCCAACGCGAAGCTTATAGCAGCAGTTTATTTGTTACTTCCGGTTGCTACCTGCTGATCGTACGGTTTTTTTAATTTGCTTTTACTTGATAAAGGGGTAAAATTAATAATATTGCACAACCATTATATAAAAAATAATTATAAGGAATATATGATTGTACAGAATATCAAGCTTGAGTAAGCATATAAGAAAATCTCACTAAGGAAGATGGGAATGGACGGTTCAACAGAACGGGAGAGACAGGCATACCTTTTGGAGTAGACTAAAGTAGGACAGTATAAGCATACAATACATTGTTCTTCCAGCGAACTCTTTTCAAGAAGATTCTCTGTAATCGAATCCATAAACTCAAATACGAAATGGCTTCTATGTGTGTCGGCAGCATAGAAACTATTACGTTACGGTTGAATTTACTCTCTTTATAATCGCCATCATTAAAGGATGAGCAAACATGTTTGTTATTGAAATCGAAACCATAAATAAACTATTAAGATAAACTATGAATTAGATCTTCAGTAATTTCCTTCTGAATCCGTTCGGATTCTGTAGTAAGACTCGACTCGAGTGTCAGCTTGGTAGCTGCTAGCTTGCGTATATTTTCCTGCAGTTGTTAGCATCCTTATATCAAAAAGTAAACACTCACCTCAATGCTATTTTCCGTAATCAGACGATAAACGTGAACAGGCCGAGTTTGTCCAACTCGATGTGCACGATCTTCTGCCTGCAAATCATCAAAAGGATTGAAAGAACAATCATACATGACGACAACATTGGCACAAGTCAGATTGATTCCAAACCCTCCTGATTTTGTTGAAAGCAGAAAAACTTTATACTCAGGATTTTCGTGAAACTCGTCTAGTAGACTTTGCCTTGTATCTACTGGAGTAGAACCATCTAGTCGTAAAAATTTAATACCGATGGTTGTCAGGACGAGCTCAAGAATATCTAATACTTGAGTAAACTGACTAAAAATTAAAGTTCGATCTTCTGTGTTAACTTCATGTAACAATGAAACTAGCTTGTTTACTTTTCCCGACTTCATCCAAGGATCTCCTTGCAACTGGAACTGATGCAAAGACTTGAATTGCATACAGAGGTGATGAAGCTCAAAATCCGACATCACTTCCATATCTTCATAAATATAACTTTCGTTCGCATCTAAATATTGATCTTCCCGTAAGATTCTTTTTGACATCGTCTTCAACGTCTCCGGAGAGTAGATAGAACGAAACAAAAGTTGGTGATTGACAACTTTTCGAAGTTGCATTATAATATTTTCACGACTGCTAGATGGATCATTCCGCAGTTGAATCAATTTTTCGTAAAGACCCTTTTGACTAGGTTCCATAGAACAATACTCAACGTGCTGGATTTTCTTTGGAAGATCAGACAAAACATCAGCCTTTTTGCGACGAAGAATGAAGGGATTCATAATCGATTTTGCTCTAGATATTCTTTGTTGAGAAAGGTAAGCTCTTTCAAAATTTCCATCTGAAGAAGGCTTAATTTTATAAATTATATCCAATCCTTGCATATTACTATCAAACATCCTAGGTAACATAAAGGCAAGTAAAGACTATATATATATATATATTAGTTCAGTTTCAAAACGTATAAAACTGTGCACATACGATTAGCTCCTTCAAATTATTTTGCAATGGCGTTCCAGTAATCAAAAGGCGAAACTTGGCTGGGATATTCATCAAGTGCTTGTATCTTTCTGACATGCGATTTTTTAAATAGTGCCCTTCGTCAAAAACACAAATCTATACGTTAGTACATACTTTGAGTATGGATGGATTCGTACATTAAATTTTTGTCTTCGTAAGAATGCTCTGTCATCCCTAGAACCCGAAGCCATATGATAGTTTGTTACCAAAACATCGTACTCGTTATCCATCAGATAATATCTTTTTTCTACCCTCTCAGTTTGATTTCCCGAGTATTCTTCAACTCGTATAGAAGGACAAAATTTAGTAAACTCCCGAATCCAATTTTCAAGAGTAGATGCAGGAACTACGACCAAATGAGGACCTTTAATGTTTTTCTCTTTCATTGAAGCTAAAAATGCTATAACCTGGCATGTTTTTCCAAGCCCCATTTCGTCCGCTAAAATCCCTGATAAATCAGCATGATACATTAAACGTAACCAGTTAACACCCATCATTTGGTAGCTCTTTAATTTCATTCCAGGTGCCAGCAAGCCCGGTTGCTCTTCCATGTACTCCATCGGTATGCATTCTTCGCCGCTTTCACTTTTAGGATTGTCATTATTTTTGCTTTGTTGTAAGTAATGCCACCCTTTTAATGTGTTTGCTATGAGGCGTCCGTATTTTTCGCAACGATTAATCAAGGAATCAACGGCATCGAAACCTTGTAAAACTTCATATGTAGCATTCACAACTTTCTTTCCAACTCGATGGGCGTCCGATTTTGAACGCTTTTGTTTTTCAGTAATTTTTTTCCTATGAACGACTTCAGCCTTACTCAGACTTGGGTATGGCCTCTTGGAAATAAAATATTCAACAATATCGTGAGGACAACCAGACACATCCAGTAATTCTTGTGAAGTACAGCTGTTCAAAAAATCAAGTACTCGCTTATCATAGTCAGTTTCTTCATCACTCTCATTTTGGACTTGGTGTTCATCAGGCTTCTCCTCTGAAGTGACTTCTCTTTCATCCTCAGTATTGGCTTTACCAGTAACTGATGATGTACTAATCCCTTCTTCTTCTTCTTCTTCTTCTTTCTCTTCATCAGAAAGTTGAATTACACGTGAAGTCTTTTTCCGAGATTTAGCTGATTCAAGAGGCTTTCGGCTCTTGATGTCTCTTTTTCTCGGTATATTGGTTTTGGAAAACAAAGGTTTCACAGACTTATCGTCTTTTTGTTCTTGTGAAGTTTTGTTCGAAACATGCCCACTTGGCTCTTTAAGTAGCCTTTGAAAGGTGAGTTTATGAAGAACCATGTTTTCTTTCCAATTAAATTTTTTCAACTTATCCACTATGTCATTTTCGTCTAATTCAGGAAATCGACGTTTAACCATTTCAATTTTGGAGTTTATCATTTCAGTATTTACAGTATCATCGCTTCCGGAAACAGTCTTCCAATCTGAATCCTTTTCAAATCCTTGCTTCGACTCAATTTGCTTGGCGTTCTTTTCTTGAAGGTTTCTGTTTATAGTTTTGGGACCGTCAATATCCCCAGATGTCACCGATTCCAACGCTAAAGGATTCAGTCTTTCTCGAAAATCTTTTCTTACGCCAAAATCTATATTATTCTGATCATTTTCACTCCCAGCGTTATGTACAGGAGACTCTTCTATCGGAGAACTGTTTATATAGAATTGGTTATTCTCGCACACTGGAGTACCAGGAGGAGATGAACTTGGGATAACTATTTCTTTATTTTCTTTACTCAACATTTACGCTTCTAGCATACTTAGGAAGATAGTGTGAAAGAAAAAAGTATAAGTTTTTGTTTACAATCGAATAGTTTGCGCTACTGCTAGCTTCATAAATTTAGACATAGCGAAAAACCCTGATCATTAAATAAAATAGGGAGATATAAGAAGTAATGGCTTATAGTTTTTTGTTGGAAAAACCAGAATTTAGTAAATTCATTTGGAAATATCCAAGGAATTGCATCGCACTTACAAATGTAAATGAACTTTAGACAATAGCTAATACTCATCTCTTTGGCTTACAAATTCACTATTCACTATTAAACATAATGTTATTGAATGATAGACAGTTCCATAACCCAAAACCACAAAAACCCCAAAAAAATTCTAATTAATTCTTTGATTTCTTTTTAGAAGACTTCTCCTTTGAAGATTGCTTCGGTTTGTTTGCTTCTTCAACTTCATTTTTTCTCTTTTGACCTTTCACACTAACCACGGTAGATCCCTTACCTTTAGTTTTATTGATTTGTTGCTCAGCCTTCTTCCAATCTTCTTCATTTCCGCCAATAGCATACTTGTCCAAATCCATAGCATCAATTAAGGCTTTTTGTTTCTCACGAAGGGATAGCATAGCTTCGTCAGCACCTTCTTGTAATTCTTCTTCAAGTGATTGCTGAAGAGGAGCAAATTCGGGAACTCTGTTATTTGGCTTCTCAATTTTCTCATTGGCTTCCAAATCTTGTTCGATATTCTTGCTCTCAATTTCATCTAAGCAAGTGGTAATCTTCTTCAATAACTTAACCAACATAGCCAATAATTGGTTCGAAGGTAAGTTAAATTCCCGTTCCAAGTCATCAATCGTCTTGAATTGTAAACCAAGGGCAAGCAAAACAGATTGTTGAACAGGTGAAAGCTTAACAGTCTCAGGGAATTTATCACTAAAATAGAGACCAGCTACCTTAGGAAGCAAATCCATAACTACATGATAGTCAAGCAAATTGTTGGCATATGCCTCCAATCGCTTTAAATCGAAAGATTCAAAGAATTGGTGAATTTCTTCATCAGATAGCTTGGGGACTTCAGACTTGATGTATTTGGTACCATTGTTACAGGCGTCTAAAATACTCAATGAAGTAATAGCGGTAAAGCTTCTGAATTGGTAACCAAGTAAAGTCAAGAATCTCTTATAGAAGTTTTGTGCGAAAGCACCCAACCACTCGGTATCACGTTCTGCCAAAGGTCGAAGCATAACACATGTGTGTTCACCAGTCAAATCGTTGGCAGTCTGTCTGAGGTATAATGGACAATAACCCTCTCTCTTCCAAAACTTTTGCAATGTTGGGGTCAAACCATAGGAAACACCCATATAATGAAGATATTCTGGCTGAAGTTCTGATAATTTCAAGAGTAAGGGTGGCATAGTTCTAGCATCTCGGACATTAAGCTTCTCAGTTTGTAGTGCGTTTTCTTGAAGTTCTTCATCAGAAACTCGCTTCATATTTTCAAGAGGAGGACGATAATCTTCAGAAACGCTAACGAATTTACCTTCAAAGTAGTCATGCAATAACTCTAGAGCTCTAGTACCGTATCCCATCTTTGTATGCTCGGGAGAAACCGCAATACGGACAATACGAGCACCACCCAATGTAGCAAAATTTTCATCTTGGTATTGTTGAGAAACGAGCCAAGGAATTAAGTCACCACCTGCTCTTTGACCTCTACTTAATCCATTTAAAATGGAGTCCCTCGAAATAGAACCTTCTAAAGCTAGTTGAATAACACAGATAGGATCAGGTAATTTGGGATTCTTCGGGTCAACAGGAGGCAGTAATACAAATAATTGATGAGCAGGAGCATCAGACATTAGTTGTAAATCATTTGGAGAATTCTTGTAATGACTTGCAACGTAAAGAGCCATCATGCGTTGTAGAAACGCTTCCGAAACAGGATGATAAGAAAACAATGTGTCTCTACTAACTCGGAATAATGAACACTCAGAAGGATGGGGAAATCCATGAGCTGCAGACTTGGAAATATAATTAGTAGCGTCCAAACAGAGCAATTTATTTAACCATCCCTCAATACGATCTCCAGCTGCATATCTAATAGGTTCATCCAAACTGATTTCTTTCAAAGTTCTTCCGCTAATCGAAGAACCGCTTGCAGAACTATTTGCATTTGCTGAAATGATGCGAGATTGCTCTCTAAGTTGTTGCAATAGCTTCAAAGAGAGAGAACGACCAGTGCCTTCGTAGCCGTTGATGGTGGAAGCCATAAATACTAAGTAAGGTCCAATCAATTTACGAACCAAAGGCAAAGGGATCGCTGCTGCTTCATCAATAACTACTAATTCAGCTTGACCTAAAACATTGGAATCTTCTGGGCGGATATATTGAATCGTCTGGCGATGGTCGCGAAAAATATTAACACGCACAATGGCGTTATTGAAAGCTGGATTTGTTGACTGGACAATATCATAATCGGTATGCTCATCATAATTTAACGCATCAAATCCCTTGAAAATGAATTCAAAAAGAGTTTTTAAGTTTTCAGGACTGGGAGAAGTGATAAAAATATTAGAATAACCGTAAGCAACTGCAGCTGCAATAGCAAGACCTAGCGCAGCAGATTTACCACGACCACGGCTAGCAGTTAGCGAAACAGTGCCTCTCAAACTTTTCTCAACAATAGATTCCACGAAACTTAAGACAGCATGGGATTGGTCAAGGGTACGAGTAATCCCAACAAGTTCACTGGCTAAGTTGTCTTCCCCTAAGGATTCCTGGAGATCTTTAATCTTGTTTTCTGTCGTCCTATCCTCCTCTACAACGGGAGGCAAAGGTTTCACATTTTTACCGCCAGATATTGGAAGAACGTTAAGTTCATCATCAATGACGAGACAGTTTTCGCAATTACCTAAAGACAATATAAATCTCTCATTGAATCTAGCGGTCACGTCACTGTGCGCTTCAGTTCTGTAACGAGAGTGAATATCCATAGACATGGTATAAAGCTGCTTCAACGAATTAATTTTATGAAGCAAGAGAACAACAACACCACCTCCTTCAATGGTCTCAATTGTGCGTGCAAGGATATTAGGAGTCAATGCCTCAAAATCTTGCAAAACCAACATTCCATAAGTAGTACCCAAAATTTTTTCAGATTCCTTGTAGTAACAATAACGGATATTGGTGATACTGCAGAAAAGCTCAAAAGGATCCTCCGAATTAGGATCACGGATTCCCCTCTTGACTTCTTTCTTGATTTTATTCTCTCGTTTCTTACGGTGACTTTAAAGGTTAGATTACAATAGGGAACATGGAGTCATAAAAGCCAACATACCTAGTAAATCCCAATAAATCTTTTTTATACATCCAAAGTACATTGGGACGAGCTGCAACCTTCGACTGAGATAGTAACCAATGAAGATTTACAACCTGATCTCGAGCTTTGTCACCGACAACAACGAAAAAACTTCGTTGTTTTTCCTACAATTGTCAGTTAATTTTCTAAACTCAATTGCATACCTGACAGCCATTCTTTATAAGTGCTGGAATACGAGAATCGAGAGCTTTTTTTGGCATTCCTGGTAGTTTAACGTTTCTGGCTGCTGCCAAGTTCTATTTTGCCTTTCTGAAGATAAAAAACGAAAGTGTCGTTATGGTTCGTTAATAGGAATAGTGAAAAGACTTTATTCAAAAATAAATAAAAAAGGAATCATTAATTTAATATAAAAAAAATAAATCATTTAGTGATAAAAAGGTCATTATTGAATTCCTTGATTTGGGATGAGTATCTTTAAAGCTAATTCATTAAGATTAACGGGAGCCATGGTAATGGGAACTATGAGGGAAAATAACTCGATTTAAAAGTTGGTATGCTTTTCCTGTGAAGAAACATAGGCTTCTAAAAATTTGATATTCGTCAAAACAAATTTTAAAGCCCGAGTCCAATTTTCGTCCTGATTGAAGGCAAGTCGAATACACTTGCTTCCAATACGATCGTTTTCTATAGGATAAGGTAAGATGGCAGAAGGTGTATTGGCAGCACAAAAGTCGCCCAGTTGGTGTAAATAGTCCAAGAAGGCTACCATTCCTTGATCAAAACGACGGTTCATAAATATTTTGAGTTCACCAGTAGAAAATAAATCTAACCTTACAGGCTTTGTCTGTCCAGTGCTAGGATCCTGATCAAAACGAAGAACGTATGACTGACTACCGAAGGGTTTCAGCTGGTATAAAGGAGAATGAAAATCTAGTCTTTCAGCTAGTACGTCCAAGAGCAAAACCGTCATCCCCCATGCGGCATTAATTTCACTCCAGCTTACCTAAAATACGAGTTGTCAGCTAAAACCATATCTCAATTTGACAAAGCATGATAGCTTACCTTTTGGCTAGGCAACCTGCCCAACCGCAAGCCATTGATGGTAGCAATAGATCCTTCTCCATTTGGCTCAGAGTAATGAGATATGTAAAAAATGTCGCTAAAGACATTCATTTTCTGGAGCTTTTCAAATTTTTTCGAATTATGTTCAAATTCTAGTTTTGCGCAATCATACTGCTTTTCCAAAGCACTTTCTTTCATCTGAAGTTGATTAAATGCCTTTTTATATTCATCTTCTTCTATATCAACCTTTTCGCAATCAATTGTTATGGCACGAAACTGACTTTGCAATTCTTGTTCCTGGGATTCCAAATCAATTAATTGTTGTTCTTTTTCCTTGATCGTTCCAGAAATCTAACACTTTGTTAGTAACAGCCTGTTAGTTAAGGCGCATACCTCTTGAACATCGGCTTCCAATCGGGAGATATCTTCATCCTCATAATCTTGATTAGCCAACATGTTACTGTAATAGGAATATAAATTTTTTTCAGCTTTTGTTGAGTTCAGTGTTTTCGTCATTTCCTCTACCAGTAATTCAGCACATTCTTCACACAATGGATGATTCACTTTTGTTTTTGCAAACAGTAAGTCAAAAATTCGATTGTAGTTCTCTATTTTCCAGCTAAACAAGTCGTTAACTTCCGTAGAAGGATTCCGTTCGTCTTCATTCTCATTGTATCCATCATGTGACGCTGGTAGAACCACAAACGAGTCAAGAGTTGGTGTTTTCAATTCTGTTTGAGGCGTTTGAGAAAAATCATATTCTCCCTCTTTAAGCGCTTTTCGATACAACTGTAGCCGCTCCACAGGATAATCCTCCACTGAGGAAGCAGTTTCATCATCGCTTTCACTTTCTTCATTCGTTTCTGTTAAAGATGGCGTCCACAAACCCGGATTTTTTGGAAATAATTTCAATTTCACTAGTTCATCGTCATAATTATCTTTCAATTTAAGCAGCGAATGGCATTTTTGGCATATAAATTGCATGTTGTGGAGTCGAAAAGATACGTTAACTCTTTCATATCAGTACTACGTGCACACTCATACCATATATGCATTAAAGGAGTAAGGGATCGAAAGTATAAACAAACAGTTGAAGAAATTGAGAATAGAATAAATACAAAGATATGGAATTGAATAGAATTGACTTTAAAGAAGTTACATATGGCACCTTCACCAAACTAACAGATGGTTTCGTAAATACTTCTTCTATCACAATAGTCATTCTGTAAACCAAGACAGGAAACAACAGACTCTCGAACTGTTCAATGTGCCCTCTTTGCAGAACAAGCTTCTCATTCATCAAATTTCAACTCTAATCCTTTTTAGTCAAGTATTACTCAATATAGTACGATTATCGTATTGGGGTCATAGCTCAGTGGTAGAGTGAGGGATTGCAGCTCCCCAGGTCACTGGTTCAAATCCGGTTGGCCCCTTACCTTTTTTATAAAAAGAAGGATTGCATTAGGTAGAAATTAATAAATCCATCGTCAGTGGTAACCGTTCCGTCTACTCAAAAACCTATTTTCTATGGCTCCTTTGTCTGCATATGCTATGTGATCAGGTCTTCATTTTAGACATTCTACTGACAAAAAGTGCCGACAGAACGAAGAACACTCAATGTAAAAATAAACAACGAACCCTTGCACCACTCAACTTCTGCGAATTCTTTGCTATGATTCTGTTACTTTATTAAATATGCTTAGGTTCGCAAACAACCTGAGTGAGTATATAAATCTTCGATGAGGTTTATGCCAAACGTTGTCTACAGACAAACAAACGCTTTCTATAATTCCTTGAAGGATTCCGTGAATATTTTCTTACCAAAAGATTCGATTTTAGTATCGAACATTTTTTATATCCTCATGCATGAGGACTTCTCTTAGCTTTATATAAATTAATTATTCTATTCTCTATTCTCAATAATCCGTTGTGGTCCAACGGCTAGGATTCGTCGCTTTCACCGACGCGGCCGGGGTTCGACTCCCCGCAACGGAATTTTTTGAGATTCACTGAAACAGTTATTTTTCTAATTTAAACGAATCATTACGATTTCCAGCATTCTTGTGTTTCTCCCAAAATGTCCCCTAGCTTCGTGGTGTCCTCCACAAGAAGCTGTGTTTAAAATGACTATTAAAGAGATGGTTTGCTAATTTGAAGAGAAAACTTATCCTCGGTTAAGAGGTGAATCCTTTATACTTTTATAAGTTCCAGAACTTTGTATTTTTCAAGGTGATGTGCTTTTAATGGTTTTGGTCGCATAAAGTACTTGGTTGAAATAAAGGTCTTTTTTCGTTTAAGCTCGACTTACTTTAGACGGTGCCTCGTCTATTATGTTACAAAAGAATAATCCTGTTTATGCAGCTACTAGTATAATTGCCGCCCGAATGTCTTGTTTAACGGCATGCTTAATTCAACAATAGCATTTGCTTTATTGTCAAAGCATAACCTTATCGTCAGACTTATTGTCTCCTTGAATAATGTTCGTTGCTATGGTGTTCAAAATCTTCATATGGATGCAACGATTCAATGGTCTAGCATTGTACGAAGGAGGGTATCCATTTTCGATGGGTAAGCTTCGCTGACACCAAGAACAATGCGATGATCGTTCAATCGAGTTTCTGAGCTGTGGTTAACCAAACATTGACAATATCTCTTAAGTCCTTTTGGACTTTTTTTTGATACAATTTGTCATCAATCCAATTAAAGGAATTAAGATGATAGTCATGTGCACCTCTTTAGGGATTTAGGAACAACATTGCTACTAGAATTAACTTTAAGAGTATGCCGGAATTACTCTGTTGATTTTTTAAGACATCATTCATGAATTTTCGTAATCGTCGATACAAGATCGAAGGACTCCAGGATTTGAGACCTATCTATGTATGTGATATTAAAAAAAAAAAAAAAAAAAAAAAAAAAAAAAAAAAAGGAATTACTGGAATAACAGTATATAGAATTTTATCGGTTTATTCCGCAAGGTATTTTATTCAGCCTTTAGAAATGGATTCTAAAAAAACCTTTGCTTTGTTTTAAAGTATGTCATGATTTATATCCTTCTGGATGTTTCATGAATCATTCAGGATTACAATCTTTCCTTCCAAATATTGTTGATCGGTAATTTTCTCGAAATGCATCCTATGCATTCCAGTAGCAACACTCACTGAGCTGTTTCTAATTGAAACGTTATCATCGATTTCGCCGTTTTATATTAGAGAATGTGTGGGTTTCTGTAAAATGCATATTGGATTTCATGCTAGCTCTTCACCAGCTACTAACTATAATTCTTTTTCTTTATTCTTTAATTTCTTGATTCTTTTTTTATTATTTTTTATACATCTCGTCTTTGAAGATTAAATCATGAATTCAACCTCGAATGCATGTCTACGCAATTATTGAGCAGCGTAGTGAAATTGTTTCGAGCATACTCCCGTATCGTTCGTATTTTCTCATTTCCAACGATTTCTATTGAAGGACATTTGACTATGGTATCGTGAAAGCATCAAAAAACAGAAGCATGAATCCTTTCAATAGATATCAAATAGATGCGAGACAACGTTCTGTCAAGTATCCAATGTAACTGCTTATTTTAAAACACTTAACTAAGCTTTGAAGAAAATGACTATCATGATCGTTCTAATTAACTGGAATTTTACATTTCCTTCTTCACGACGTTACGTATTACTTGCTCCAAAGCCGGCTACTCTGAACTGATTACTGCTTGTATTATATTTTTAATTTTATGCTAATTATCCTTAAAACTTTCTCCTAGAGAAAAAAAGACAGTTATCTTATAAACGATATATTTCAGTATAAAGCGATATATTCCATTAATCAAGCTGTAAAGTGCAAAAGCTCATAGTACTATCGCCTCGCTTCTTCAACCTAAAAAGTACTTAAAACTTTTTCACTCTTATAACTGATTTCTTACAATCTTTTCCTTTTTATTCAACGTTTCATTTTTTGCTATATTTCTTTTTTATAAAAGTATTGCTTTTCATGTCTTCTGCACGTGCAATAACCAACTTTCTGACAAAATATAAGGGAAGACTTCATACACCGGATTTTGGTGCCTATTGTTTTAACAAAGAAAAACCTGTGTCTTTCCTCCATGATATACCTTTGTCTTCGCAAGAAGGAACATTGAATCTGGTATGCGTTTTTGGACAGCTTGAATGAATGAATTGAATAGCTAATCCGTGAGTAAACAGGTTGTGGAAATTCCTCGCTGGACGCAAGCGAAATGCGAGATTTCAAACTCAGTACCCTTAAATCCGATTATGCATGATATAAAAAATAAAAAAATTCGATACGTTCAAAACTGTTTTCCATATCACGGTTACATATGGAATTATGGCGCGTTTCCTCAGACATTCGAGGATCCAGTCAAGTTGGATGCACGAACCAATTTAAAAGGGGATGGTGACCCAATAGACGTGTGTGAAATTGGAGGTTCTATTGGATACATTGGCCAAATCAAGCAAGTCAAGGTTTTGGGTGCATTAGCTCTTTTAGACCAAAACGAAACTGACTGGAAGATCCTAACCATCGATATCAACGACCCGATGGCTAATTCTCTTAATGGTAAGTATTTTCATAAAGGAATTTTTTTGACCCAGCTTTAGACATCGACGACGTAAAAAAGATCATGCCTCGTTTGTTAACCTGCACTCGTGATTGGTTTGCAGTGTATAAAATTCCTGATGGAAAATCAAAAAATACATTTGGTCTTTCAGGAGAGTTTCTTCCAAAAAGTGTTGCTAAGGAAATCATTAACGAATGCCATACAAGCTGGAAAATGAGTTCTCAAAGAGCTGATCATATTCATTCATTCCTCACGAATTCAGAAAAGGCTACCCAAATTACCCAACATTTAGAAGAAAGGAAGGAAAGCTCATTCCCAGGAACTTCTTCTTTTCCCTCTATTGGGTATTATTATCAACTACGTGAATAGGCCTTTTTGATACTCACCTAATTTCCTCCTTTATTATCCGAAAGAATTCAATTTCTTTTTTTTTTCCTTTTAATTTTCTTTTCCTGTGCATATCCTTGGATCCTCCATAAATACTTTTTTTGTTTTTTTGTTTTTTTTTGTTTTTGTTTTCGGAGTACATTACCATACTTGTTTTGATGCCTGCGACAATATAAGGTGATCTGATCCATTTATACTGCGCTGTTCATAAAAAAAGGCATTCTGCTATCACGAAAAGATAGAACTGGATTTACAAAAGGAGCAGCATAATTATCCTCAAGTTGGGTGTTTACAGGTTCATGTGCTAACACATCCATGTTGGAAGAACTAGCTGAATAATTTTTCGACTTATAATGCTTTCTGCTATAGTCTTCATTACAGAGAGGGCAAGATGCTTTCGAAGTAGTCATCCAAGTATCTATACATTGAGCATGAAAAAGATGCCCACAAGGAAGGACACGTAAATAATCAGTATAATCATAATTTGCATAGCAGATTGTACAAAAGTCATCTTCTTCTTCCTGGTTTGCATCTTCCGCGTTCATAGTGATGTTCGCATTGTCTTCTCTCGAACAACTTCCCTTTGGTTGACCATAATTATCCATTTCATCGGAAACTTTTGATTCAAAGGAGGATTTTTCCGAAAATTTTGTTGTCGATGAATTCATTGACATTCCTAAGAGAAAGGGGTCCTTGTCGAAAGTATGTGAAAGTTTATCAATTGGAAGATTATCACTCTGCACATTTTGTTTATTTTTTTCTGCTCTTCTTTTATAAAGCCAGTCTCTGTAGGTTACTACTGGAGATAAATAGCCTAGCTCATTTTGGGATAATGTAGGAGGCTGTTGCCTATGGCGAGGAATGTTATAACCTAACATGTTGTGAAGTCTTTCTGTTGGGAATGAAGTAGGAGGTCTTGAAGTGTTCATCCTGTTCGTTTGAATTAAAGGAAGAACATCGTCATCTTCTTCATCAAAATCGAGAAAATGGAAGCATGTTAAGCAGTAGCGACAAATATATATTAATATTAGGTTAAAGAAAACAACTGCAAATATGATTGCAAATGCGAATGGCAAGACATCCTTGTTTCCCTCCGAAGAAGTATCTTCATCCACTTTCATGGAATTATGTCCCTCCATTGCAGTCCCGTGTATCTACTGCAAAAGTAGCAGGCTAATTATCTGTAATATTTTTGATGGAATCCTCAGATTCAAAATCTCGTAAGCATGTATGATAAGGTACTCATTGAATTTGATTCCCATTCAAACCTTTCTACCTAGACTGTAAACAAACAAGCGATCACAAGATACACTATAAAGTAAGGAACAAAGTTATTTGACTAAGGAACAATATATAAACATAAATAAAATTTGAAAAATAAAAAAGAAGGAAAGTACTTTTTATTCAAACAGCTCAATCTATAATCAAATAATTATATTATAGCATCTTATTTTGCAGTATACGCATTTTTTTAAACCAAAAAATAAAGTAATTAATTAAACAAACAATCAAAGCTTAGAAAGTTTCTAAATCTTTTTTATAGCAGAAGCGGATATAGGCTTATAATTAGCAAACAGACAATGTACGTCTAAATCAACATTTCCCAAAACCAGCAATAAATAGGTATTATTTTACTTAAGCAGCCGTCTTCAATCGCTTGTTCGATGTAGCATCTCCTTCATCCACAAGCTTAACAGCAGAGCGATAAGTATCTCTTCTTGTTTCTGCATGGAGTATAACAGAGCGGCAGAATCCGCCAATAGCATGCCTAGCTTGATCTTGCTTCATATCCCAAAAAGTAGCTAAGTTTATAACATCAAAACCAGCACGACATTCTAATGGGCTCCTGGTTTCACTAGATATCAATATACCGCGTCCTCTTGTAGCACGAACCAAACTAGAAGCGTTCGTAACCAAATTCCTTCTGCTAGAAGCTTCCCGTAAACCTGAAGCGTATGAAATTTCAATTCCAATTCCTCGAGAAACCGCAAGTCCCATAATAGTATGCTTTAGATAAAAGGGTAGTCTCTGTGAAAAGTCAAAGGACAAGATATCAAATTCGAGGTCACTGGCAGTTTGCTGCAGCAACCTTTCTCCTACAGGCCTTAAAGCCAAAATATCGAATTCTTTTGTTGCATTATGCTATGAGAGTCAGCTATACGAATATTTGAAGCGCATACCAAAACTTTGTTCTGAGGTGTTGATTCTATCGTTATGGTAATTCGTGAATATATTTTTATCTTTTGCCCTGGATATAGTGTTGCAGGGATGGGGTTTTTCTGTTTTGTTAATATGGGCCCAAACTAGAAATGTATAAACGTTCTATATACAACGTACAATAATATTTTGTAACTTTCCATCGTACTGGTAATTTAATGCAACCGCTGCATAACCCACTGTTCAAGTTAGTATGAAAATAATTCTTGCCTATTCGTACATTTCTCAAGCATTTTTACAGTGTTCACTATTGTCATGTCCTTTACACCTAACGAAGGCCATATTACATTTAAATCTACAAACATTTTTGCCTGCTAGTATAGGTAATGAAGGACGCTAAACGGTCCAAGTTCCAATGGTGGGTGTGGATGGAAACCCATGTATGTATAAGACTTCTATCGTCTGAAGAGCCGAAAGCTCAATAGGCTTGAATACTAGCAGATTTAGCAATCTATTCTTTTTTTTTTTTTTTTTTTTTTTTTTGTGATAGCAAATTAATATAAGATACGCTCACTTGAATAGCATAGTCTGAACGTTTATGCAGTACTCACCATTCAGATTTTTCCTCTGGTTAAGTTAAAGTAGAATAGGCCATATTTTGCATCCGTTTTACAAATGAAGTTCTAAATAATATGATATATTCATGTAAAATACAGTTCTTAATCAGCAGCGAACTTAAAGATTATACTACCTGTTTGCAACACAGAAATTCCAAGTTAGAGAACTTTCAAAACTAAATTTATAATACAACTAGGCAATCAAATGGCTATAAACAGTACAATAGAGTTTATATCTTAAAGCTGTAGATAATAGCATGAATATCAACATGCAAAAGTTCAAGGTCCTATCAAAAAAACATAATAATGATTTAACGTTTTTATTGGTATCAAGCTTCAGACACCTTCAAGAAATAATCATCTAAAGCTTTAATTTAATTTTCAAGGTCGGTCCTTTAGGCTTATTATTATTATCATTAACAACGGGACTTGGTGCAGGTATCTGAGGTGGTGACTTTTCTTTGTTTTTCCCAAACTGTTTTAATGGCGCTTTTCTTATAACAATTTTACCCTGATAAGATGTTAGTTTAAAGACATTCACAAAGACTATGACACTCACTTTTCCAAGGTGGATGGCACGCAAGCGTGGTATAAGACTTGGTATCTTCAATGTAACAATCAATGAAGATTTAGCCTTATATAATACTCGACATATCATCAATAAGTTTCTTTTAGTCATTAAATCTATTTTAGGATCACTATAAGACATTGTTAGTTACCTTTTCAACAAAGAAATACCATAAAAACTTACTTAATAGCTTTCCACATTTCCTCAGATAATACTCTGTTTTTTCCAACGTCGTTTCGCAGTGCCTCAATGGCTCCAGATATACTTGCACGAGATGTAATATCTATACGTTTTTCGATAGCCTTGGTAATATCCTCTTCAACAATCAAATCATCTGATGCAAATTCTGTTTTGGCTCCACCCCGCGCTAAGCAACCAAATCCTTTTTGGATAGAATACATTAAAGAACGACGCACAGCAGGCGAAAGATCGTTTATAAGTATGTAAAACATGTATTTAATTAAAGCATCGTTTTTTAAAGCTCCGGATTGAAGCATTAAATCATAAGCGACTGAGCGGACCGAATTGTAATTACCTTCCTGCGTATATGGAAATAGCTCCCTCGGGCCAAAATCTAAATGAAAGGTTCTGGCTAAACGATTCTTAGCTTCCAGGGCTTTGATTGTGATAATGTTTTTATATGAAGGCATGCAGGCATCAATACGCATGTGTCGATCAATTTCGTTAATTGCCTGGTGAACATATTCCATGTGCTCAGGATCACTAAATGCATACTGAACTGTTTCCCCTCTTGGAATAAGAGCATCAACTAGAGAATCAATTAACAGACAGATAAAATGAGAGTCAGAAAACTCATTATTAGCATTGTCATTAAAACAAAGTAAATCCAAAAGAAGCTTCTTCACAGAAGATGTAGTGACACCCTTTCGATCACGGACATTAGCAAAAGCCTCAACCATAGCGCACTTAACGTAATACTCAGAAATATTAGAGAAATCATTGCTTTTTGGGATGGTTGAATTTTCGAAACAAAAACTTTCCAAAAATGCCATGCGCAAATGGTAATACCCAATCCAATCCAGTTCAGGATTTGCACAGTTAGCCAGAGCACGAGCGGCTTCTTGGCGCACTCCATAGTAATAACGGGTATCTAGAAGAGTTCTAAGTAAAACCGTGGATACCTGACGGGAAATTGAAAAGCTGTTACCCGTAAAATGTCTGATTGTCTCTAATTGCGCAACAACGTCACGATCTTGTTGAATTTGGGAAACAAACATATGCTCGGGTTGACGAACTCGTAAATCACATATCCACTCGAAATCAGCGTCAACACGGATCCACTCAAAAGCTTCAGTAGCCATCGTATCTTCATCTTCCTTGGTATAATCATAAAGCCTCCATTTTTCAATATCTTCATCACTTTGAAGAACGTCTCCCAAGCTTCTAATAACATAGTCAGAATCATCACCGCCGTGATCACCGTTATCTTTGCGAACGTTTTTAGTCGATCTGTTACGACTGATTCTTTTGTACTTGGTATTATACTGAATATCAAGTTTCGTAAACGAATCTTTCAATTCAACAACATGTTCGTAAGGAGTACCGTCAGCTTCGTGAATTCGAATAGTCATTGGTCCACTAAATACTGGAAGACCGGAAGCAACTGGTTCATTGTTTAAGTGCCGTATAGCGTCAGAAACAAAGTTTCCTTCTGATGCGGGTATAGTCGGAGTTTCTTTAGTTTGAACCTGATCAATACCCATTTCAATTATCATCTTTTTTCTGTTAAATCTTTGAACAACGCGGAATATAGGATATCCATAACCATATATCCACTGTTGAGCAAAAATATCTAAACGCATATGACTAGCCTTCTCACACGTTTTGAGAAAATGAGAAGTACTCAGGCATCCGTTCAACATATCACCACTCATAACTTGAAGCAATAGCTTAGGTATTACCCTTGACATTCCCAAAGAACCACCAGTCTTCGTTAGACGACGCTCAAGTATGTGAATTACAAGCGGAGCTTTTAACGCTATAAAATTTAAAGTGTTCGGATCAATTGGAAGAACCAAATTAGGATTAGCTATAGGAGGTCGACCAATATCTAATTCTAATAGCTTTAAAACATCTTTTTTTAATCGAAAACGATGATCATTATTCCCCATTAATTTTTTCAAAAATAAACCAGTTATAAAATAGGAGAGACCATATATAAGCCATAAATCGTTCCAAGCTTTAGGAATTAAGTATACCCCTATCCATTGACTAGCCAGAGCCCAGGTAAGTGTCTTCGTAGACTCATAAATATCATCCAAATTAGCTTTAGGAAATAAAAGGGAATTACTTGCGATGACAAGAGAAGGAGTTGAAATAATAGGATAATTCGTTTCGTCAACAAAGCAAAGTTTGAACGCATTAAACGGGTAAGAGCCATATTCCCTCACGAAAAAGTCCATAGCTTTATACATAAATACGCAACTATTTTCAACTTCTTCAGCATATTTGGGAAGGTAATAGCCTGCAATTTCGATAGCGCTTGAGCCCATCGCGTCATCATCTTCTGGTTCTCGAAAGTCAGTCAAGTTTATATGTTTAAATGGACCAGCTGCAAAAGCAATATAATTTGGAGCGACCGGCGTAGAAACGGTGGAATAAACAGTTTTTTTATGGGTGGCTTTCGGATGCGTAACCTGATCCAGTAAGTCACCACAGCCAATAACCTCCATGTCATGGTCCTCAGAAAAATCGGGTTCTGCTACAGAAGTACGTGGGTCGTGATCGAGCTCGCTTTGCATATCATCATCTTCATGAGGCTCTTGAGAAGAAGACTTGTCCGTAAATCCATTTAGTTGGCTATTGGAAGACTTAGAGAGAGTTCCAAGGGTTTTAGGGATAGTGATTTCAAACTCCCAGGTGGAACGTTCCCATATACCATCGACACAAGGGAGCCAAGACGATGTGCTATACGGAACAATAGAATTGTTAGTGTAAGCATGAGGATAGCGATGATCAATGGGGTCAACGCCAACAAACGTTATGCCCGAAGTAGGCTGGTGAACAGAAAACTCGATTGACACCAATAAAGTTGCAGGATCCTCACCCGGCGATTTTGGTAAAAAAATTGATAAGCCACCTAAATCATTCACAGTAGATTCATACTGAGAATTCAGCTGATGGTGATGGCTTACGTTACTATTTGGTTCCTGTATGCGCAGCCGCCGTAAAGCATCATCATAAACAAAATTAGCTGGTTCATTATTTATATAGCATGAATGAACATCTGTTTCAGTAATTAGCATAAGAATTGGTAGGAATCAAAGAAATGAAAGCCTCTGTACTGTATTCGTTCTTTCACTGGAAACGTCGCTACTTACCAGCTTGATAGCAATCCAGGACGACCTTTTTTAAATCAGGATTAATGGGCATGATATTTATATCCGTTCTCCCATTTATGGTTTGAGAAGCAAAGTCAATGTCAATTGCAACTTTCTGATGACTTGTACAAACATTAGCATAATCCTACACAATTTATACATATATTATAAACCCCCGCGCGGGGACATCCACCGATTGTGACATCTTACGCTCTATAAATCTAACATATGGTGAATTTTCCAAGCATTCAGTACATCTTGCGGATGGTAGCTTTCTCGTTTCTGACAACAAGCGTGAATAACGAGGTGCAGTGAGTTAAAAGGTAGCTATGCTTGTTTTGGAGTGAGAGTTCGGATTGAGAAAGAGAGCAAAGAGGTTTTATTTCTAGTTCGGTCAGTTAGCAATTGATGTTAGATAGCTACTTAATTACTCATGAAGTTGAATCTATCATGAAAAACTATGTAGAAAAATTGATTCTAAATTTTTAATCAAAAAGAAAACTACTACTATACAATATCGGGAGCTTCATAAACCGCAATCGGTATAGCACTTCATTCGTTTAATGTATCACGATTGGAATAACCGAAAGAAAGCTCAAGAAATATTCATTAAACTCATACGATGGTTCCTATATCATAGCTGGGCGAGAGAAGTAACCGGTTCTGTATCATCTTATACTTTTAGGTTTACTCATCCTTTTCCTGGAGCAGCTCCATTACCACACTAATTGAGGTACCTGCGAAATATAAGATAAACAACATCGCTCCTAGCTGACGATCCATTCTGTAATGGTTTATTGGAACATAACATAAGAGTAAAACCAGGCAAGCTAGCAAGAAATATGCTGTTATTGATAGAGAATGAGGAATTTCAATCCGGCTCACCGCCCCATGGTTTGAGATGCTGTTATACAAACAAGCAAAGCCAAGACCTATCAGGATATTCAAAGTTGGTCCCCCAAAAACTCCGCCGATGGCCATTTCAGGAAATCCGGAACGAGAAACCATTACATCAGCAATAAAATCACCAAGGCTATTTCCGGCAGCAAAAACGGTCAACCCTAGGATAGATTCATTCAAATCCAGTATAATACCCAGTGTCTTCAAGATGCCCACAATTTCATTGGCTATTGTTGAGATCCAAAGAATGCCTAGGATAAAACCGGAAAAGCTAACCCATGGTAAAAAATGAGGGGCCTTATCTGGATTAGTGAACTTATACAGTATCACAATGGCCAAAAAAGATGCGACACCACTACACATCAACGCATAATAAAATTGCCTGCCGTTGAATGTTAAAATTGAAAAAGCTAGAGGAACGAAGATGCACTGAAGAACTCGTAGAGGTCTGCACCAGCTTGTCGTTGTTTGGGTATATCCTTCCGTTGGGCCTAGGGGATCCACTGGGTGCCGAGAACACTGGTACACGGGTAAAGTCAACGTGAAAGCCAAAACTGAAGGGACAACCACAATATCTAATGCCTGTTCGTACCAAGCCTTTTTTGAAAAATTGCGCAAAGTCGGAAAAAGCAATTGAAGAAGGGTTGGACGAGATTCTAGTATATCTGTCTCGTCAAAGTAGTTTAATAAACGACTATTTTCCGATAAAAAAGACTGAACACTTAAATTGTTGTTACAAACGTGATACGGTCTACACTCAGTACCACTTAAAGGAGTATTCATTCCAGAAGGAGTATAGCTACTTACGGCTTGACGAGCATGCAAATGATGCAAGGATAAATCGCCATCAGCTACGGCATTTGCATCCATAGCTCGAGTAGGTGGATGATTCTCTAATGCGTAACGCAATTCCAGAGCACCAATAAAAGATGGACGAATAGTAGGTCCAGGCGTGGGAGGGCATACAAGTTCCATTGAAGCTGTGGGTTTTGACAAAAAGGAAACATCATCGTCACTCGACAATGACGACTTTCGGAAGTTGGTATCGTCTACGAGAAAAGGGGATGGACTAAAGCTTGGATGTGATGTTTGTTTAGTAGGGGTTTTCAAATGTGAAGCGACAGTAGGCAAATCATCATTTAACGAATTAAAGGTAGGGCAACGACTAATAACAGGGGAATAGGTAGGTAATGCCAAATGAGGAGCGTCTGTACCTGTGTAATGCTGACTTGAAGGATTGCTAGAATAGAACACATATAACACATAAAATAAATAGTAGCTTATCATGACGAAGCTTTGCCATAAGCTCAGGGTACCATCACGCATCAAGAAGAAAATCAATAAAATAATAGTGCCCGTAAAGAAGCTAACATCTCTAATGAAATGGTGTTTACATATCTGAAAAGGGCTAATCAAACAAATACTACCAGCGACAATGGCAACAATGAAAAAAGCAGAACCTAAAAGCTCGCCAAGTGCGAGACCGCCGCTTTGGACGCGGACGGCAGCGAATGTGCTTAGCACATCGGGCGAACCATTTCCAAGAGCTAAAAAGGTAACGCCAACAACGGCGTCCGGTAACTGTAGAAGCCAGGAAATGGTGACGAGGTTTGTGGTAAAAAAGTCACTAGCGGAAACACCAATGTTTGTAAACAAAAATGCTAGCCAAGCTAGCATGATTGCCAAACCGACTCCATGAAACCCGCTAAATGAACAGTAATATAGTTCTGGATAATTTACATAGCCACTATATTCATCCCCACAATATCGTTTTGCAAAATGACATTGTACTTGAGGTTCAATAGAACCCACATCACTGCAAGTGAAATTGTCTTCACTCTGTGGACTTTCGAAACGTGCAAATAAATGTGGAATAGAGAGATCAGAATTAGACGGGAGTTGGTTAGATTCACTTATGCGATGTATCCATGTGTAGACACATACCGCGCTGAGAAAACACCAAATGAGCAGCGGTTTATAGCGTTTTACAAGTTGTGAGGTACTAACAGGGAGTTTCCATTCGTACTGCTCCTTTAAGTCATGTTTAGTAACCATCACAATTCAGGATATTTTAAGTTCATAAGTGGGAGTGAGGATATATAATACGGTATTTAATGGCGAGAAAACTCAAGAACACGTAGGCTTTCTGAAGTAATATGTAAGGCTTAGCCTGTTACGTAGAGTAGTAATAGAGATATACTGGACCAAGTACTTTATCTTATAACATAGTAAACAAACACGCGTTACTGCACTGCGGTATTCCTTATAGCGTAAACAGTACAAGGCCATGAAAGGAAGGAGGATTTGTTTGGAAAAGTAAAGGAGAGATTCAAAAGAATGTAAAAAAAAAGAAGTGTTTAGATATGTTGGCTTTATGATTTTGCCAGATCATAATATACGGAACCATCTAAACCATTGGCACCTTTGGGATATGCACCTTTCAAGGGCTTTACTTTGTTGGAAACATAAGGAAGAAGCTTGAATTTTGTCAGTACAGTTACAATTTATTAGCATACATACTTCGCAATTGCCAGCAGGGGGGACAAAAGTACGGACACGCGCCCATTCAACAGAGAAACCACCTTTGCGCGTAATTTGACCCATTTTACCGGTCCTTGTACCTCGATAGTATTGATGTCCCATTTTAGTAGTCATTTGAAGGCGTCTAGCGCCTGAACAAATCGTTGTAGGGTGCATTCTCTCAAATCGCTTGGGTTAAGGAAAAGGCTAAGGCAACGGGACCCGTGCCGGACTTGGGGGAGTAGTGAAGAAAATGTACCTTGAACAAAGGTAACAGAAAGTAAACAAAAGAGGTTTCAAATTAAATTCTTTTTTACGTGGCTTCGAATTCGATAAATAAAATGTATAGAAATACGAAGAGGTACACGAACTAATAGTTTTGCATACCAAGTGAAACAATTTTGCTGGGTATGTTTACGCTTTTATAATTACCACGCGTAACGCTTTGACTATTAGTATCAAGAGTGTGTGTGAATGAGAGAGAAAAAGAGAGTTGAAAAAGCTAATAAGCGAATGTAAAAATTTCCTTCTGAGGTTGACAATACGTTTCGCTTTTCAACGATTACGAAAATTGAAGTCTCCTTCACTCTCATAACATCAATTCGCCAAGAGAGAAATCAGTAAACAAACCGAAATTTTATAAAATCTTTTCAGCTATCCATTTAACAAAAAAATTCATATTCACTCTGTATTGTCTTTTCTTGCCAATTCTTCTTATATAAACAAACACTATAAATAAATAGATAGACTGGTTTAGCGATGTACATTCTCCTACACTAATCGATATTTGCACTTTTGGTTAGTGCGCTAGAAGGAACTCCAACGAAAGCTTGCTCAGCGGACGAAAACAACAGTCTTCTTTGGCGACTACCAACATCTTTGTTTTGAAAACATTGGGCTTTTCTGTTAAGGATGAATCAACCTGAGCGTTATGAGCTAATTGAGCTCATGGGATTGCCCAAGTAAGCTTAAGCATGGATCGAGAATGAGAAGTTTACTAACAATTGCTCAGAGTCACTTATGAGTTGGACAATAAATCCCCTAATGCTGCCGTTATAACTATTGAGAAAGAAGATCATACCTTGGCAAACATGTTGGCACAGTAAGTTGTATAAAACCCCTCGGTTGATTGTACCTTGACTAGCAGCTTACCATCCACTAGACAATTATTGACAGACGAGCGGGTACTTTTTGCTGGATACAAAGTTCCCCATCCTTTGAACCATAATTTTATTTTGAGAGTGCAAACCACTGAAGATTGCACGCCTAAGCAGGCAATTGTTGACGCAGCCAAGGCACTTATCACCCATCTCGAAGAAATTAAAGTGAACTTTATGAGGGAATGGGAACTCAAGATGATATCTGTAGAAGGAGTAGAAATGGAATTTTCGTGAAGTAGTAAAAATGTTGTTTTTGTTTATGAGCTCGTTACCCTATATAAAGTCCCTGGAGGATGTGTTGCCAAATCTGCGTAACGAAGGATGGTCTGAATATTGTTGCAATCAAGGAAAAGTTGGTTGAATCCCGGAAAAGAAAACCAAACGTACCAGAAGCCTCATGGCGAATGACCATGCGCTCATTCATGTTTCTTCCTCTTTGAAGCTGTTTACCATATCCTTTACATCGATTCAACGATGATTTTTTAATGCCATTTATTCCTTTCTGTAATTTTGTTTCTATCGTTTCAGGCTTGCTTGGCAACTCGAGTGTTTAATTTTGCTGATCTTGTGTTTGAGAATGAGAATTTTTTTGATTGCTTGGTTTGGTTAATATATAGATACATGAAAGATAGAATTTTTAGTGGAACAATTAAAAATTTTATGCTTGTTGCGGGAGCTATGCTTTTTACCAAAGACGATTCTGAAAACTCGAGATTTTGAAATGTCAATAAAAAATAAAAAAAGTGACATAAATTGATGGTATCTTTTTCATAAGTTGACTATGAAACTTTCAATAAAAAACAATTGTATAAGCAAAGTACAAGCACCTTCTTCATGTACGAATGTCAGTTACAACATACCAACTCATTACATATGCCAAACTAGCTGTACGGTAAAATCTAGATTGATGTGTTTTTAAACAAGAATCAAATTTGATGTTTTTCTTAGGTCTAAGTAATAAAACCTTTCTTACTGCCACGGCTGGTGGACTGTCTGCTGGTGCCTTTTTATCATGGTTCTTGTCTAGTGATGCTTACTTGGCACATCGTAGGTTGCCTGCGAGTGCCAAAAAGATGTTAAGCCTCACAGATTCTTCAACGGCTGTTCAAATGGTGGAAAACTTGCAGCGTGAACGAGAACGTCAAATTCGTTTACAAGAGCACCCTTCTCTATTTCAATCTCATTACTCATCTAACTTTTTATCGTTTAAGGATGGTCTTTTGCCTCTATTCAAAACTTACTATGATTCTAAGAACCACGAGTGGATCAGTATTGGGATTATGGGAAAGGCATTAACTGGTTACCAAAAATTGCAGCATGGTGGAGCTATTGCGACCGTGCTCATTGAATGCCTCGAAACTGTTAAAAATCTAAATTCTGATGGAAAAGGTCTAATCCGAGGCGAACCCCAAGATCCTGTTTTGATGGAAACCTATGATGTTCATACTCCCTCCTATACTATAAATTACAGAAGACCAGTCCCTGCAGGTGATTGGATAATGATCCGCGTGAATGAAAGGGCTGCGAAGCTTTACAATTCTAAGAATCAGTTATTAGCTGAAGCATATGATTTACAAACGTGAGTATTAGTTGAAGTCTGTTGATCTTGATAATGGATCAAATGTTTTGATGAAGTGATCTTTTAATGAATTTTTCCCTTTAATTTGTCTTAAACTTACGGATTTGTTGATTTTGTTAGTCCAAGGGCTCTTCATAGAAATCAAGAATTGTATGCCGTTTACATTTTACCTTCCGATACCAGTTAATTGATCTGTAGAAACATATTACATCGTTGTAAGCCTGAATACTTGAAGCAATTTAATTACTTGCAAATGCACCCATTGATTTGAAAGCATCACTGTCGTAAAATGATTAGGTGTTTAGAATATTAGCATTATTTACATAAGGGTATTCGTTCGTCATGAATGAAAATCTTGTATGGTTGTATGAAGTGACAAAAGGAGGCATTATGAAGGCTACACATGTGCAAAATCTAATACCAGAAAGCGCGAAGGGCTTCACGATGAATCTCAGGTGCAAAATCTCCGAATAGGTGAAGAAGAAATTCTCGAGCTTTTTCTGTAGAATAGGATGCAAACTTAATGATAGTGACTGAGCGAAGCTCGCAGGCTGTCCAAAAAGTATTATTTTGCTCAAGTAAGCTAGTAGTTTTCCCCATTCGGCTTTCCTTATTTCTGTAGTGGTTTAAAATTCCTTTCTTTGCTTCTTCAAACTTTGGCCCTACAAGGTAAAGACTGCCGGCGCATTCAAAATTGTTCATACGATCAGCTTTACTGCCAATATGAAGAGTTGGCTCATTTATTAGCTGTAATGTGTCGCGCAAAAGAACAGATAGATTTCCTTCCTCATCAAATCCTCTTTTAATGATATTTTTAGAGATATACGACTTCATTGTCCAGCGTTCTCCCATATGACTTCGACCCTGAATAGTCCAATCCAATAGTGCCAACGAAGAAGTGGTGTCTTCAAGGACAAAATTTTGTGTTTGCATGTAATTACTAGATCCAAATGGTTGAACAGGATCTTGTAGCAACAGACATGTGGCATTCGCTGAAACATGCACATCCATGAGTTGACGAGTAATTCTGCCTACTCGCGTCTCCTTGTAAACTTTGGTGCTTCCTTGAGTTTGAATGCATAACGTAGCATCTTTTCCTAAATGGATTTTCAAAGCAACCTGATCCCCAGATACAAGTCCACCTCCATAGCTCAGAACATAAAGAATTGCAAAATCCAGCTTCGTGTTTAGAGAGAGTAGCTTTAAAGGATATTTACAGAACAAGTGGGTAACATAGTGAACATTATTGACGCATTCCACCCGAAATTCACCTTCTTTAGCAGCCATCTCTGGTTCAGGACGAATTTTCAAGGAAACCACATACCAAAGAATTCGTTATCAAAGACAATATCAAAGATGTTATCTATATTTTATAAAGCTTAAATCAATTTTCGCAGAAAGTTGACTAAAACAAATTATTTCATCCGTCATAGGCATGATGAATTGATGTTGCTTTGGCGGCTTTTTCTTACCAATTTCAATTTAGTTTTATTCAGTGTAAATAAACAAATTAACAGTGAAGAGTAATTTACATGGAGGTAATAAGAGTTACTTTTTTAAACAGAATGAACAATAATTTGGAAAAGAAAAAAAATTTTTAAGAGCAATGCATGGTTCAAGAAGAGAAATGCGACTTATGAAAATGACCGCAATAAAGACTAGATAATCCCAGTAGAAGGGTACATTTGGGCGGTCCAGTCAAGGATTATAAAGAGAGCTAAATGCTACTGCTGCTTTGAATCATATATAATCTTGCTACCAAGGTTAAGAGGTACACAGGCAAACGTGCTTAAGTAGGATAATTACTATATGAAATGATAGCGGTTTTGACAGCTCACAATTGACACGTATAAAGTAATAAAAGCGTAAAATCACCCGTACCTTAATAAGAAAAGGAAGTCGCTTTTATTCTCATTAATTTCTTCCTTGCTAGCGAAACATAGTTACTTGAATTGTTCTTTGTTATTGTTACTTGCCAGATAGCTGTCATTCCTTCAAGCCAATATGGATGAACACAGCTCAAGAAAAAAACAACATTCCAAGTTTGAAATCCTACAAACCATGGATAACTGTCAACTGCATTAGTACGGCTTAGTGCTGAAGTTCGGAAATTGTAGTCCAAACTTTTCCAATGACCCTTTAGAGAACCATACAAAAGTCATCAAAAGTCTCCTTAATCTACTACAAAATCTCTTTATTTATCTTATAATAACTTCGAGAATGTCTACGGCCACACCTAGGCGAAAACACCAGTTCCCGTCCGATCACTGCAGTTAAGCGTCTGAGGGCCTCGTTAGTACTATGGTTGGAGACAACATGGGAATCCGGGGTGCTGTAGGCTTCTCCTTTTTTGTTGCTCGTTGCTCTCTTGTTCTTTTTTCTTTTTTATACGTCGACTATTGCCTGTAATCGTTTTCTCGATAGAATTTTTGCAAGTTGTTCCTTTACAAGTGACAAAAGACTAATTACAAGTTCAATGAAAAGAAATGGAACGATCGTATTCAATTGCAATTAAGAATAAGAATAATAGTAATAATAATCATTAAGAACGTAGGATGATGCCAATGGTCTCAGATTACGGTTCCTTTCAATGCGCGGATTGTATGCATGCCTTTCTATTGTCCACTTTTCTTCGTCGCTTCCAATTCATATTGATACAAAGCAAAGGCATAGAAATAAACCTTTATCGGAATAAATTACTTGTAATGTTCTCTTTTTCCACTTATTGACTTTCGATCGGAAGAGTTAAGGCTCGTGAGAAAAGAAACGCAAATAAGGCATTAACCTTGAGTGGTAGGATTGCTCTACAGCTCTATTTCTTCGTTCGTAGTCGTCGGCGGAGGAGCTAGTGCATCATCCCTTTGCTGATATCTGGGCAACGTAGGCGAACCGGTGGTTTCAGTTGTATTTGCAAAGTCTAAACCAAGGAAATACATGAAAACTATATAAAATCCTTGGGCAACAGCATAAATAATATCACCAAGCAATACTCCAACATTATATATGGCATCACCAAGCAATACTCCAATATTACCAATGGCAATACACACAAAGATTATGGAGTAGGGCAAGGCTCTTATTGCCCCGATGGCAATTGGATGAAAGACTGCCTTTTGTTAGCAAACAGTTGCATTTAAAAAAAATGATTCACTTACAATAGAAAAAAGCATAGAATATTGCCCATATCACAATCAAAAGAACTAAAAAACCAAGAAGGGTCCAATCGTATTTAATTTCATTAAAGGCATTTTTTAGCCAAGAAAAGGGTTCGAAAGGATAGGAAATTGCTAGCGTACACAACAACGAAAAGATTGCTGTTGATAGTAAACGATAGTTTCTGTGTTTGAGGACCACATTTTCGGGAAAACCATAGTTTACTATTTCTGATGTTTTGCAGTGAAGCTCCTTTATGGACTCAGGAAAGCTGCTGGATTCAGTCACTATATTTTTTTTTCTTTCCTTGGTTTTGAGAGGAGTTGAGACGGAAGATTTGCTTACGTTCTCTTGCGTACACAAACAAAGACCCTTTTCGAGATCAACATTGTAAACATCAGCATGGCTGTATGCAGGAGGATCGCTTGAACCAAATTTTAGCTCCTTTTCCGACATCCTAAAAATAAATAAAGAAAAATTTCAATAAATAATTAGCAAAAGAGCGTCACATAAAAGCTGTCGATCCGTATTCGATATAAAAATTTCGCAAACGCAAAACTCAACAGAAATAGCAGCCAAAAACTAAAGCAGCTCTACCTGGTCATTCCAAACATTCACATGAAAGTCAAAATCAGCCCAATTGGCAGGAATTGAAGAAATAAAAAGTTGGCTTCAGCAAGAAATTTCGCATCTCTTACGCAACATTTTCGCTCAGGATAGCGATGGGTTCTGTTGCGCTATCTCCTATAATGACATATAGCATAAATCGTTGAATATACGTTTGAGTCACAGTGAACAAGTAACAAGTTTCGCTAACTTCGCGTTTGTTTACACCTCTGTAAACAAAGCAGATCCCATTTCTCTATGAACTTTTGAACGACTTTTTACTTTGAAAGTGAGTTACTAATTTCTCGTTGCGCACAGAAGAAGTAACAAACAAAACACGGAAACTGCAGACACATTAGCTAACTGCTTTTCATTAGACAACTGAGTAACAGACTACAACCAAAAAGCAGCTTTCACGGGTTCTTCAGGATCAAAGAAACCTATAAATTACTTCTTTGAACTGAAGGAACTGTCCACGGCCATACCTAGGCAAAAACACCAGTTCCCATCCGACCACCGCAGTTAAGTGAAAATGTCTGAGGATTTAGCCTTGTTTGTACTATGGTTAGAGACAATATGGAATCCGGGGTGCTGTAGGCTCCTCCTTTTTTGTTTCTTTTTTTAAGTATTTCACTTTCTATTCATTTCTATTTATAGTAATCTTTTATGCAAACAATAGCGAATCCAATAGGAAGGGATCCGGTTGACCTTTCCAAATGTGAATTTTGCTACCCGATTTGTTTTGTTGTACAATTTTGATGGTTATATAACGCGTTACAGCCAAGTACGGTATATACAGCAAGGCACTGTACCGTATATACAATAACATTTCTGTTTCACCAAAAAAGCAGTCACAAACATTGGGTAAGAAGATTCAAACTTGGCAGCACAAAACTTGTCCATAGCCAGAGTCAGCAAGAATGGCACTGAAGGAGTATCAAGTTGTTGGCCGCAAGGTTCCAACTGAACAGGAACCTGTACCCAAGCTGTTCCGCATGCGTTTGTTCGCCCCTAATGAATCTGTTGCCAAGTCCCGTTACTGGTACTTCTTAAAGATGATCAACAAGGTCAAGAAGGCCACTGGTGAAATTGTTGCCATTAACCAAATCCACGAGCCTAAGCCCCTTCAACCCAAGGTTTTCGGTATCTGGATCCGTTACGACTCTCGCTCCGGTACTCACAACATGTACAAGGAGTTCCGCGACACCACCCGTGTCGGCGCTGTCGAGGGTATGTACCAAGACATGGCTGCTCGTCACCGTGCTCGTTTCCGCAGCATCCGTATCCTCAAGGTTGTCACTGTTGAGAACAAGGAGGATGTCCGCCGCAGCTACGTTAAGCAACTTCTTGATCCTAAGTTGAAGTTCCCTCTCCCTCACCGTCGTACTGGTACTCTCGGCTTGGCTGGCAAGAAGGTTTTTGCTCCTCACCGTCCCACCACTTTCTACTAAGGTTTATGGTCTGTGTCGCTAGTAAAAAAATTCTTTCTCGATTCCCTTCTTGTCTATAGCAATTGTGGCATCGTAGATTCGTAGATTCATTATGGTAGAAAACAAGATTGTTGTAATGAAGTTATGCAATAGTAGGTCTGTAAAATTGGAAGAACAAAAAAAAAAACACGTAGTTAGCTACTAGAGTCGATGATCCAAAAAAAACACATGGAGAGTTTTAGACATAGCGACCAACAACTGAAAAGAAAAACAAATAAAAGTGAAACATTTATTATACAAAAAAGAAATAAAGTCATTAATCTTCATCGCTATCATATCCAACAACCAGTGCTGGACTCTTTTGTTGCGAGGGCTGGGATACTCTGCGAAGATCGTTCAAAACGTCAGGATCAAGGAATTTGTTGGACGAAGTGGAACTTTGCTCTACTTGATCAGCATTCTCCTGGGAAGCCTCTTTCTGTTGGTTATGCTGAGTGGATGCTTCAATTGATTTTTGATTTCGGATGGAAGAAGATCCGTCAGCATAAAGTAAATCATCAGAAGGTACATAACCCTCAAGTCCAAATTCTAGCTCCAATTTCCGCTTTTTTTGATTTCCTTTTCCGGTCTTTGATTCCTGCAAATCCTCTAAAAACTCCTTGGGTAATAACTTCTTCACGACGTCGGCTGCTCGTTCTTCTAAACGTCTTTGATTTCGTGCTTGTGATGCTGGGTTAGGATCTAATGTTGCCCATCGACAATTAAGACACTCGTCATTGTCAAGAGATTGATGGGCCATTGCTTCTTTAGCGAATTGGGCATTGGCTTCATTTACATATGTGACGAAAGCGATTCCTCGAGAATTCAAAACTCGTATGCGCTCGATGTCCCCCCATTCGGCAAAATGCCGGGCCACAACCTCTTCAATATCGTCTGTTGGTTGAATGCCACCAATGTAAAGAGTGTGATTTTGGCGTAAAAAAGAACCAACACCACCCATGTCATCTCGATAGTCGGCATGCTTTTCTCTTCCAAAACAATCTACGTTAGCATTGAAGAAATCAGTTTCATTGGGCAAACGATGCAAATATTCACATTTAGATCTATACGCAGTTAGTTTGTTTCAGTCCCCATCAATTATTTTGTTTCCGACATGAAATATCGACCTACCCTTCCGAACACATTCCTCTGGCAAAATAAAGACAAAAATAAGACCCAGGAATTTTGTCCGCCTTTGTGTATCCAGAATCCTGCTCAATGTTACATCTTGTGTCGGATTTCACTTGGCTTTTCAAAGGGTCTTCACGATTTCCACCACTCCATTTATTATACCAACTAAAGATAGTCAGTAATTATATCCTATCCAGCATTTCATCCATCAAGTCACTTACATATTATACACTTGACCTTGTTGAGGTGCTTCCATTTCAAATTCTGGTCTCTCTTCAATTTGTTTACGCGCCGGTCGTTTCTTACGCTTCACGATTTTTTTCACTTTTTTAATGATTTTACCAGATTCCTCTATTGTTTCAGTAATTTCTTCTTTAACCACATCATTTTTGTTCGTTTCTTGCGCATTATTTCCATGCTTCTCCTCTACTTCCGCCATATTCGATTTTGTGGTAGAGAACTGGAAACATCCAGCTTGTCTCTAACACCTTACCTCCACTTGGTGTTGAGCTTTTTCGCGTTATGGGGCGGTATAACGCTTTAATTAAAATAAGCCAAACGAACAGCAAGTTATTTAACGCAGCGGAGCATAACGGTAAACAAAATCAAGCATCGCATTCGAGCGAGTAGTCTGTCTCCTTTGTTTATACACCGAAAACGCACAAGTTGGAATTTTGATCCACTTTTGATTGTTTCTTTTCTGTTTTGGATTGAAAGTATTGAACCCCTTTGTTGTTTTATTTTTTTCAGATAAATTTCCATTTCCTCGCATCTCTTCTTATAGCAGCTGATCTTTTCATTTCGTAAAGAGTTCTCATTGACAATATATATCTAGATTTCTATATAAAAAAGGTATTTCCTTGTTTTCGTGGTAACCGTTGCTTGTTCCAAAAACTAGAAAAAAAACCTGATACTAAGCGTCTGTGATGATTTATTCAAGATTCGTAAGCGCACTAGGATTTCGAAATGCTTGCAGGACAAACAATTTTCAACGTTGTTTTCTCCGCTGTTACAGTCAAGAATTTCAAGGGAGTGCTGGCAATAACGTATACGAGAGATATCAAGAGAAACTAAATCAAAAGGCTAAACAACAAAATACGCCAGTGGAAAAACTTGTTCAAAATGCACGCAAAAGTTCCGCTCCTAAAGAAGCAATTTCTGAATTTCAAGAGTTAGCGAAAAAATCATCCGAGAAACCGCAGGTGAAGAAGGTGAAAAAATTTCCCGAATTAAGCGACTTCATTGACATTGGCAAATTTCAAGACCTTCCAGCATCGGCGATTGAAAAGCTATGGCGAGCTAGAAACCTTCAGGAGAACATTTTGAGTGGTTGCGTTGAAAAGTCCACATATGAAAGGATGATTTCTCGTGCAAAGAAATATCCACTTTTTGTGCTTCCTCTACCTAGAGAAAATCAAGGCATGGAAACCCATTTAATACAATGGGGCTTCCCCGGAAATAACACTGCCCATCTGATAATCACTACTCTGTTAGAATATAAACTCAAAAATGCTTATGCTACCCCACATACTGTCCTCATCCACTTTGCAGATCTGCTTGAGTCAAATGGCATTGCTCTTATGCGATGCCAATTTGAACATGACAAGTCTTTAAGTTCTTCTGACGTACAGCTATTATTGCTTACGGTTCAAAAGTTCTATAATGCCTCGCCAGATAGCGCTTTAGGCAAGGAACGGCTCTCGTTGCTTGAAAACTTCGCAAGTGGAAAGGATTTTAATCTTTACAAAGTGGCTGGGCATATGGACATGCTTGAATAACTGAAATGAGATATGTTTACGAATTGTACATTGAACGATAAAATAATTGTTTATGCCTTCTCCCTTACAAGATACCCCATGTTCATTGAATTTCAAGCTTTACTAGTAACTAGTGACTAGGAACTAGAAATAAGGGAAACAACCAAGCCAAAACGAAAGAATAAAAATCCATCTTGAAAGATGTAACATTTACTTCACAGTCTACATAAAATCCTCAAAGTCGTCTGCATAGTCATCGTATTCGTCTTCGACATAATCTTCGTAGACGGATTCATCAACGGCTCCTCTTTTAGAATTCGTGTTCACCGTAGGTTTGGCAGTCTTTTTAGCAGCATTCGTAGTAGGAGCAGGAGCAGGAGCGGGAGTAACGGTAGCACCGCGCTTCGATTGAGCCTTTTCTTGTTGCTCTTTTTGAGTGACAATTCTATTGACAGACTTCTGAATAGACTTGACATTAGCAGCAGTTAAACTAGTAAGCAATAGAGGAATTAACTCTTGAACAAAGTCATTGTATTCAGAGGAAGTTTGAGAGTGTTTAATTTTGCGAAGGATTTCAGCCTGAAAGGCGGCATAGTCTGCTTTGGTTCTCAGCTCGCGTTGTTGTTCAGCTTGTCTAGCACGGTTACCACTGGCGGTATTTTGATCAACAATGTCAAAAAGGTCCATAGCATTGGCTAAGTCTGAGTCAATTTCCGCTTGGCGCACTTGTTCTTTGGAGGCACTAGCAGATTTTGCGGCTTCCTCACTGGCCTTGATAGCTTTTTCAATGTTGCGTTCTTGGATACGTTGTTTCATACGATCAGTTTTAGTGAGCTTTGGTTCGCTAGAATCGGGAGACGTATTTTGGTTGTTTTTGTTATTGTTGGTTTGAGGTTCTTCTTCTTCTTCGTCTTCTTCATCATCGAATCTCTTTTTGGGCTTTTGAGTACTTCCCAATGGAAGTTCAACTTCAGTAGCCTTACTAGGCTCCTCAACCAAAAAATCCTCTATTTTAAGATCAGTTTTTGACTTTCTACATTTCTACATACCCCAACTATCCATAGTACAACGTATCTTTTCTAAGTCTTAAGGACTGCAATTTTTGGTGGTAAGGGAAGAAAAACTTTGTCACAAAATTTATAAAAACAACTTTGCGAAGAAGTAAAGCTTATGTATGAGTTTATAATTCGTTTTCTTTTTCTTTTCTACAAAATCAAAAACAAAAAGGAAAAATAAATAAATGAATAGAAGAAAGAAAATGAAAGAACCAAAGAAGGATTCGCTTACAAAAGATGTAAAGATTCTTGTATTGCTCGGACTTGCTAACCTTTCAAGAAGTATTTTGACATATTACAAACTTAAACTGCAATTTCTATCTGCTATTGTTTCATTCTTACCTTCCTCTCACACTTAATATATTCGTTTGTGTACATCATATTAACCTCTCAATAAAATATTTGAAAAATAACCAAGCAGAGAAAAGAGGAACTAAAAAGACTTGTAACCTTAGTCATGTTAATCAAAAGTAAATTTTTTTATTCGTTTCAAAAAACGTAGAAGCCTGTAGAAGTTAGGGCTTGGTCAGTGACATGCAGACTTAAGGCAATCAGCTTCTATGATATTATCGTCTTTTTAGTTATACCAAAAACATGGCGATTCAACTTGTTTTCATTCCTAAAAAAGTTTATGAAAACAATCAAGAATAAGTGACTATGTGATTACATAGCAATTTTTGCTTTACAGGTTTTGTATTGAGAGGGAAGACAAAACAAGACACTCAAATAAATATCCAAAACAGGTAAGATCGACTTTCAATTTGCTCATTTTAATTTCATTATAGGTATTCTAGCAAGGAATTTCTTCTAAATATTATGCTGAATCATTTCAAAGCTGTTTCATAATACTATTTGTAAGCCATTTCATAGCCAGATTGTTTGATCTTAACGAAAACAGCAGTGGAAAAAAGAGGACGATGGAAATAGTTTCGTTTTCGAAGAAGCTGAATGATTGATTCATTATTTATTAGCGGATTTATATGTTTATTAGTGTACGATTGTCGTTACGCTACTCAACTTTAGATACTTTATTGAAACTCTGTAAAGTCTGACATCACCCGCTTTGTTCTCTCAAAGGAAAGATCTAAGTGACAACCTTTCCTATTGGAAATTGAAACGTAACCAGAGCAAAACAGTAAAGGTCTTACCAAAGGACGCAAAAATAAAGAAGTACTTCATAGAAATAAATAGAATGGTATGGATATTTTTAACATATTTATTCTGGGATGGAAATTAACATACCGCTGAGTAGGGATCTTCAGATGGATTCTGAAGATATCCTTGTTCGGCAAACGTTTAGACTACACGCAATCTTACAGATGAACAAATCGCCGAATTTCGTGAGGCATTTTCTTTGTTTGATCGGGATCAGGACGGAAATATTACCTCGAACGAGTTGGGTGTCGTAATGCGGTCTCTTGGGCAGTCTCCTACAGCAGCTGAATTACAGGATATGATTAATGAAGTAGATGCTGACGGAAACGGAACCATTGATTTTACAGAATTTTTGACAATGATGGCTCGTAAAATGAAGGATACCGATAATGAGGAGGAAGTCCGTGAGGCTTTCAAAGTATTCGACAAGGACGGCAATGGGTATATCACAGTTGAAGAGCTTACTCATGTATTGACCAGTCTTGGTGAGCGTCTCTCTCAAGACGAAGTTACTGATATGATTCGTGAAGCCGATACGGATGGTGATGGTGTCATTAACTATGAAGAATTCTCTCGAGTAATATCTTCGAAGTAATTATCCTCACTTTCTTTAAAACATTCACACCGTGATCAAAAATATTTCAATCAACATCTGTGTCCTTCATAATTTTTTATTTTCAATCAGAGTAAACTCTTAACATCGCATATTCCCAATTTTCCTAAACTTCCGTTTACTATTATCATGTTCCTTCTTACAGCTTATGGAAAACTACTTTCCTTTTTCATTTATGAGAAAGAAATGGATTCAAAAAGTTGATTTCCCTCTTACCTGCTAACTCTTAGGAATGATTTTTGTAATGAATAAAGCATTTTTTCTGTCAGTCAGTTATGTGAAGGTGAAAAAGATGATTTGGAAGCTTACCAAACAACTTTCAATTCCTCCTTGTCCTCATTAAACTAATTCTCCATTACTGATCTTTTTCTTTTCAAAAAACAAGGCTTCATAGGTGGTCGTTTGCAAACAAGGTTGTATTGTCTCTCTTTGTAACGACTTTGTTCCAAATGACTTGTCAACAGGTGTTCATCACAGCTAAGGAATCTTATCGTTTTTTGTATTTTTAAAGATAGAACTATAAGGTTGCCACTTACAAAAAAAAACCTTTCAATTCTTTTGTTTCTCGATGTTACGTAGCTCGGCTTTACGGCCTTTATATTACGTCCGTGATCACAACCATGGATAGCAGAATTACAAGAATCCTACAGATACTTTAACCCTTACTTGTTGATGTGCTTCTCTGTATAGAATGCTTTCATTAACAAGCGTAAACTACAATCATTGCATACTTATGACACAACAATAAGATGAGTATTTCATATACTTTTGTGCATTTAAATTTATGTGAATTCATATTTTCATTTTGTGTATCCTGTCGGTATTCATTCCTAGCAGAAGAATTGCAAATTCACATTTAACTCTTCATGTCCTCCTAGCCAGTAATTTGCACGAACAAGTGCCTTCGGAAAATCTATTGAATGCAAAACTATAATTCATCGAATACAAGCTCATGAAATTCACTTCTTTTTCAGTGCCTCTGGAAAGCTCACACTTATCCTTGTTCCTACCATCTTCCAAGAACCGCTTCATTACAGCCGAAACCAAATCTTTAGAAATTAGAAAGAGAACCTCCAATTTTTTAGATCATATCAACTTGAAGTTACTTTGTATAAAAGATACTGGAGCATTTTAGAAATCAGCTTCATAATATCCACCAAGGCATTTCTCATAGAAGTTTCTCAAGGCGCGTCCGCTATTAACTAGATGTCGAACGAACAAGAGGAAGTTTTGATTCTGAACAATTTAGGAAAAGATACATTCATTCATGCAGATTCTCTTCGAAGTTTGCTTCCTTCAACAACTTCTATAGATCAATTGAAATCTGTTCGAGGTAATTTACTGAAACAATTAAAGCAATCACAGGATAATTTAGGTTCTCTAAGAAATGGATATGAAGAATCCAATAAAAACTTGATCGTTCAGAAAAATGAATTCAATACCGCTGCTGGAGAAGTCGTTGGGAAGCTTCGATATTTACACTCGACGGCTGAAGATACTCAGTTATCAATTGTGCAACTTACCTCAGAAATCAAGAGCTTAGATCTTGCCAAAAAGAATCTCACATCATCGATGACTTTGCTAAAACGTCTGCAGATGCTTGTGACAGCTTACGAAAAGCTGCGGAATCTCAGACAAAATAGGCAAATCGGAGAAGCTACTTCTTTAATGCTGGCTACTTTGCAGTTGCTACAATATTTTAAGAATTACAGAAGCGTGGAGAGGATAGCTTCGTTGAGCCAAAACATCACAGAATTTCAACGATCATTTTATGAACAAGTGTTTGAAAATTTTCAGTTACAATTTAAGAAGGCTTCTAGCATACGAGGGGGATTTAATGCTGCTTCCATAGAAACTCTACACGAACTCTGCGGCTTCATTGATGTTAACGGCCCGAATTGTTCAAATGCATTGAAAAATTGGTATTGCCATCACCAGTTGGATGGGATTTTCAAAGTGTTTCGTGAAAATGAAGAAGCTGGTTTATTAGAAAATTTCTCAAGAAGATATAACTGGTTTTTTAAACTGCTTCAGACTTATGACGATCAACACGTTCAAATTTTCCCGCCTCATTGGAGAATGGATTTTCAGCTTTGTATGTTGTTTTGCAATGAAACGAAAGCAGATTTATCTAAAATCTTGAAAGAAAAAGAAATATCCTATGAAGTATTTTTTACTTCCATTCGCCATACGTTGGATTTTCAAAACGCGCTAAAAAAGCGATTTTCTCGGCTTTTAAAAGAGGGTGAATTGAACGATCAAAAATTAAAACTTCATACTACTCAAATGTTTGAGTCTCTTTCAAACGAATTCAATCCTTATTACAAAGCATATATCAACCACGAGGCTAAACAATTGGACACTCTCTTTAATTCTTTTCATTCGAAAACCGAAATTTCATCCGAAGAAACCAATCAAATTCTTTCGTCTTCCATGCAACTTTTTCAACTTTATCGGAAGATTATGGGGCATTTTCTTCAATTTACTAGAGGACCACCTCTTATAGGATTAAAGGATTTATTTAGTGATTGGTTACGGAAATATGCTGAAATAGAACTCCTCGCCGACTTGTCATCTCTTCCTTTTAAACAATATGCAATTCGTTTGAATACTGCTGAGTATATTCATCGAACAACATTGGAACTTGAAAAGCGATTTCAAGAAATATGCCATGCTGACTTAGCGGAGGAAATGTCCTTCCAGAAGGTAATTGACTTTATGTTATATTCAAAAAGCTTGTTAATCAAGTCATGCACGAAAAAGTACGAAGATTCGGTTAAGACAAGTTTAGAGCCTTTCGGAAAATTGGATCTTAGAAACCTGGATAGTGTGGGTGACCAGAGTGCTTATGTATTTACTGCTATACACGAAATGAAATTGAATGCCGATGAATTCCTGGGAACAATTGAACAGAATACACTGGCGCGCAATTTTTGTGATCGGGTTTGTGAATCATTTACCAAACAATTTTTTTATTATATATATACGATTAAACCTGTGTCTGAGATTGGCGCAGAACAAATATTGCTCGATTTATGTTCATTCAAGAATTTCTTGCTGAAAATGCCCAGTAGCAAGCCAGATTATACGATTACAGATAGCTATATTAACCATCTAACGATTTTTATGGGATACATAGAAACACTGCTCAAAACTTTGCTGACTCCTTCCCTTCCAAAAGAAGGGATTATCCAAAGTTACCTTTTTTTGATCAAAGATCGCTCGGTGTCAAACTTTACCATAGTGTTAGATTTGAAAGGAGTCTCTAAGAGTGAGCAATCTAGCTATCTTCAATTATTCTCTTCTTTCGTCGCCAAAAAGAACGATCTTTCCGACAGTTCTCCTATTTTTTTGTATTTAAGCCCATCAACGTACACGGATATGAACACGCGGTCTCGCTTATCACTTGAGTTAACTCCTGATGCAAGCAGTCGTACCTTGCAGAATCTTGGACGATTGTTTACTTCTAAGAAAAAGTATGGCTAAATTTTCTTTGCTGTCTTCTGTCTCTCTTTTCTATAGTTAGGTCTTTTATGTTTTTATGTTATTGTTTTGATGAGAAGCCATTTACAGATTCATGCGATAGTTATTACAGTATGCTCTTTTCTTTTAGACGGTTCCATGCGATGATTTTCATTATCCTAAACAGATATGTTTCCTCTGCCAAGTAAATGAGGACAAAAATTGCCAAAAAGATCGGGCTGTTCTGGGAATCGAACCCAGGACCACCATCACCCTAAGATGGTATCATACCACTAGACCAAACGGCCGCTGTGTTATAATAAATTGTTTTAATAACTTATTAGAGTAGTAAATGCAATTAGTTTTGAAGGTTATGAAATTGTATCGTCGAAATGTCAAAATTGAAAAGTAGTTCTTGAAATTAGATAGTAAGGTTCAGCTTATAAACATACGTGCAGCATCTATATAACGAAAAATATAGCAGGTCGAAGGGAGAGTCTTCTGATCTTTACTTACAACACAAACTCAATTGTCCTATTTAATAGCTAAAGGTAGAAAAAACAAAAAGAATCCATCATATTGTTTGTTGACAAGGTTTCAATTTGAAAGAAAGCAAGAATGGGAAAGATGACTATCCTAAATGGTTCATACAGCCAATATCAATAGCCTTGGAGACTCCAGAAGAATTTTTAGAATATTATTTTATTAAACATAGAAATGTCTAATGTGAAGGTAAGGTAAATTACATGTCAGCGGAAAGGTATACAAGGTAAAAGAAGATGATGGTAAACCAAAACGAGCCTTCATTTGCCAGAACAAAACAATGCAGAACTTGATAATAGCTTTCCTTTTTTTAAAAAACATGAAGACACAAATTATAGGTTATTCAAAGACAGAGCAATGTGACAAGGTAAAGCTATCAAAATTTTCTTCACGAAGACAAAGAATCGCAGCCAGCGAAGAGGTAAAAGTTGTGTAGTTAAAAAAAATTAACGGCAAAAAGTTTGCCAGTCAAGGTTTCGCTGTGAGCGAAAGAGAAAGAAAGGAAAAGAGGGCAAATGGAAAAGCCAAATAATCAAAATGCAGAATTAGGATAATATTTAAATTTTCGTCTGCCATGGTAATAAACGAAGTGATAAAAAAAATAATGCCCATGATTAAATAGCAGCACCAGCGGGAGCAGAAGAAGACGAGGAAGCGGGTTCTGGGAGGACAGGAGCAATGGGACGATTTGCCTCTGCTTGCATACGGTTCAAAGCAATACCTAAACCTTCAAAAACAGCCAAAATACAAGCACATCCAATAGCACCATTACGGGTGGCTCTCCAACCACCTCGAATAGCTAAAGCACCACCAGTGAAGAAGCCGGCGATAATGGCATTGTAAGGATCTTCCTTCCTACGAACTCCTTTTACGGCACAGTCAAATGTACTGAACAAACCACCCCAAACACCAAAGTTACCACCCAACACTGGTGCTCTAGTTTTAGCAGCTGTAATAGCAGAAATGCGCTTTTCTCCCTATTAAACAAAATGCATTAGCCTTCGAACGAACAAACATTTCTTATGCATGATGCGATCCTGTCACCATGCAACCAATGTTAAAAAACACGTGGCAATTCATACCGCTGGACTATTTCTCCACCCTTTAATAGAGTGCCAAATTGCACCACCAATTGTACCCATCGAAAAGGCAGCACCAAAGTCGTTTAGAACAACATAAGGACAGGGATCTCTAGTATGATCAGCGCTCGCCATTTTGCAATTTTTGTCTTCAATTCCAAGGAAGCTTTTTTAAAAGGAAAAACAGGTCTACAACACCAAAAAAAAACGACGCCTACAAACAGAATGCGAAAGCGGATTCGTCTCAGACCTTTTTCGTTGTCTGCTAAGGACAGGTCCCAAATCGGAACGGTTTGTTCCTTTCTAGATAATGAGACATAGCGTCAACGTTGGCTATATATATCGACCTCGCTCCGCTACAGTATAGTGTAAACAATAGAGAAAGGTAAATGGAAAGCACAGGTATATGTATAGTTTTATAGGAATTTGGACTACAAACGATAGATGGGAATGGTAGATGGAAATTCAGGAGAGAAAGAGGTCAGAGAGTGAAGATATGAAAATGAAAACATTGATTTCTAGTGTACAGTTCTTTCTCTTTTTTTATAGAGTAGAATGAAATGACTTTCAACAAGGTGTCAGAAGGAAAAGACAAAAATAATTGGAAGCAAAGAATATTGTGAATGAGAAGCTCGATCAAACACAGATTTTGAGTAACAGGGATAAGTTCCAAAAAGTGAATATCAAAAAGAAAACCTTAAATGCAGGAGAAAACAAGGAGCAGATCTTTGTGAGTCGAATGTATATGAAGAATTAGGGATTGACAAATTCTAGAGAAGAGGGGAGAGATGGATCCAGCTTTCTCTTTCTCAAAAATTCCGGGTTGTAAAGCTTAGAGAAATGGCGATTTCCAGGATCACAGAGTAATGTGACAATTCGATGACCAGGACCAAGTTGCTTGGCAAGACGAACTGCAGCAACGCAATTAATAGCGGAAGAACTACCAACAAAGAAGCCATCATTGACAATCAAATATCGAGACATAGCCACAGCCTGTTCGTCTGTGACTCTATACGCATAATCAATGTGAGGCCTAGCTATAGAAAAATTGCGAGTCATGCGGTTTATACCCACACCCTCAACAATAGTGTCGACTTGATGTCGACGACGAGTTCCTTCCCGTTCTGCTAAGTCAAACATAACGCCATGGAGGACTTTGTGATAGAGACCACTTCCTGGAGGGTCTGCCAGGCAGATTTTTATAGAAGGTTTTTCCGATTTAAGATACTTTGCAATACCTCCCATGGTTCCTCCAGTTCCGGAACCAGCTACAAATGCATCTAACTTTCCTCCACACTGACGCCAAATTTCTGGGCCGGTAGTTTTATAGTGTGCTTGCCAATTTGCGGGGTTTTCAAACTGGTTGGAAAAGTATCCTTGTCCTGGAATAGATTTGTCCTTTGTATGTCGAAGAGCATGGTCTTGAGCAGAGTTCACGAAATGATTACGATCAACGATGGGAGCAGGGGGCACACGCTGAACATGGGCTCCCAGCAACTCCAAGACATCACTTTTTTCCTTGGCTTGATCGCTCGGCATAAAGATATGACATTTATAACCAAGAGAACAACATAGCATAGCAAGAGAAATCCCAGTAGATCCTGCGGTCCCTTCATAGACAACGTCGTTTTGGTGAGGGACGAGCTGACCCCTGTCTTGGGCACTTTGGATCATTTCAAGGGCAACACGATCCTTGGGAGAGTTTCCAGGATTTAAAAACTCGGCCTTGGCTAATATTTCACAGCCAGTTGCTTCAGACAACGACTTGATTTTAACGAGCTTGGTATTTCCAATAAGACCTTCCACACCCTCAACAATTTCTTCCTTCAAGTCCGTCTCTTCTTGGTTGGTTTGGTTTCGTGATCCTATCCATTTCTGCAAAATATAGCAGACGACAGCGCCGGCAATAACGCCGCCAAAAATGTCTTGATGTCGTTTTGACATGAGAATAGCGTGAATTTTCAGTTGAATATCAAAAGAAATAAATATAAAAAAATTATCGCAAAGATGTTTGCCTCAATACTCTATCAAAAACCAGGAAGACTTGTTCCAAAAGTACCAAAATTCCAAGTAGTAGAGATGACTTACGAACTGCGTTTCAACAAACAAACGAAAAATAAAATAGAGAAACCGTTTGATTCTCGTAAATACCAAGAATGTACCTGAAAATCGACGATGGTTCGTAATTTGTTGTTATATATGTAATGGTGTACACATAATCTCCCAAGGAAGTAGGTGACAGTCAGCAATCTCAAAAAGGTCACCAGAAGAACGGATCAAAACTGGAGCTTTTTCCTAGATTTCTCGAGTTTCTTTCTTGCTTTTTTCTCTCAGATGCAATCAAAAAACCTTGTAGTCTCTTTTCCTACGGCATTTTATTATCGAGAATATCATACAAGGCGTCTCACTGGATGGCAAGAGTAAAAAAAGATGCGATGGCGTGGAAAGAGAAAGAAACAAAAAAGAGCCGGAAAGGCCAAAGGGAGTATTAGCTGACCTGGTACTGTATTGATTAATATCAATAAACAAAAACATAATTCCTTTGCATCAGCCGGGAGTCGAACCCGGAGCGAATGCTTGGAAGGCATCCATGTTACCGCTACACCACTGATGCCACGTTAGTAGTTATGGTAAAGAAAAGCATATATAACAATAATAATATCTAGAAGAGATTGCAATCTTGGAATTGGGTTGAGCATCTTATCATTTCTTCAATGTAGTGTCTCGTTTCTTCAGCAATTTTTTTTTCTTTTAATGGATCTGACTTGGATCCCTTTTCATGATTTTTTTTTGTTTTATTTTTAGTAGCGAAAGCTTAAACTTATTTTCAGAGTTTAAGCATCAAAGTTGAAGTTAGTCATTCGCGAGGCCCAGGTTTCTTTCAGATATTCGTGTAACGAGGTTTCTTTCACTCCTTGAATTCATGGATTCCTGTAGAACAAACGTTACCCTACTCGGATGAAACAAAAATATATAGATAAATAAGTAAATAATTGAGTAATTTATAATAAAAGTCAAAAGAATTGAAAAAAAGTTGCTTCATGAAAGAGAAAAGTCGAAATACCCATCTCGGACGAGGGACGAGGAATGGTTCGGACGAATTCATTCGTATCGGGTAGTCCCAGGCTCTGGACTTAGAACATTGCGGATCGTTTCAGATCAAATGTCAGAGCCTCATCTCGTCCGTTCGTTAGAAACCGGATTGTCCCAATTGCTTACCAAGGCTAAATCGGTACAGTAACGTCTTGGAGAGCAGCTTTCGTTCTCTTAAATTCAGTTTTTTTTTTAATTTCTATTTTTGGTTCATTCCTTCATGCTTGATTTGTTTTCTTTCTCTTTCCTTTTGCTTCCTTTTGTTCCTACTACGACCATCCCTTTTGCTTTATTACATAGGAATACAGGAACGAATTATCAAAATGAGAACTCTCCTTATAAAAATATTTATTGGTACAATATTGATTGTTGGTTAATCTAGGGTGGTCCCGTAAATTACAATAGCGAGAACGGATTTGTCATCGGATCACTTGCGTCATCAGATCATGCCCAATGGATCGACATTTGACGAATATTTCGAAGGAGCCCTTGATATATTAAGTCGGTCTGAGCGGACTGTTTGCACTTACCATCTGCCATTCATTAGGTTAATCCATCTTTCTCTCTTTCATCAAACTCTCTTCTTATAGAATAATTGTAAAGATGAGTTCTTCTATTCAGTAAGGATTTTTTATTTTTATTTTTTATTTCTAGTCTTTGGATGTGCTTACTAACGGAATCGTTTTTATAGACCTATCAAGCAAAACGCTTCTATGGTCGTTTTTGGCGCCTCTGGAGACTTGGCTAAAAAGAAGACGGTATGTTCCTGATTGTTTCTAGTTGAAACACGCGTCATAAGGGTTTTTGCAAGCTCGAATCTATAAATGCCAGTTTCATGGAAATACTATGCTGTGCTTTGCGAGTCCATCGTTCCATGTATTTCAGTTTGTGCTGGATTTTCAACTCAAGCTGCTTCTTGAACACGAGTTGCATGAATTTCGACTCTTGCTTGCAAAAAAAATCTTTGCGTTCGTTTTTATTAGTTGCTAACTATGTGGAATAGTTCCCTGCTCTTTTCTCCTTGTATAAAGATGGCCGTCTTCCCCAGGATTTGGTAATCGTGGGTTATGCGCGCTCTAAAATTGAACCTAATGACTTCATCGAACGTATCACCCAATACATCAAGATTGACGATAATGACTCGGAAACCAAGCAAAAGCTCGAAGAATTCAAGAAAATGTGCACTTACTACCGTGGCTCTTATGATGAAGTTGAATCTTTTCAAGGTCTAAATAAGCATCTCTTAGAACGCGAGGGTGACCGTACTGAGCGCAACCGCGTTTTCTATCTTGCTCTTCCTCCCGACGTCTTTGTACCCGTCGCTACCCATTTGAAGCAACAATGCTATCCTGAAAAGGGAGCTGCCCGTCTCATTATCGAAAAGCCCTTTGGATTCGACCTTGACTCTGCTCGTGAGCTTCAATCCAAGTTGGGTCCTCTTTTCCATGAGAACGAGGTTTACCGTATCGATCACTACTTGGGCAAAGAGATGGTACAAAATCTCGTTCATCTCCGTTTCTGTAACCCTATTTTCTCTCAATTATGGAACAAGGATTCTATTTCCAACGTCCAAATCACTTTCAAAGAGCCCATCGGCACAGAAGGCCGTGGTGGTTACTTTGACTCTAGCACCATCGTTCGTGACATCGTTCAAAATCACCTTGTTCAAGTTTTGTCTTTGATTGCTATGGAACCCCCTACAACTCTTTCTGCTGATGACCTGCGTGATGCCAAGGTTCAAGCTTTACGCCGTACCCGCCTTGGTGAACTACAAGATGTCGTCCTTGGCCAATATATTAAGAGCAAGGATGGCAAGCATCCAGGTTACTTGGATGACGAAACAGTACCTAAGGGTAGTAAGTGTCCAACTTATTCCGCCATTCCCATGTTTGTTGACAATGATCGTTGGGATGGTGTACCCTTCCTCTTGAAGGCCGGTAAAGCCATGAACGCTGGTAAGGTTGAAGTACGTGTTCAGTTTAAGCCTGTTGCCAATGGCTTGTTTAACGATGCTTATCATAACGAATTGGTCATTCGAATCCAACCTAACGAGGCCGTTTATCTCAAGATGAACATCAAGCAGCCCGGTATTAGCTCCAAGCCTTTACTCACCGACTTGGATTTGACTTACAAGAACCGCTTTACCAACATGAAGTTGCACGAGGCTTATGAAGCCTTGTTCTTCGACGCTTTTGCTGGTGACCAATCCCGTTTCGCTCGCATCGATGAACTCGAATGTGCCTGGACTTTGGTAGGCCCTCTTTTGCAATATATGGAGAAGGAGAAGCCTGAGCCCAAGCCTTACGAGTATGGTTCTGAAGGACCAGACTGTTTGAATGAATTCTTGCAAAAGTTTGGTTACTCATACGATACCCCTGATTACTATGAATACCCTGTGACAAATTTGCCTGAAGACAAGTAAATGAGCTTGCTCCATTCCTTTAAAAAGAGAGTATTTTTTATTCCCTTTTTAAACTGTACCTAGTTTTATTATTTGGACAACATTTAACTTCCGTTTTTGGTCTATGTATTAGTTTGGTCATTTTAGATGTTGTATGAGCTCTTCGATCCCAAGGCCCGTTGAGTGATTTAGAACTATTTAGAAGGGTTTGTTTCTGTTTTGTTTCATTGTGTGTTATGACAATTTATTACTTCAGGCTAAAGTACTTGATGCTATAGCTTTCAATAAACTGCTTTTAATGAAAAACGAAATTTATTCAAAATCATAACAAGTTGGAAACTCGTAGATAGTTCTTTAGGACTGGAGTTGTAGGAAGAACAGAATTGTATTCGCATGTACTACAAATTAAATTTCATAAACCATGTCGTACCAAGTATCACCTCCGAATTTGCAAGCACTTTCACCAATGAGTTTGAAACCGACTTCCTCGTACAGAGAAATCAAAGGCTTATGAGCCAGCAAAGTCATGATCCTTGGCTTGGGGCTAACGGTTGTTTCACAACGGAATTGTAATTCCTTAATCAATTGTTTGGCGTAACCTCGACCACGATGAGCAGGATGTACAGAAAGGGAGTGGATGGCAACGTTCTTTCCCTTCGGTTCATGCTTGGACATTGAATCAACTGTAACACTTTCTGAAGATGTTCTGGTAGCCATTAAGTGCCCTATTAACGTGGTAGTATGTTCCGTGGGAGCAAAAAGGCCAAGCTGGAGCTCAGGTGCTTGTGAAACCCTGTAAGCGATCTGTTGAAAATGTCAGTATTGAATACCATCCGGAATAACCAGGAAGAAAGAAATTATCACTTTTTCAAAGAAATGTATGGTCCTTTATGCCCACAACAGACAATAGTGTTTTGTTCGGCTTTTCCTTATTTCGTGTGAGGTATGAAAATGCCTCCATAGCAAGATAAATCACATTCTCTTTATCTTCTTTAAAAAAGTTGAGTGTATTCACATTCTCTTCTTTTCCTGCCTGCTTCGACATACCGTTTTAAGAGACGCACGCTCATTTTCAGGAAAACACATGTCCTCTAAATGAGCTACCTGTTTTGTTTCGGATTTTTCAATATTTCTAATGTTTACCATCTTTTTAATGAATCAGGATCAAGTGTATGGAAAACTACAAAAAATCCTCTATTTGAAACGCTCTGGAAAGAAGTATTCTCGCGTTATATGACACATGCGTAATACATCGTCACTCACATCCCATAACAAAAGTTCACTAAAAAAATGAATTCTGAAAATATAGTTTAGTCATAGTTGGATGAATTTGAAAAGTTCGTAAGGAATTTCGCACTGTCCTTCTTCATTATGGAAAAGTTTGGATTACAGTAGTTGTTTTATGTATTTGCATCAAAATACTAAATAATTGAAACAACTGTTTCTTTGCGTTTTTTAAGCATTAAATGTAGTTGTAATTGGTTGAATCCTTTCAAGCACTGCTGTTTTATGATTTTTCCTTGATACCAACCCACTCCCTGCTATTCAACTCTTTGCTGCTGTTTAAACCCTTTTTCATTGTTCATTACGTCCAAGGGAACAAGCGAAATCTTGTACGTTTCATTTCAATCCTGAGAATGCGAGGCACTCAAGTTGTTCGGTCCTCGTTTTCGCGAGATCATGTCTTCAAAACGTTAAAATAGGAAATCAAGCTTGTTTACTTTTTATAACATTAAGCAAGAAACTAGGCGAATTGTTAATTAGCTATCGGCAGTTATTCATTGTCAAAAAACCAATCTATTCATTATTTACAAAACCGAAAAGATTTTATCCTCATTATAAATAAATTCCCTTAAACTCATCTATTAAGGCCAAGACAAAAGTCATAACCCGATCCAAATCCTTCCTGCTTTCTCTTCGACAAAATCCAAAACAGAAAGCACTCATTAATTTTTTTCGTGTATAAAGAATTGCAAGATAACATCCTTGGGCCAGCAAATATTCTGAATCAAAGTTATTAAGCGTTAAATATTATTTATTCTTCTGCATCTTCCATTTCTTCATCCAAAGGTTCCAGAACACCACAAGAAAATTCTTTCTCGTAATCAACTCCCATATAAGAGTCACAGAAGCAACTGAGTTTGAATGACTTGTTACCGGCTTCAGGTGGTACGAACTCTAGTTTTGTCGTTAAGGATCGACCCAAAGTAACCTTCTTAATCGCCAGAAGATTTTGGTCATCGGAAACCACCAACCACCAATGTTCTGTCTTTTTCATAGGGAAATAAGGAGCAAACACAGTGATGTCCACTTCTTCCTCTTCTTCTACTTCTCGGTCCAGCTGTATTAATAACAACGTAGGAGAGTTTGCATGTACATTCTCTGGATCGTGAACTTCAAAATTGATGTCAATGTCTGGATATTTATTAATAAACTCTGCACATTTGGCAAGATGAACATTATCCATTTGCAGTAATTTCATGCGTTCATCATCGTCCATGTCAATTATATCGAATACATCCTGCACTCCCTTCTCATTGCAGCGTTTAATTAATGCATCATCAAAGTAGGGAATCTGTTTCAAAGGACTGTCACGATCCCATACAGCTTGTGTCACCATTTGTGACATTTCCATGGGTCGTATGCAAGCGGTGAGATGGCCGTCCGAAGAGAGGGTATCAACACATGCACTGAGCAGATTCAGAACTTTACCGAGTACGAACTTTTGGTCTAACGCTAGTTCAGCCGGTAATTCAAAGCGCGAGTAATGGGCAGCTAACAGAATAAACGATTTTGTATGAGGATCCTCATAATCCGGACTGCTTAAGCGAACAGGCAGCTGTGAATGAATACGGGCTAATATAACATCTTCATACTTCCTTATAGGTAACTGTTCATATTCTGCAGCGGATGTTACAATCTCTAACAAACCTTTCATCTTAGTACGCTCGGTTAAACTGAGAGCAAATGTTTGCATAGTAACATATGTAATTCCGTAAAACGATGCTATCATTGCCAAATTGAGGGGTACACAACTGTCATCTTCTTCATCAACAGTAATCAGACGGGCTTCATTTAGATCATTCATTGTAGTTTCTACTAGATCTGATAGGAATTCCGAAACAGACTCATGGGTTATGTCCTGAAGACCGTAATACGTGGGATTTGCAACCAATCGTCTGTACATATAAGTCCATGTTAACCAATCCACAGCATCCTGTTTGTTTTCGACAGTTTGTGTTGAGATCTCCGAAACAAAAGCATCATGAAGCCACACTTGTAAATGGCTTTCCATGGGTAATGGTTCATTTAAGAATCTCTTGTAATAGTCCTTTTTAGTATTCACCGTTAGTAAAACAGCCTGGCTGATAACGTTCGTTCTCATATTAGCCGTGAAACCTAGCATTTGCAGTAAATCACTAATGGGATAATCAATGTATCGATGCTCTTTTCCATCATATTGCTGAGTTCCCATTACAACCACCACATTGGATTTGACATTCAACGAATAGATAACATCATGCGTAGCAATCAAAACTTTTATTAATCCATGTAAAAACATGGCTTCAACGATGCTTTTGTCATGTGCAGATGTAATTTCAGAGACAAAAGCTATTCCATGTTGAAGAGACTGACGCAAACTAACGTCCTGGACCTTTTCGATTGCCCCTGTTTCTGCTACAGAGAACTGATATTCATCTTCATCAGCCAAACTGAATGTGACAATGTCAAGTGCAAGTTGTCTTGCAACTTTCCGATCAGGAGTGAATACAAGACTAGATTTTCTTTGAGATATACTTTGCACAAGAACACGATATACGGGCTTAGACATAGCCAACATAAGGGAAGGAAAATGGTTAATGCTAAACGATTGCAAATGTATCGTTAATGGGTTAGGTCTATCCTTGGGACTAAAGTTGAATATATTTTGAGGACTAGCTCCTAACCATTCGCCAAGGTCTCGAGCATTAGCTAAGGAAACAGAAAGGCCAACAATTCTTATATGTTTTTCTAATTGCAAAGACATGTAACGGATCCTTGAAAGCACAACTTCATAAAGAGGACCATGGGCACCACCCAATAATTGAAGATTGTCACATATATACATGTCAACCTTGTGTATACTACGCATTGTTCTCCATCTTTTCGATAATGAATCCCATTGAGAAGGAGTAGCAAATATAAGGTCAGCCACTTGGATAAGCTTCAAATCTTCAGATCGGTCGCCGGTTAACTTAAATAACACCTTTCCTTCACCAATATTACCAAGCCTTTCTTTCCACTCTTCAAACTTTTGATCGATAATTTCTTGTATTGGAGCGAGATAAACAGCACTACCAGCATCAGGATTTTTCCAGTGGTTCAACAATGCAAGCTCAGCACATACTGTTTTTCCACTACCATTAGGAGCACCAATAAATAAGGTATCATTAGTTTTATATAAGGCACTAAAGACCTGCGTTTGTAATTTGTTAAAATGGCTAAATTGAGAACTGTACAATGAAATATATTCCGGATTCCCCAAGGTACTAACAGGTACATTTTGCAGATCAAGAAGAGGAGTCGGTGCCGGAAATTTTTCAGGCATGATTAGCCGTTTAAATGACAATGGGACCTTGAAGTTGCAATGCAACCACCGATCAGAGATAATACTGATGAAATAATTAGGAGGCAGAGGCTCTGTTAAAGTCACAGTAAAATTGACAATGTGTTCATCTTCCTGATATTTCTTAAGTAAAAAGAATTGTTCGTAATGTAGAAGCTTTTCACCATTGACATCTTCAACCAGTATCCAGAAAGCTTCAGAATTGCCACTTAAAGAATCATCCCAAGTGAACTGGGAGGATATCGACAATTCAACCCCAAGTAACGATCGAGTAATAGGCTGGATATGAGCTTCGATGTTAACTCTGGGGAATGACTGCACCATATTATAAACGCGTCGACCTTCCTTGGGAACACCAATTAATTCACCTAATTCAGCAGGGTCCAAATCAAAATACCGATACCAAGAGAAATCTTTCTTTTCTACTCGGCGAATTACTTCGGCAGGGCAATTTGCAAACTGTCTCAGAGGACTCATGGTCGGCCAAAGGCGTTTTTCAATCATTTTGCAGGTGTCTAAAGCCATCTTTGCAACAGCTGACCATCCACGACGTAAGGCTATTTCAAAAATTGCCCTCATAATTCTTCCTGCAGACTGGGTTACATAAACCATGTCTACTACTAAAGCAAACCCATCAAGCTGCTGCCTCGAAATATATGATTGCAATAACGCATTAATCTTTGCGGCAGAATCATCAAGGCCCTCACGTATAGGAATCGGTACACGTTCTAAAAGTCTTGCAAGTTCAACTTTTTCTTCCTCCCGTACCGGAATATACTTAAATTCGTCTGATAAACTAAAGACTCTGAACAGTTCTATTAAAGATATAGACTGGTTAAGTAACCTGTTATACGTAGCCATTGAGTTATGAGACACATAATAGCTGGCTGCAACTTTACCAAGTTCAGTTGCCGTTAATGTACCACTCTCTTTGCTATAAACAAGAAGTCTGCATTTTTCAAGAAGTAAAGCAGCAGAGTGAACTAAATCAGCTCTTTTTTGTATAAGATACTTGTCATTTTCATATTCTGGACCTACACTGTATAAACCAGGAGACCTCAGCATTCTAACGTATAGGTAAGTAAAACCCAACCATTCAACACCATCCTCAATGCTTCTTACTGAGCCCATAGCTATCTCAGCATTTAAGCAATCAGCTAAGCGGGTCATAAGTTGTGATTCAATTGGCAATTGTTGATTCATTAAAGATAGATAATACTGTAATTCAGAGTGTGCGGTGATGATAATACCCTCACCATATGTGTCAAACTGTGGCCGACCAGCTCTACCAAGCATTTGAAGAATATCTTGGGGTGAAAGTTCAGTCCAAATACCTTTCTCAGGTGAGTATATTTGAGTACCTTTGATAATTACAGTATGAGCAGGTAAATTGACACCCCAAGCCAAAGTAGCAGTACTTACTAAAACCTGAATTGTACCTTCAGCAAACAGATCTTCTGCCGTTCGGCGATCCTCACGTCGCATACCTGCATGATGTATAGCAAATCCATAAGGAAGAAGATCTTTCAAATGCTCATTCTTGGTGGTATCAGCTTCTGTTTGCAAAATTTCACGCGAAGCAGCATCGGAACGTAAAATATGACCTATTGTTTCTTCTTCTAAAGCTTTGTCTCGAATAAAACGAGCAGTTTTATAAGTTTCTTTTCTAGAATGCACAAATATAAGAACCTGATTTTTGCCAGCTTGCTGCATTGTCTTCTCATAACAAGCTTCATTAGTAACTTGTAAACGCTTGATAGGTTTCTTTTCAGTTACTCCGATAAATTCTTGTTTTAATGGGCAAGGGCGATATGTTGCATCAAAATAGAACAGACCCTTATTAGGATTTACTCGCAGAAAAGTTGAGACATCCTTATAATTAGGCAACGTAGCTGAAAGACCAACTAAACGAATCCTTTCCAAAGACTCTTCTTGATGACGAAGAGTACGTGCAACAATCGATTCCAAGACTGGTCCTCTTTCATCATGCAGTAAGTGAACTTCATCAATAATTACTAAGCGGACAAGATTGACATACGATAGATCGTTGGATTTTCTGGTAATAATGTCCCATTTCTCAGGTGTTGTGACAATAATTTGTGTTTCGCTAATCTGTTGCTTAGTTAACTGGCTATCACCTGTCAGCTCAGAGACTTGAATTCCGTATGGGTTTAGACGCTTTGAAAAATTATTGACCATTTCCTGGACCAACGCTTTCAACGGCGCAATATATACAATCTTGAAATCATTTTTGCGAAATGTTAAAGTTTCAGCATTAAGGTGCTTTTGTAATTCGTTTAAAATACATAACATTGCCACATTAGTTTTACCAGCACCGGTAGGAGCACATAGTAAAATATTCTCGTCTGTCCCATAAGCTATTGGGAATAAGTGACTCTGGATTCGGTTCAATGAAGGCGTATTAGGGAAAGCTCCGTGCGCCCACTCAGGAAGTTCATTCACAGACACTAATCGTTCATCTGAGCTCATCGTAGCCTTAGTTGGAGCAGGAACATGAATTTCTTCATACCCTTTACCAGTGCGTCGGAATGAGCCCTCAGGTAGCTTTACTGCTTTATTTGACATGAGATGAGCACCTTCAGAGAAGACATAGTTTTCCAAGTTAACTTGTTGCTTAGGAATCACGTTATTGGTTATTTTTTGAGCACTAGGCTTTGGGACCACATCCTCAGCAGGTACAAACCCTTGGCCATCTAGGACGGGTTTCGCTTCTTGAGGGGTGACTTCAGCAGGAATAGGAGCATTATGTTCCAAAGCTTGCAATATCCAGGACTGGCCAGCCTCTTGCATAGCTTCCACTATGGTAGAACGCTCCTTATCATCAGCAGCTCGCGTAAGTCGAGTGCAGAAAACTATCATCCATCGGTTTTTAGTCAAAAGTTGTACCAAAGAAAAATGCTCATAATCAAAAATATTCATTAGCTCGTTCTCAAGCTCACCAAGATCAACATTCGATGAAAGAGCATCGAATGCAAGATTTGTTTTTTCCTGGCATACATGAGCGTCTTGGTAGTATTTTGCAATTTCCCGTTGAAGCCAGAATGCATCTATGTCTCTTGGGTGAAGTTTCGACACTTCGGATACTTTTTTAGTATCGCTCGAAATAATGGCTACCTCAGTATCCTGCTCTTCTGTGGGAATTTCTTCACCCCTTACATCCTCGGTAGGGGCTTTCTCTTCTTCTTCTTCTTCTTCTTCCATCGCTTCCACGGCTTCTTCTTCCTCATCTGCTTCATTAAACAATACTGGAACGCCTGAATCATACAAATCTCTTTCATCCATGGCTGTCTCTTCTTCTCTGGTATAGTCTGTCAAGCGATTACCAAGGTTAATTAACTGTGAAAATCGATCGTCAGGAATCTTGACTCCTAAAATTTCGTTCACTTGTTGTTTTTTGCGAGTATCTGCTAGGGTATCATCTTTTATGGTTTCGATCACCAAATCTGATGCAGACCGTAAAACTTCTGGTGCCTGATCACCCAAGTATTGTTGCACAAATGCTAAGATATAGTCATAAACTTGTCGTGTCTCATTTGTCAAAGGCTGGTATCTTAAGGTTTCTAATGTATCGGAAGCACCTAGCAATGTCGAGCCAGTGGTGCCTTTACGCCTAGGTAATCTCTTTTCAGCCTTTACGGGATATCCCTCAGTAGTAGGAACCATAGTTTCCTGTACTTCTTGAGTGAATCCCTGAGGAAGAGCCTCAGCTTTACTAGTCCGTGCTCGAGTACCCATTTCGGACACATTAACACGATTAGCAAGTGACTCTGGCTCTCCTGTAGGTTCTGTATCGCGTCTTGACACGAATCTTCGATCAGGTTGCGTAACCAAATTTGACATTGCATTGTAACTATACTGCGACGTGTCAATTCTAGGTTTATCCTTGTCGCTTCCATGTTTGGAGGAATCTTTCGATCCTCCTTTGGAATTTACACTCGACATGATTGTGAGTGGCGGACGGTAAGTTCCTTCTGCTATTGTATTTGGATATTAGCTACTAGGTTGAAAAAGCAAGTGGTATATGGGTTTCTCAGGAATAAAGTGCTACAGCGCACGATAACGTGTGCCTTAAGAAAATGTTAACTTTTGTTGCGTTCTTTTACGTAATTTAAAGCCTCTCGTTATTTGATTCTTTCGGTTTTCTTAGTAAATGAAACAACACATTTGTGAATAAACAGTATTTGTTTATTATATCTGGTTTTTTACCGTTTATCACCTTGTTTGCTTATATGGATGTTAGATGGACAAAAATTACTTACGATTAAGCTTGTACCCTGCTAAGTAGCATAGTGAATGGTGATTAAAGGATAGTTTGGATGCTACTGAAAAAGTATTTGTCTCTAAACTAAGAGTTAGGAAAAGAAGCCCTTGAGAGGATGACTGATGACGAGTCGTTTGAAGGAGACGATTGGGATAGCCTGGATGTGCAAGCGGTAGATGAAATTGAGCATAAATTACAAAACAACACCATTGGATTACAAGGGTATTCAGTCGATGAATATTTAGAGGTGAATGATCAGGAACCACATCGATTACAACACGAACTTGATCGAGATGCTGCTCAACAATGGATCTATCCAATCAACGTGTCATTTCGGGATTATCAATTCAACATAGTCAAAAAAGCACTCTTTCAAAACGTTTTGGTTGCTTTGCCGACAGGCCTCGGAAAAACGTTTATAGCTGCGACGGTGATGATGAATTACTTTCGATGGTTCCCCAAAAGTTATGTTATATTTATGGCTCCTACAAAACCATTAGTGACTCAGCAAATGGAAGCGTGTTATAAAATAACAGGAATTCCACGAAAGAAAACGGCAGAATTGAGTGGTCAAGTGCAGGTTGGTATCCGAAATCAGTACTATCAAGAAAGAAATGTATTTTTTGTAACTCCTCAGACACTTTTAAACGATATAAAGCATGGAATTTGTGATCGCACAAAAGTATCATGTTTGGTTATTGATGAGGCGCATCGCAGTACTGGAAACTATGCTTATGTAGAGGTTGTTCGTCTGCTCTACTTTGGAAATAAAAACTTTCGAATCTTAGCGTTGAGCGCAACCCCGGGAAGTAAGATTGATACTATCCAAAACGTTATCGACTCCCTGCACATTTCTTGCATAGAAATCCGTAATGAAACTAGCATCGATATCGCTCAGTATGTACATAAAAAGGAAGTGGATAGAATTCTAGTGGACTTATCTCCGGACATAATAGACTTAAGGGATCGCTTTGCGTCTCTTTTAGAACCAATGCTGTTAAAGTTGAACCAAGGAAATAATTACCGAGTACAAAATGCGAGAGACATTAATTCGTTTACTCTAGTACAAGCAAAACAAGCTTTTTTAGCTACTTCCGGGCAAAACTTTGCAAATAACCAACGTTGGGACATTTTAAATACATTTGACGCACTTGCTACCTTTGCGTATCCTCTTAATTTACTAATGAATCATGGTGTCAGGCCCTTTTGCGAAAAGCTTCAAGAAATTGAAGAAGAATGTTCCACAGGGCGAGCAGGTTATAAAAGAAGGATTTTGTCGAATCCCGAATTTAAATCTTTAATAGTCGATACTAAAAATTTGCTTCAGAATAATGATTTTTATGGGCATCCGAAGCTTGAACACCTGCAAGAAATTGTAGTAAATCACTTTGACGTGGGAAGTAAAGACAATGGAAACACCAGAATTATGATTTTTGTCGAGATTCGATCCAGTGCCGAAGAAATATTTCGAATACTAAGTCGGCACTATCCTATTGTAAGGCCGGCAATTTTCGTTGGTCAGTCTTCAGTTCGAAAGACCACAGGAATGTCTCAAAAAACACAAAATGAAACAGTGAAACAATTCCAGAAAGGTGATTTTAATACACTGATAGCTACTTCTATAGGTGAAGAAGGTTTGGATATTGGAGAAGTCGACATGATTATTTGCTACGATGCCTCTTCGTCACCAATTCGAATGCTGCAGCGGATGGGTAGAACTGGTAGAAAGCGTAATGGTTATATTTACATGCTCTTAACACGAGGAAAAGAAGAAGCGAAATGGGAGCGTGCCAAAGATGCTCATAAAAAAATTCAAGATAATATTATTAATGGAAGGGGGCTCGTTTTGTCCGATAAAAATCATAGAATTCTTCCCAAAGAGATTCAGCCTGTGTGCGAAAAAAAGGTTGTGGAGATTCCAAAAGAAAATGTTGCTCCTCTTGTGAGTTCAAATGAAAAACAAAAAGCAAAAGCGAAAAAGAAGTTTTTTATGCCAGAAAATGCATTGCACGGTTTTGTACAAGTATCAAGTCTTACAAAGCCTAAACGTTCGTCTACTGTTGAAGAAGCTTTTGAAATTTCTGAAGATGATCTTTCTCCCAAACATGATGAACAATTATTATATTATAGACAAGTTCCAAAGAGGACGATAGATATACATAAAGGACGAGATTTTAAAAACATGAATACGACGGGCCGGGTCCCCCATTCCTTGGCTTTGAAATGCATACAATCATCTTTGAATAATATGAGTCGGCACAAAGATTCCTCGATAACTTATAAATGGAAAGATATATATCAACAGAGTCTGAAAGAAGAAACCATGAATGATTCTTCTCATAAGAAACCGAAGATGAATGATATAAAGCAACATTTGAATGCTAGCTTGTAAGTATTATATTTCTAACTTCCTTTTCTAATATATAGAGCAAGAGAATCTAGACTTTTGTCAAAAGAAAGATTAGAACACCGAAAATTACACCAATTGGATAACGATGTTAACGCGGCAACTACAGACGAAAACCTAGAGAAAGATCTTCCAAATTTAAACCTTACATCCTCCCAAAATTATAGAAATAGAGATACCGGTTCTTATACGGATAGACAACATCGCCTTCAGCAGTTAGTGGAAAGGCGTAAGCGATCCAAAGGAATGTGGGTATAGAAGGGAACAGAATCATTCATTTATTTTATTTATTTTTACTTTAATTACAAATTTTTAATTTTATAATCCAATTCAAAGAGATAGTCATAGCATTCCATTTGTGTTTTCGACTTTTCCCATGTGGATCCCCAACTTATTGCTCCATAACCGCGAATAAGAATTGCATTGGTTTCTGGATATTCTTCAAGCGTTTCTTTAATACTTTCAAAAATTCCTTCAAGGGTGTCATTGTGTATTACTAGTTTAGAACAATCGTTAGTATCGATACTTCAGCGGCACATTAACAAACTTACTTGGAACTTTCAGAGAGTCAAAACAACAAAGATAACCATTGCTAGGTTGTCCCTTGGGAATTCCTTTAATCATCTCTTTCGATTGAGTATGAAAGTCTTTTCCGTTGTAAAGAGAAGCACCAAGGGCAGCAAGAGAAGTGGATAAAATACAAGCCACAGCGTTCCTTTTCCTGTTTTATTTCTTAGAAATATATTCATAACATTAACTTACTCTAAGATGTAGGCAAAAACCTTAGACCACACAACATCGGTATTCTTGGAAGAATCGCTAAGCGATTGTTAGTCAAATACAGCCCTTAAGCAATTTAAAGGATAATAGTTTTTAACCTATAGTTGAAACAAACCTTAAAGAGAATTGGGCAAGGTCTCCTTCCTGTAGCATGTCTCTTTGAATACGGTCTTTAGCACAGACTACTTGATCGCTGGAAACGAGTCAGTAAGTAAAAATTTATAAAATTGTGATATTACCAATTTCTTAGACAAAAGTTTCCGCTATGTACAGTTAGTTACGAGTATTATAGTTTTAACAAAGGCGCTTACCTCCCAAACCTCATCCATCCTTGTCTATAAAAATGAGGAATCAGTTCCAAAACCAAATCTTTTTCTTTTTGTTGGATCATTGCAATGGTATTCAGATCTATTCCTTACAACGGAAATCAATCCCTTTTTCTATAAGTGAAAGAGGTGGTCCACTACCCTGGAAGCAACTATAAATTTGGTTCGCAAAAAGTAGTTTCAAGGATAAACCATTTTACATTGGAGTATGTGTGAATAGCATATATTGCTTGAATAGAACTTAAAATATATATACACAAGGATAATAGTTAAAAGATGTTTGAAATACATTAAACCCTATATAAAAAAACACCACCAGTTGTGAATAATAACATGTTGAAAATTTTTTGTGCCAAACAAAAACGCTTTTTTCTTTTTACTTAAATATACGACTCAAGAAATGATAAAGGGGAGAACAGGAAAAGGTAAACTGAAAAAGACAGAGGAAGAAGTCGAAAATGTGAGATAGTCCGGTTTTACTTTTTGACAATTGTAACGACATCTTCGTCCAACAAAACATGAGCAAGACCAACACGCATGCCGGGATAAGGAACACTCTTACCCCAAACGTAAGCGTGCTTGAATTGGCTCTTAATACTAGAGTGAATGTTGTTACAGAAATCTTCAACACTAGAGTGACCAGAACGAAGAATGACAGGTTCCGAATAGTCAGGATCAAGGCCCCTAGGACGAGTGTAAATACGAACCAAGTTTAGATAGTCCCACATTGTTGTCTTAAGTTCGTCAATGTTCCAACCCTTGTGACCGCAGATAGGAACAGCGTTAGGAATACGGTCGATCAAGTCCAATTCTTCCAATGAAATTTCATCGATCTTGTTGAGGATGTAAATTGCTGGAATATAGCAACGATTTCCTTCTAAGACGTCAATCAAGTCATCAATAGTGGCATCGCAACGGAAGGCAATATCAGCTGAATTGACACGGTATTCGCTGCATACGGCACGGATTTCGTCCAGATCAATGTGATTGAGGGGGACAGTGTTGGTAATGTTAATACCACCACGTTCCTTCTTCTTGAAAACAATATTCGGAGGATCCTTGTTCAAGCGAATGCCAAAACCTTCTAATTCTTCCTCAATAATGCGCTTATGAGACATGGGCTTCAGGACATCCAAAACAATGAAAATGAGGTTGCATGTACGAGCAACCGTAATAACTTGCTTACCACGACCACGGCCGTCCTTGGCACCCTCGATAATACCAGGCAAGTCAAGAATTTGGATTTTAGCACCGTTATACTGCATGACACCAGGGACTGTCGTTAATGTAGTAAACTCATAAGCAGCCGCTTCACTACGAGTACCGGTCATCTGGTTCATCAATGTACTTTTACCGACGGAGGGAAATCCAATAAAGCCAACGGTACCAATACCGGTACGAGAAACATCGAAACCGACTAGAAGAGTTAGCTTTAAACCAATGTAAAGTCAAATATTTTAGTAAACAAAATACATACCACCACCGCCACCACCGCCGCTACCGGTCGGTGTAATGAGCTCGCGCTTCAGTTTTGCAAGCTTGGCTTTAAGCATGCCCAAATGCTTAGCCGTAGCTTTGTTTTTTTGGGTCCTGCTCATTTCATCTTCGATGTCCTTGATCCTTTGAGCTGTGGTCGACATTTTTGGTTCCCTTCCAAGATGTGATATTGGAAATGGTCAGGTTTGAAAAAAAAAGACTTTTGCCTACGTAAGATATTTTCGGTTGTTCCGCGGCCAATAAATTCATATTATCGAGTTATCCGCGGTTCGTTAATGGTTAAATTCGCTATTGTGTTTTGCGTATTTTACTGAGCTGCTTAAAAAAGTTCGTTGCTGCGTACTCTCATATTTTACTTCACCGAATATTCTTCTGTCTCCCTAACTTGATTTTTGTATGTGTTGTTATACGATATGAACCTGGGAAGAGAATCGCAAAACGTTTCGTCAATTTTCGAATAGCTTTATTAAAAAATAAATAAATAAATATCTACAAATTTACAGAGTAGTCAGACCCGCGTTGCCAAGTTGTAAGTAGTCACTATAATTCCAAATGAAAAAGGGTAGGGCAATCGTAGAAACCGTCATTTACAAACGAATATGCCTTGCTAACGAGACCAAAGTACGTACTTCCATAATTGTTAAGAATCGGTAAAAGCAACTAGACTTTTTAGTTCCAAGATTTTGGGATGGATGGATGGGAGTACATCTCTTTTGCTTTTGCCTTGGTAGTTGCAGTCTTGCAATTGCGAGCCTTTATGCTTGTTTTTCCAGTTTCAAGTTCACCAAAAGAAGAAACCATGAAAACAGGTTTGGCATTCCCTCATAGTGCAAAAAGTTCAAAATCCTAGAACTCCACGAATGAAATTTGGAGAAAAAAATATGAAAGCAAACTAAAAAGTCATCACGACAATTTTAAGAATAGGTACGAATATTATAAAGCATCAAGATAACAGTTGAGAATGATTAATTAAAATGACTTTTTCTCCCATACCTAATCAATTGTCTTGAGCAATAAAGTTACAAAACAACACGAGTTTTATCAAGCAGGAGAATCTTAGAAAAGATAAGGGATAACGGCATGGCGATCTTCTGGATACCGCGAGAAATGGGAACGGTACCAAGAATGAATACGGTAGGCGCGTGGAAGCATCAACAGTACCTCCGCTAAAAAGAACCACCAGATGGGTTCTGCTTGCATTCCAGCGGCCAAATAGCAACCAAACCATTCAATCCATTCACAGAAATAGTTTGGACAAGAGACATAGGTGAAAAGACCACCGTAAGGAATTTTGTAATGAGATTGAAAGGACGAAATAACCTCTTCGTCACTGGAAGGGGAGGAAGTCTGGGAGGGTTCGTTGTTTTGTTGCTTTGCAGGTTGTCTTCGGCGGAGGTCGTACAGTATATTGTCATGATACAAATTGCCAATCCAACCAAAAAGCCACATTAGTCCTCCTACAATGAACCAAGGCAAGGAGACTGGGTGTTGTTGCACCGTGGCCTGCAGCAAGTACAAGCCTATGGACATTCCGTTAAGGAAGTTGAATAAAATGGCGGAAATAAACACAGTCCAATGCATAGGAGAGACGTGAGGAGCGAAGACGAGTGGACCCACGATAGCACGGTTGGCATAGTGGATCATAAACATAAAGGCCGACGCTTTACGAAATAGATCCAAGTCACGAAAGCATACGTCCCCCACAAACCCAGGAGCCAGAGAATGGTTTCCTTGCTGCAATGCATATAAAAAGGTAACAGGAGCTACTAGTTCCATAAGTACCCAGCCGAGACGACCTGGTATGTAGCCCCTTGAAAACCAAACTGTCGGCTGTGCTAGTTTTCCATGAGGAGCATTCACAAACAGCACAAATGGGAACACACCCACAACGTATGTTTTAAATAAATTCAAATAATCGGTATACAGCATTTGATACTTAGCTAATGATTACTTGTCTTCTTTTAAACAAAATTTTAACAATCACGCATGCTTTTAGAAATGCTGCATCCGTAAACAATCAAGTGCGTCCTAATAGCAACTAAGCTCACACCCTATCAAGATGGACTATTGATATAGCCGATCCTGATCCAATCCTTTCTCCTTTCGATAGTAGAAGTGACTGGCTTTTAGAGTAGTAGTGATTGTGGGGGTCGGGATTTTCGGCGTCTATATATATATATAGAGTGCACCCCAAACATACTTGTCTTGTACGACACGCATTAAAGGTAAAGCAAATTCTCTTCGTTCCCTCAGGAAGAAGTTTCTTTTCCTTTTTTTTCTTTTTATAACAGTATAATTTTCTCGTCTTGAAGAAAATATACTCAAATCTATTGATATCTAGATTAGTGTTCTTTTATAGACTCATTAATCGTTCCATACTTTTTATACCTATCTTCGTTCCCGTGGATCTTCATAATGGTACAATCCGCTGTCTTGGGTTTCCCTCGTATCGGTAAAAACCGTGAATTAAAAAAGGCTACCGAGGCATACTGGAGTGGTAAGATTTCTGCCGATGAGTTACAAACTGCTGCCAAGTCCTTGCGTTTGGAGCACTGGAAGCTTCAAAAGGCCCAAGGTGTTGACATTGTCCCTTCTAATGACTTTTCCTTTTACGATCAAATCATGGATCACTCTTTTACTTTCAACGCGATTCCCGAGCGCTACCTTAAGTATGACTTGACTCCTTTAGATACCTATTTTGCCATGGGTCGTGGTATGCAACGTCCCGCTGTCGACGGTAAGCCTGCTGTCGATGTTCCTTCTCAAGAAATGGTCAAATGGTTTGATTCTAACTATCACTTTTTGAGACCCGAAGTCTCTGACAAGACCGATTTCAAGTTGAACTCCACCAAGGCTGTTGACGAGTTCCTCGAGGCCAAGCAAGCTGGTATTCAAACCCGTCCCGTCTTATTGGGCCCTGTTACTTTCTTGTTCCTCGCAAAGGCCACCAAGGAATCATCCGCCAAACCCATCGACCTTTTGCCTAAGCTTACTTCTGTCTATGTTGAGCTTTTGAAGAAGCTTGTAGAAGCCGGTGCCGAATCCGTTCAAATTGATGAGCCCATTCTTGCTCTCGACTTGGCCGATGAGGTCCTTAACAGCTACAAGTCTACTTACGAGACCCTTGCTCAAGCCAATGCTAAGCTCATCTTGACTACCTACTTTGGTCCTTTGAAGGACAACGCTCAAGTTTTGAAGGGTCTCCCTGTCGCCGGTATCCATGTCGATGTTTGCCGTGCTCCTGAAAACTTGGATGCTGCTCTTTCTGTCCTTGGTGACAACCAAGTGCTCTCTGTCGGTATTGTCTCTGGTCGTAACATCTGGAAGACTGATTTCCAAAAGGCCGTTGCCGTTATTGAAAAGGCCATTGCTGCCATTGGTAGCGACCGTGTTATCGTCGCTTCTTCTTCTAGCATTCTCCACATCCCTCACTCTCTTTCTGGTGAAGACCAATTGAAACCTGAAATTAAGCGCTGGTTCGCTTTTGCCGTCGAGAAGTGTGCTGAATTAGCCATCTTGACCAAAGCTGTCAATGAGGGGCCTGCTTCTGTCCGTGCTGAACTCGAAGCTAATGCGGTTGACGCCAAGGCTCGTGTTGAGTCCCCCATCACCAACGTTAAGGCTGTCCGTGACCGCCAAGCTGCTGTCACTCCTGAAATGCACACCCGTGATACTCCCTTTGAAAAGCGTTACTCCCTTCAACAAGAATCCCTTAAACTCCCTCAATTCCCTACTACCACTATTGGTTCTTTCCCTCAAACCAAGGAGATTCGTGTCACTAGAAACAAGTTTGTTAAGGGCTTAATTTCCGCTGAAGAATATGATGCTTTCATTCGCAAGGAAATTACCGATGTTGTCAAGTTCCAAGAGAACATTGGTCTCGATGTGCTGGTCCATGGTGAGCCTGAACGTAATGATATGGTTCAATACTTTGGTGAACAAATGGAAGGCTTCGTTTTCACCCTTAACGGTTGGGTGCAATCTTATGGATCTCGCTGTGTCCGTCCTCCCATCATCGTTGGTGATGTTTCCCGTCCTGGTCCTATGACTGTCAAGGAGTCTGCTTTTGCTCAATCTATCACCTCCAAACCCATGAAGGGTATGCTTACCGCTCCCATCACCATTTTGAGATGGTCCTTCCCTCGTGATGATGTTGAAGAATCTATTCAAGCTCAACAAATCGCTCTTGCCTTAAGAGATGAAGTTTTGGACCTTGAAAAGGCAGGCGTTCGCGTTATCCAATGCGATGAACCCGCTTTGCGTGAGGGTCTTCCTCTCCGTCGTACTGACTGGGCTCAGTATGTCGACTATGCTGTCAAGGCTTTCCGTTTGGCTACTGGTGGTGTTAAGGATGACACTCAAATCCACTCTCATTTCTGCTATTCTGACTTCAATGATATCTTTGATGCTATTCAAGGATTGGATGCTGATGTTGTTTCTATTGAGAACTCCAAGTCTGATATGAAGTTAATGTCTGTTCTTAGTAACTACAAGTCTTGTATTGGACCTGGTCTTTTCGACATTCACTCTCCTCGTGTTCCCCCAGTTGAGGAATTCAAGCAACGCATTGATGCTCTCGTTCAGTCTGTCCCTAAGAATCGTCTTTGGATCAACCCTGATTGTGGTTTGAAGACTCGAGGCTGGCCCGAGACCACTGCTGACTTGGAAAACATGATTGTGGCTACCCGTGCTGTTCGTGAGCAATATGCTTAAGGTTAGCCTAATGGTATTTACATCCAAATAGGCATTTCATGTATAATTAAGGAAAGAAAAAAAGAAAATAAAGGTTGGTTGTTAACCTTCAACATGGTTAACCGGTAATGAAACGATTTATGCTATGGTAATGTTTCTAGAACCGCATAGCTGTTTTCTCATCAACTGAGGGTAACAAGTTGATAAATTTTTGCTATGCGATGGCATCTTTGTCTAATTCTTTTTAATAATAGTTTAAAAATTGCATTATTCTTTCTCAAGTTATTCTAAAAAGGAAGGAAAGGTTGTAAACTAGTAAGAATAAAGTGTATATTGCATTGGCATTGTAAGTTTGCAAGCTGTCTAAGATTTTATCAATAAAAAAATTTATCTGCAATTCAATGTTTTGTTTCCTTTTTTTTTCATTTTTTGGATAGTTGAATATGCTAGGAATGACTAGAAGCCGCAATACCTAAAAAAGATGACCAAGAGATACAAATAAAAGGCTGACAAAGTTCTTAGTAGACTTTCATTAAATGTCTTTTTGGTTTATCTTTTAAACTTCTTTTCCTCAGAGTTTTGCATGGGTATCAAACTTGCCGAGTGTTCTGTTTATATGCTAGAGATTGATTTTTTCCTGTTGTTTGATAGAAATTGATAATTTTTTTTACTGTTTGTGATTTTTATAAAGCCTCTTTAGGAATAACTGAAGACAAGGTTCCAAAGTCTTTTCTTAATTTTAAAGGAGCAAGTAATTATTGCTGAGATTGAGAACCATTCACTTACATCTACGGTACGTAAGCTCAATAGAAATGTGAACTTGTTATGTAAAAGTTAGATGGGTTTCTTATTTTATTCTACAGTTGCATAACTAAATAAAGGTGGATGCGAATTGCTTACGAATTGTATTGGCAAGGAATAATGTTTATAAAAAACCAATCTCTTTTTGCATTATTAGCATTCGTTAATCGACGATAATAAACTCCAGCCAGTTAATGATGATGAGATTTTTCGTGCAGATCTACAACATTTGAGGAATTTCACTATCATAAAACAGTTTTTGAGACTTTAATTGTGGTGATTTTAAATGCGAGTAAAAATTCCCTTTATAAATTTGTCTTTTAGCAAATCACTTGCAAGAGACTTTGTTTTGTAAATGGTGTGCATTGTTTCGGTGAGATGATACATATTTCTTTACATATGTACTTGGAGACCTGAGGATTATCTTTGAAAGTTCGTTTGAATTTAAATTCTGCATTTGCTTGGCTATTTGACGTTCTTTTTTTTCTAATATCCTCAATGAACGCTGATGTTTCATTTGAAATGAGTCTAATTTCATCACATAAAATTCGGTTCACCCAATTTGAATAGGAGTATTAAACATTGCAAAACATTTGGATAAATAAGTAAATACAGGAAAAGTAACAATATAATGAAATCTTTCTGTATGATTTATAAACACAGAGAATACAGCAGTAACAGCTTAGTATGATAAGATGATAATTTGGTATGCTACTTGACATTTGTTTACAGGATGTACAGTTTGACAATTTTTGAATTGAGCGAGCTTTCATTTGTAACTAAGTGTTTGACTCGTAGTCCTAACAAATTTCTCCACGAAATTCTTTATTTTCTTATTCAGGTAAACTAGCAATGTGGGTCTTTTCATTAAACAGAAAAGGAGAAAAAAAAATAAGAGAGAGAGAGAGTGAGAGTGAGAGAGTGAGAGAGAGAGTGAAAGAGATGAATTCCGTGAGAAAATCAACAAATCATTTCTTAACAGAGACTTTGTAAACTTTCAGCCCTACAAAAGTCCCTGGCGAACATCGTTTGGTTGGAACGAAATGCAAACCGAAGGAATGTATCTCTTCAAATTTGCTTCTTGAATAGCAATTTCCTAACTAGTCGAGGTACGTTACGATGCCCCTTCGACGAATCAATAAAACCAATCTCCAGAAATTTCCCTAAAATGCGGTTTTCAAAACTTTTGAACTTGGGACACGAGACAGCTATCATCCACAGGAATTTTTTGATTTTAATAATAACATTCAATGGTAATCATCTATAAAAGCTATCTTGTATGGAATACGAATTTATGTTCCTAATCAAGCTTCATCTATTGAAGAACGCAAAACGGGAGATTCATATGTATGAGCTCCTAATTTGAAAAATAAACGTAAATTAAGATTAAAAACTGTTTTCTTACTGATTTATTTCGAATAATTTACAAGAATACCATGGCAATTTTTATTACTTGGTCATATTTCAAGAAGAAAGGAAACAACATTGTTACTTGGCGGGCTCACTAAGATGATATAGAACGGCGATAAGGAAGACTGCTATGTAGCCATCGCATGCAGGTATCCGTGAAGCTTGATATATATACTAAGCGGCTAAATGGCATGAAAACTGCGTATAAACAGTCCAATTAATTTGGCAGTGTTTGTCTGTTTAAGAGAATCTTTTTTTCCCCATATATAACACGCTTGGCTGTTCCCATAGCGCCTTCGTTTCGTAAGGGTCGACTCGTAAGGAGTTTGAAAAAAGGCAGCTAAATCCTCTTTTTATTTTTTTGATTTTACGAAAAGGATACTTGGTTTTTGAACTTGTCGTACCAGGAATTGCAAATTATGGCGAGCGTTTTAACGGATGAACGATCTACAGATGGAGACTTGTTTGCTCAGCAAAGATCAAACACCTCGGGATCTACGACTTCTTCAACCGGTAATGAAAAAGTGAAAGTGTTCCATGAAATGGCGCATGGTAAAAATGAACAGTCAGATGGGGTTTCCTCAGATGCCGACAGTGATGATGCATTGATCAGAAGTATGGGCTACAAGCCGGTACTTCACCGGACCTTTAAGTTCTTTGAAAGCTTTGCGGCTAGCTTTGCTGCCATGGATGTTGTCAGCGGAGTTCGTCTTACATTTAGTTATGGTGTCACATTTGGTGGACCGGCTGCTTACTGGGTGAGTATGCTGGTCACAGGTGTGTGCTCTACAATTACCGCTGCCTCTTTGGCTGAATTCTGTTCTGCCTTACCCACGTCTGGATCCGTTTATCTGTGGGCTGCTGAAGCAGGTGGACCCCAACTTGGACGCTTTTTCAGCTTTTTGGTTGCTTGGTGGTCCACTACTGCGTGGACAACTTTTGTTGCCTCGACTGCTCAGTCTTGTGTAAACTTTATTTTTGGCGAAGTTAGCACTTTCGGAAACAGTTGGTCGACAGACGATTCTAACGTTAAATTTCGTGCAGTCCAATGGATCGTTGCTGAAGTTGTTTTAGTATTTATCATTCTTGTCAATCAGATCCCACCACGGTACTACAGATGGGTCTTTAAACTTTCCATGATTCTGATCTTTGTTGATTATATACTAAATTTGATTTGGCTTCCCATCGCCACCTCTAGAAAAAGCCATGGATTCCAATCCGCCAAATGGGTCTTTACTGAGACCATCTACGATCAAGCCGGCTACAGCAAAGAAGTGTATGATTCAAGTGGAAACGTCGATACCAACTTGTCCAAGCTTGTTCCCAGAGGCTGGCAGTGGTGTCTTGCTTATTTTGCGTCTGCTGGTGTAATCGTCGGCTATGATGCTTCGGGACACATCGCTGAAGAGACCAAAGATGCCTCTAATAAAGCTGCTCGAGGAATCTTCTTTTCCGCCTTTACATCCTCGATTGTAGCTTTTAGTCTTACGATTCTCTTTTTATTCTGTTGTCCTCCACTAGATACCTTTAACGATATTATGTACAATACGGCTTCACCTCAACCGTTTGTCAATTTTTATTCCTATGTGTTGGGACGCGGAGGTCATGTTATCATGAATGTGATCATTATTCTTGAGTTATTTTTGAATGCCGTGATTGGTGTGTTAGCCTGTAGTCGCTTGGTATTCGGCGTCTCTCGCGATGGTGTCTTGCCTTTCTCTGGCTGGATCAGTCAGGTAAGTAAAGAAGGACAACCAAAAAATGCTATTACGGTAATTTACATTGTTTCCGCTTTGCTTCTTTGTACCATATTGCCCAGTTCAGTTGCCTTCTCTTCCCTTGTTTCCGCAGCTGGTGCACCCAGTTTTGCTTGCTATGCTCTTCTTGCTTTTGGCCGTTTGTTCATTACCCGTGATAAATTCCCTAAAGGTAAATGGTCTCTGGGAATCTTTAGCAAACCCTTCATGGTTGTTTCTCTTGTTTACAACTCATTCGTATTTATTATCAACATTTCTCCTTATTCTTATCCTGTTACTGGTTCGAATTTCAATTATGCCATTGTCATTACAGGAGCTGTCTCTATATTTGCAGTCATATGCACCTTAGTGATCCCACGTTCTCGATGGATTGCTAATCGCTATCGATATGACCAAAGCATATCTTCCAACGCCAAGTATGAAAAATAATCACCTACGTTTAAAAAAGTACAAAAATACATACTAGCATTTAATTCTTCCCCTAATAATTTCCTGTGCTTTACAAATGAAAGCATAAGCGATCCAGGTTCGTGAATTTCGTTTGATATTGACACAGTGCTTTTCTTATCTTTTCTTTACGCCCATTATTGAGCGACTATAATCTTTTTTGGAAATACGGTAATTTTTTTGTTTTCTATTAATAAAATTTGGTTTATTGGAACGAGTAACTTAAAGCAGTAATATAGGAATCAGCAACCCATGCGTTTTTTGAAAGAAAATAAACATCTGTAACTGTATGTTCTTTAGCATGATCATGCGATCAAAATTCCTTTTCTTTCTGAAGAAGACAAAAAGAAGATTTTTGCTTCTGGTGAGGCTCGAACTCACGACCTTCCCCTTTCATCTTATGAGAGGGACGCTACCACCAACTGAGCTACAGAAGCTTCGTTGGTAAGAGGATAATTTCAAGCTATATATTCCATATTGCACTAATGTGTTTATAAAAGGTGAACAAGGATCTAATAGCACAAGAATATTGTTTTTGGTAATTCATTGAATTTTGGATCTAGAAAATAGGTTCTCGCTTGTAGCATTCAATGCAATTTCGTCCTTACTGTGTCTTTTAATCTCTAGAACTTTTTATTGTTGTAAGAAAGCAAGGCAAAAGCGCAGAAACGACAGCATCTTCTACGTGCGCTGAAATGATCTTCCATGTATTAATGGATTCTAAGTTGCTTTCATTTGACTGTATCAATGTTATACTCTACAATACAAAACTCATGTTTTGTTTTTGATAGCAGCATTCCCACAAATTTTAGACTAGAAAGAAATTTTGATCCATCAGGTCAAACAAAAATAAATTCTCATTTTCCATGTTCCTTTTGTATATTGAACAGAATAAAACTTGTATAGTTTTTCTCATATGTCAACATCTTGTTTCATTTTACTAGTACAATTGTTATTTTTTTTGGGAGAGTCTGATTCCTACACTTCCTTGCTTGTTTATTTACTAAGAACCCCCAAGACAAATCCTTATTTGCAGTTATCTGCGAAATCCTATATATTGATATTCTACTGTAAACAAACAAATTTGTACAAAAACTAACATCTTTTCCTTAATAACATAAATCCTTTATCCTTCTTTATAACTGTTAATTTCTACTCGTTTTGATTCTTCCTTTTTTTAGTTCATTTTTTTGGCTGCTTCTCTTTTCGTTGATTTCACTTCTTGCGTAAAATTTGCTAATTGCTTATATTCTGTGTAAAATGTCTTTCCCTTTTGTCTCTGATTTTCCCAGAGGTCCTTTAGGTAGGTTACGATTTGCTCGTGGTAAAAGTTACTAATGCAGTAATCCACTAGAACACGATTGTATAGAGGAAGATATGCCCATGGGGTCCTCAACACCAACCAAATTGGAACCGGGAAATGGCTCCTCAAGAGGTTTCGATGGCTCTCATCAAGAACGTCTTCAGGAGGCGCTCTTCGAATTGAACCAAGAATCTACGCATTCGATTCATTTAAGCATAGACGAGTCTATTTCTGATAATAACGATCTGTTAAATGATCAAGGCTTACAGTACCCTGCTTCTTCCTCTTTACCACAAAAACATGCGACCGCAGAAAGCCCTTCAAAAACAAAAACTCCCATGAGCACCTGCTTTGAGGAATGGCTACCATCGTCAAAATACAAATACTCTAGTCCTTTGAAAAGCTCTTCTAGATTTCCTGCTTCCACATCACCTACCAGACGAGGTATTCCTCTCATGGCAATTAATGCAAATCAAATAACTCCTAGGAACCATAATCTTCATGGAAAAGCAAATAACGAAGACTCTTCCTTACCTCGACCTGTAGAGCCAACATATAACTCCTTTCAAACTCCTTCTCGCCCTGGATTGCGAATAGACTCCTATTCGCCTTCAAAGAGTATCAACGAAAAAGAACTATTGAAAAGGAAAGATGACAATCATTTGAAAAACTTAACATCAACACCTATTTCTATTCAAAGAGATCCCATGGGAAGAGAGAATGCCACACCAGAAACCCGACAATCATTTAATGCCTCTCCCTTTAGAAGTTTCATGGATACTACTTTGGAGGAAAGTTTGACGCATGACGATGTAACATGCCCTCATCTTGTAAGATTAGAAAAACTTCGGGAATTACTTTCTTTTGTTCAATTGGAGTTGCAATGTTATGTTGATCCATACAAAAAAGAGCTTCGAGAAGCCAAAGAACAGCTAGCCTTGAAAGACCAAGAGCTGGAAATCTTACGAACCAAGCTAAAAAATGCTGGTTTATCTTGATTCTTATAAATATGTTGTTATGCGGACTCAGTGGTCGCTGATAAATTTTGTACTTTGTTCCCTTACGTTGATTTTTTATTCTGTATTTACTCCTCTTTAATATTCTCTATTAATCCTGAATAAGATATCTTTTAGAATACGTTTATGGACAGTGATTTGTCTTACTAGCATACTTCATTATGTAAAAAAGCCAAGATTTACCTCAAAATCATAATCAAATTCGGAATGAGAGATAAGGTGTCATATCATTTAGTTTAAGGTGTTTGCAAACTGAAAGACTAGTGCAGAACTTGAAACTTTTTGTCTCAAATCATGATGATCCATATCATGAGCTACATTTCGTTAATAAGAAGTCAAACAAAAAAAAGTGCGAAAAGGCTTACCATCTTCTAAAGATCCCCATTTATTCGTTTGGAAACAAAGCTCCAAGTTAGTTAGCTCAACAACTTCTTCGGAAGACAAACTTCCCTGAAGGAGAAGCGTTGACAAGATAAAACTTTTACTTGAAGCAACACAACGCTCAAAGGCAGCCAACTGCCAAGGATTTAATGAGTTTAGCCATTTTTGAATAGTCTCATGAGTTTCTATTGATTGCTTATTCGATATGATCCCGACATCGCCATCTAAGTGTTTCAGTTGAACATTGAACATTTCTTCAAAGGCCTTTTTCAAAGGCAACCATTTCTTTTGTTGTTCTTTGAGAAGCTTTCCTTCATACTCTTCAGCGGGTGCGTATACCAGAACGGTATCCGTGTCGAGAAACTTTATCACTTGGTCGAAAACTCTTTTCTTTTCATTCTCCGCATCTGTTAATTCCATCGCCCTCGAAAATAGCGATGTAACAGGAAGCATGTGTGGACGAATCGAACTTGTTGGCAAACGGTCCCATTCTAGAGCAACCAAGTGAGCTAAAGGCTGCATAGTAGTAGGAATTTCTAGTTTTTTGCCAGAAGGTGTTTTCAAGGAATGTCCGTCCAGCTTTACAAACACTTTTCCATTCTCACCGGAGACGGATGTGTTTTTCCAAAAACGGCGAAAGCCATCAGATTTTACATTGTTTTTGATTGCATTAGCGCAAAAATTTCTAGAAAACAGCTGTTTTCTTGCCAAACTAATTCCACGTAGCATCATCGCTCAAAGGGAAGGAAGTTATTTTCTTTATTCAATTACAGATAGATAGTACTGAAATTTACCAGGTCATTCCTTTTTAATATAAAACAATCGCCTTGTCAGAATAACTTCTCAGAAAGGAACGACAGAGTTATCTTCAGTTGCTGCTGTAACACTTTCGAGCTTGTTTAATGTTAATAGAAAGGTAACCGAGAATAGTGAGAATCCGTCTTTCGGTTTAGTGGACGTGGTTACATTTTATATTAATATTAGTTAAAGAAAAATATTATATGAAATTGTTTTAAGCAACTGTGCAGGCTTGATCTCGTTTGAAAACTAGGTAGCATGAATACATAATTTTGAATCAAGGTACGCGGATTAAATCTTTTCATAAAGCAAACGAAAGATATGTTTAACTAGCACTAGCAGAAGGGCTCTACATTGATACACTAGTCAAGCTGTTGTAACTTCGACTATTTATCACTCTCGAAGCATACTCATAACGAATAAACCACTCGATTAAGTTTAACGACAACAAAAAGAATTAGACATATAGATTATCATTATCAAAATTTGCAAGACTACATTTCCTGAACCGGCAGAGAAATTTCACATAACAGTAAACAAGGAAGAGGGATAAAAAGGCCATGGACAAGCTAACCTGCAAGAAATCGGAAAAGTAAAAAGGTAAAAGAAAGAGAGAGCTTATAAACAAAAAAAGAGATATTACAAGGAAAGAACCATGTTAAAGGACAACTTTCCTTTTTTCCACTTTCCGCCTGTCAGTTCTTTTAGGCGCTTGAAATTTTGGTAGTGGAGACGCTGTTAATTCAGAGGAAACAAGTTCGACTGCTTTCGGCAATTCATTTTGTTGATCAGTAGAAACTCTGCGAACTAGTTCTCCATCTTGAGAAGTAAATAAAGACTGTGCTTCTTTTTCAATTTCCTTTTCTTCCTGCTCTCGACGTAAACGCTCGTCTTTGTCCATCGAGCCATATGATTCATCGTGCAACAATGTTATAGCATCATCAACATTTACCCTGGATCGCTTTGTGCTTTTTTCTCTTAAATCATCAAGAGCATCACTTATTTGCATTTGCCTCTTGGTATCCATCGTCCTCTGTTCTAATTTTTCCATTTCATCTTCTTCAGGTATGGCTCCACTTTCTGCTAATTCAGTCTCCTCGTACGCTTGTAATTTTTCCTCCCTCCAAGGTTCAAAATTTCTAGACGCACCTCTTTCAGCGGCATAATCGGCATGCTTGGGATCTGTAACAAAGGTAACTTCTGCAGCACACCTAGTACACCGAATATAAAACCTCAAAATATCAATTGAAAAGTACTTCTCCCCAGTCTTTTCTTTTCGAGCGTTAAATTTCTTTCCCTTGTATATATATTCACCACAAGTATGACATTTCATAGAGAACGGTAACATTAGACGTACAGTCGTTCTTCCTCCATTCGGCCCTTGACTTTTCTTTTTCTTCGGAGGAGGTACCGAAGGATCATAATCAGGTGGAATGTACTTGTTGAGAACCTTTCTTTCCGACATTTTGTGTACGTTTAATATATAAATTCCAAGAAAATTGACTTTTCCCTTCAACGACTCACCAATGCTTTCAGATTTTACAAAACCTCTGTAAACGCAAGCAAGTTCTACCTACTAAGAATGTTAAATTCCTACACGCGTCCAAATAAATGATGGTAAAGGACACGTTCTTGTTTGCCTTTCGACATTCATTCATTTCGAAAATACCGAGCTAGAACCCACCGCCCTATAAGGTAAACAAAGTTACAAAGTCAATCATTTCTACGATTTTTTACAGCAATCCGCAAGCATTGTCTACATAAAGCAAAGTTTATGCATGAATAGTACTTTTAACGAGTCACGAGAAAGTTAGCAATTTTGAAGACTTGTTAACAGATTGCTATTAACGCTGTAGGAAGCTCCAGGTAATAAAAAAAAAAAAAAAAAAAAGCAAAGAATGAATATTACAGAAAAACGTATCGGCTATATGAAGGAGTGGAACTTATACCCATATATATTATATATCGTTAGAGTAATTTGGAACTTTTCAAAAAAGACCACATAATCCAGTCGACTACTCATTGACGTAAATAAGCAAATGAGAAAAAGAGAGATAAAACTTTTGTCAAAGGAATAGGTGAACATGAAACGAAACGAAGTGCAGAATTCAATGACCGCATGAAAAAAAGAGTAGGATAAAGGGGGGCCATATATTAAATTCCAAAGTCATTGAATTAGGTTATAAACAATGCAAAAGAAAAGTCGACATTTGATGGGAAGTCAAACCCGTTGATTGCATCGAACTCAAAGCATAAGTTTCATAGGACAAACCTCACTAAAAATATCACATTTTCAATGTTACATAGAAGTTAGAAAAACAACAAGAAAAAAAGGATCGGATTTTAAAGCAAGGAGTCCAGATGAGTGAATACCTGTAATACAGCAGCAACGACCTCGATGGATAACATTTGATCCTCAGATAATGGAGCCAATTCTTCCCCAACAGCTTCACCCAAGTTCGCTCCAACAGTTGAAGGATGGATAAGGAAGGGCCATTGAGAAAATTCAGATAAAAGATCATCGACTTGAGCGAGGGCTCTGTCGCGTCTCTCAAAGTCTAAAACTAAAAGAGCATTTTCTAAAACATTAGCTGCATAGGCAGAACAAACAAGAGCTATTGTACGCAAGTAGCGGAATTGCAAGTTAGCAGGAAAAGCTGGTGTGCTTTCCAACTCGACGACACGGTCCACCAAGATAGACAAAACGCGTCGCTTTAGACCCTCTTTGATAGAGGTATCTGCGACAGGATGGGTGGGCATATCGAAAAGCAGAAAATTTTTCTTTTCAGTTCTAAGAATGCCTTTATCGACCAAACCTTTTGCGAGACGTTCACGGACTTGACGAAGTTGATACCCAATTTTCATGACATTCCACGTTTCGCCGCTCATCAAGTCAATCCAAGAAGTAACCGACATTGGTTCACTCGAGTGAATCATTTTTATGGCTTCATCAAGCAATACTTCGCCCGTCAATCGATCATCCACGAGTTCCACCAAGCGATCAGCCAGTGGGAAACGCTTTCGATTCACATCTTTCTGCATACGCAACTTGCCGCGAAAAGCAAGCTCGATTAATATGCACCCGCGAAGAGAATACGAGATACTATCATTCCAAAAAGACAGATAACCCTGTTTGTCTTTTAGACCCAGCAACAGTACTTCCTCCATAAGAGTCACTTTCGGTTGTTTCTCACTTTCAGCACCTTGTTCAAGATCTTTGGGATCAAATGCAATTTTATGATCTTCATCACGATTCTGCGCTTTGCTTTTCATTAATGCGACATTTTTGGTTTCTTGTTCATTTTCGTCCAAGTTGCCTGAAGCGACTCTTCTCCGAGATAATCCGCTTGTCATAATTTAATTGAGAGTCTCAATGTATATAAATGATGTTGCTGATCGGTTGCTTAACAGCCGCAGAAGAATATATACAACCTACTCAAGTTTGAGGGACTGAATCTTGAAACCAGTTCCGTCAAAGCTCTATTAAAAGCAGATCTTTATTTCGTTTTTTAAGAACAAATGAGCACACTGAATGTTTTAGGTAAAACAGTGTTGCTCCAAGGGGTTTCAAAGTCCACAAAATCCCACAACAATCGTAAGGACAAGCACCTATAAACAATACAATCCTACCGAAACTATTCCCTTCAAGTATTACCACAGATTGAAAACTTCTCCTTGCACACTAAAGATGTAAACTATGCAATGAATATGTTAAAGTCATACTACCTCAGTTAAGGTCCTGGAAGTTGCTTTTGACGAGCCATAACAAACTGCAGTATTACCAAATGCTGCAGACACTGAAGCTCGTTATTTATTTATTTATTCACCAAGAAGGAAATTTACGAGAAAGATGCAAGAATAAACTTATAGAAATGAATGGTTAAAATCAGAAATCTGAAGGCTCAATAAATAGTAAGACGAAAAACGATATGTATAGACACTCGCAACATGTAAGAGGAAAAAACGGTGCCCTAAACCGTGCTAGGATTTTATTAAGAATTTTTTTGAAAAGAATGGAAAGAAACACTAGATATGGAATGGATTCAAGTATACATGCAAGAGAAGGGGAATTACAAAATGAGCTCGGTATGCAAAAATTTCTGTAATTTTTGCAAATGTTGGGCAGAGGTAGAAGGAAGGGCATGAGCAGGCCATGTGGAAATCTGTTGATGGATGGCGAGAAAGACTTGTAGAGTTTCGGAATCAAAGGGGAGGGCATTTGCCTCCATTTCGGCAAGAAGCCGAAGAAAGGAGAAGGGATCTTGAGAAGTTTGCCAGAGAGCCAAAAGAGCTTGGTTATAGACTTGAGTGGTACAAGCTTGGACGTATGCATAGACGCTAGCATGCTTGACATGGGAGAAAAAGGAATGTGCGAGAAGGGGATCTAGAAAATTAAGACGAGCGACAAGCATGGAGTCGCGAAGAGCGCGGGAAAGAGGAAAGTAAGATGACACGTTGGAAGAAGCGGAGGCGGAAGATGTAGGGTGTTTGGAAAGTCGCGGGACAAAATGGGCATGGAAAGTTTGATGCAACTGGAAGCTAGACTGACAGGTGAGGAGTCGATGACGATAGACAATTAGGTCGGTAGCCTCTTGTTCAGAATGAGCAAGAGACTCTCGGAGAGTGACAAAAAACTTCTCCGGGTGTTTTGGAGGAGGGTGAACTCCAAGAGTAGTTGGAGCACCTGCAGAAAGGATTTGCTGACTTACATCATCAGAAGGAGAAGGGGGAGGGTGACGAGAAAGTGCATGTTCAAAAGACGATTTGACGTTACGCGGAAGAGGTATATGAACCTGAAAAGGAGGTTCCATGGTATCCAAGAGGCGAGTAGAAGCGGTGGGATAATAGGTTGGGACAACGGGCTTCGCTTCTTGGTCTTGAATGAAAAAGTCAAAAAGCTCGTCCAAAGGCTCATTTGTAAAGGCGCGATGAGGAAGAAAAGAAGAGGACGATGAGGAAGCGGTGTGTGAGACACGGCAATTGGTGGAAAAAGCAGTTGACTGAGGAGTAGCAAAACGCCAGCATTGACGACGAACAGCAGCAAGAAAACGCGAAAGATGAGAAGGAGAATGAGCAAAACGAGATATTAAGCACATATTAGGAGCATTATCGAGCGAAAATAAAAAATAAAAAGCAAAAACCAAAACTAGACCAAAAAGAAGGTAACTAAAGCAAGATAGTAGAAAATACAAAAAAAAGAAACCAAGAAAAAGAATCACAGAAAAGAGACCCAAATATGATTTTTTCTACCAAGGGGAACACAATGAGAAGGGCTTTAGCAATAGCAATTCGTAAAACGAGCTTGGGATATTAAAACAATTGAAACTAGCAAATTCTTCTACGAAGTAGTACGCAAGAGAAGAATGTGTCTTGTAAGGGAATAGACGAAGTTGGAAAATAAGGAAAAACCGTACTACAACGAGTGGTAGCTAATCTTCTTTACGAAACACATCATTATCGTTAAAAGGGATAACGAACTGTAGAAAAAATAGTATCAATAGAAATAATTAATAGAAAAGAAAGAGTAAAAATTTATTTCCTGTTTTTATTTTTTTATCTACGTGGTTTCCATCCTTCATCCATACTTTTATCTTCTGTCTGCTTTTCCTTTGTTTTAGGCGGTTTAGGACCATTTGCATCACGAAAGCTAAAAATGCAATGCCCTTTTCTATTGGATATCGTTTATAACTCCGCAGAGGCAAATCTTACCCCATCGTTAAAAACAATGATCGCATCGTTTCGATTGTTTCCCCGTACTATTCGTTCATTTTCGGACTATTTACATTTTCTTTTGTTGACATTTCTTTGAATATCATGGATGGTTAAAATCTCTTACTTCTCAAACTGATAATAGATGGAAAACAGATATTACAGCTTGTATAATAAATTAAAAAACTTACTTTTAGTTTTAGATGTCCGTTTATGCTTTATTTTTTATACATTATTTCATTTTCAGTTCGTTTGTTTATTTTTTCCTATGATATCAACGTCAAATCATTGGATATATCAATAGCTCCACCCGATTCAATGTTCAGTATTATCTCATAATTTAACTTTATTTAACATAAAATCATTTTTAGCCATTCATGGAATTCAGAGGAGAACGTTAAGGCCTATATGAGGCTGTCACTTTGGCAACTTAAGTAAACCCACAGAAAATCCGCATCATTAAACTTTCTCTTTAGGGTGGGGTTCAATAGCTTAAATCTAGATCGGCTCTCGTATTTGGAATTTGTTTGCCCCCTACTTCACACTTTATATACGGCTTGTTTCCCTGCCGGGTTGGGTTTTCATTTCCTTAGCCTTGACTTTTCTTTTTTTTTTTATATTTTTCTTTTCTCCTCTACCACCTCCTCTGCATTTTAAGGTTTCTATACCAAAGTCATCATACGTTGGTAAAAGAAAAAACCAAAAACTGAGCTTTGTATTTTGAAAAGGAGCGAATCCTATACTTTCTTATTGATCCAACCAGTTTTACTTGTGTTTGTCTGTGTTGTGTTTATCGTTTTTGCTCGCTACGTATATTATCTCCTATTCTCTTTTTTACACCAAAAAAAAGGAATTTTCCTCTGGTAATCTCTTGTTGCTTTTGGAAAGATTTTTGACCTATTTCTGGCTGTCTCTCTGCATCTTGTGTGTTTCACCTTTCTTGTTAAGTTGCTTTGATTGAATTTATTTCACATACTTGCTTCTCTCACCATGTCGCCTACTAGTCCTTCTAACCCACCTTCCATCAGTGGTACTCATCAGCATGCCCATAACCCATCTTATCCTACTGGCGCTGCCTCTTTTACCACTGGTACTACTGGCGCTGACGGTAGCCATGCTATGAATACGGAAGGTTCACAACCAACCCATCCTACTTTTCTTGACACGAATCACCAAGGCCTCCACAATGCTATGCCAAGTGGTGCGGTTACTCCTAATACTGTTGATGTGCCCTACCATATCCCCAAACACTCTGAAGCTCGGAAGCTTAAACACTTTTACGCCAGTCGTGCCGAACCCATTTATGACCAAACAGAAAAACTAGCTACTCAAGTTGCCGAGCTCCAGCGTCAACAAAACAAACTCTTTGGTCCCTCAGGTGCCGATTTCGAACCCGGTATCCACCGTCTTCGTTTCAACAAGAATGCTAACCCTGGTCCTTTCGGTCTTTTCTCTTTCGCCTTCACTACGTTTCTTCTTTCGCTTATTAATCTCGCTGCCGGCCATGTCACCAATTCTCGTATCATCGTAGCTCCTGCCATGTTTTATGGTGGCCTTGCTCAAATTCTTGTTTCTATGTGGGAAATGGCTTCTGGTAACACTTTCGGTGGTGCTGTCTTTGGCAGTTATGGCTGTTTCTGGCTCTCGTATGGTGCTATATTTATCCCCTGGTTCCACATTGCTAATTCGTATACTGATCTTGACGAGTTTAATTATGCTGTTGGTCTCTTCCTTATATGTTGGTTTCTATTTTCCATGCTTATTACCATATGTACAGTACGCTCCACGCTCGCTTTCTTTTGTTTGTTTGCTACTCTCGATGTAACGTTCTTGGTATTGGCTGCCGGCTATTTCAAGACTGCCGGTGGTGCTCCTAATACAGCTCTGATCCGCGTGGGTGGTGGTTTTGGTATTTCGTGTGCCGCTTTTGCCTTTTACAATGCCCTTGCCGGTATCGCTACCGTCGAAAACTCATTCTTCAGTGTGCCTCGTGCCGTCTTTCCCTGGAGTTTGGAGGGTCTTAGTCCCGCTGAGGCTAATCGTAGACGTATGTATGATGACGATGACAGCGATAAGGTCGCTTAATTTCTTTCGAATTATTACCTTTCCCCATAACTTGTGTTCCTTAATTTTCAAACCAGAGGAGTCACCCAAACCTCCGTATCCCTCTCTCCTCTTGACTTCAATCCATTTAATCTATTTTCTATTATGAGATTATGGTTTGCGTTTTCTTCTTTAGCGGTATGTTACGGTGACCAAGAACCCTTAATTGAATTTCAATGATCATAGTTTCTAATGATGACACTTTACCCTTACTTTAGCGGCTGTTCTTTGTGTCATACTAAATCCCTCTTACATTCTTTTTTTCTGTATATTTTTTTAAACGGTCGGTTTCCAATGTCCTTACCTTTCTTCCTTACGGAGTCTTTAGCTATTGACATTTCATGAGTACGAACGGAGTGAATGACGACGACGACAATCTATATGTCTTATATATATTGAATTGTCCTATCTATGTGTCTTCTACATCTCTCTATTTTTCATGACTTTGCTTCACGAGCTCTTCTTCTCCCAAATGACCAAAGAAAAGGATATCTACCTTGTACCTTTGAGCTCCAATCTTGCTTATAGGCACGTACATGTCTCGTCTTCAAAAGCGCTAATTTTCTTTACGGTTATATTCTGCTTTAGCTAGTTCCATTCTTTCGTACACTATGCATTCATAATAAAAGTAATTGTGTATATTTTTTATCATTTGTACTTTCAACTATGGATAAACATCATGTTTGTAGTACGTACTACTTACGGCTTGAAGTAGCTTTTCTTTATAATGTAATCAAAACGTCCTATGAATTTTTCATCATAAAGTCTTCTTTTTCTATTTCTTTGAATGCCTCGTGTGTGTTTCATTGGAAGTTTTTAGCTTGTTACTTTGTTGCACAGTAACTTGTTTAAATTTCCTTAGATCTCTTTTCTCTCTTCTCTTTGTTTCTTTTTTTGGGAATTTCCGGTCTCCTGCAGCTCAGCTGCATTGAATAAGTTTTAAGTTGTTTGTTTTTTGTTTTCTGTTTTTTGTATTTGTTGATTTTTGGTTTGTTTACCCAGAGGTTGTTTTGAATCTTTCTCTTCTCCCTATAAACAAGAGGACTTGTCAACGTCTCTCGCACCCAATATCTTTCCTTCCATTTTCCAAAGACGTCGAGTTTCTTGAAGAGAAGTCTAACGACGTTGTCTGTGATTTTGTGATATCTTTTTCTATCCTGAAGACGACATGCTGAATTTGGACAACAAGGAAAATGAGGTTCCTTTTTTCGCTAAAAAGGAACCAGAATCCCCTCCTGCTCTATACAGGGTACAGCGTCCGTTGTTGCGTCGTCCTTTACAGGAACTGAGCATTGAAATGGTCCCTCCTCCTTCTTCTACTTCTGGAAAAGGAGTCGTCGAGTCTCCTAAAAAGGCGGCGAAAAAGGTATTTCAATTTTTGATTCAAGAATTCTCCCCAACAATGTTGCTAACTTACAAAATTCTAGCCCTTGGCTCCCTCGCATGGTTTCCACCCTTATAAGATCTCTACCAAGGTGTTACCCCATTCCTCTCATACTCACAAGCAGCCTCTTAAACAAAAGAGTTCGAATAGGTTGATGTCTATGCGCTGAAGCGGACTTGTCTTTTCTTTACCCCTCTGCCCCTCTGTGGTTCTCGCTGGAACTAAATACATGCTTCTTATACTTATTCATTACCCTCTGTCATTCCCATTCTATATCCCGTCCTGTTTACAGTATCGCTTTATCAAGTATTATATACCATGAAGCAATGTAATATCATTTGCTTCCGTTGAATGGAATTTGAACTGTCTGGATGGTATCACAAAGTGACTTGTGATGCCCCTCTAAAACTATTGCTATGAAATCATTTCTCTTGATCTTTCTTTTATTTTACTTGAACCGAACCGAATGTGTGAACTCTATGATCGTAGTTATTTTGATTCGTTATATACTGGATTTATCAGAGTACCGTTCACTAATATACAGATTCACCGAATCAATAAGGTCTTGATCTTTGGAAACCATTCTCATGGTTTGGAGCTCTTCTTCTTTTAATCACAATGAGGCCCTCACCCTCATACCTATGCGATGAATCTCTAAGAATGAACACATTCGCACAATTATTGCTATTCTTTTCTCTTCGCTTATTTTAATCCAATTCTATTCGTAATTAATCTGAGCAAGTAACTGTTTGTTCTGTATTTATTCTCATTAGGCACTTTGTTCAATTCATGACCATAGATTCTACTATTAGGAACCTATAAAACAAACTGAAACATAGATGACTTAAATTCATAAATGGTCCATAGTTCGAGCATCAAATGGTCTCTAGAAAACGTATATATTTTAAGTTAGCCCGAAAGAGAATTGAGCGTTTTCAACACATCTATCCTTCATAAGTGATGGATTTTTCTTTTCTTTTGTTTCTATTATTTTTTTTCAAAAGTGAAAAATTTCCTTAATAATTTAATTCTTAGAAACGACATTTGAACATTTCAACCAAACGTGTATGTACCACATATGCAATTCAACCAACTGGAAGTACCCAATTAGTAACAAGGTTATATGTTTTTTTATCAATTTCTTTAAAGTATTTATGTTTAATATTCAGAATTGGGTTTCCAACTATAGGAAGACTCTAATAAGCGTGGAATGCAATGTCGAAGCTCTCTGCTCTTCTCGATCCTATTTTTTCAAAGATTTTAGATAAATACGTGTATTCCTGGTACTATGTGATCAGCAAAGATACGCTTTTTCCCTCACAATGTGAACAGGTTGGCAACTCTGTCATTTATGAATTGGAGAAGCGCTTGTCGCGCCAAGATTTGACGAACCTTTTATATCATGAGATTCCCTTTTTGTTAACTGAACACGTAAAAAATGTGGAAGAGGCACAGCAACGAACGGTGATCCCACAGGGACAATTTTTGAATGTTGACAGGATTTATCATAATTTGCATCCTCATATCGCTTTAGACCGAGAGGAAAACGAGCTTATTTATTGTCGCCTAATAATGGAAGACATTTGTCGACATCTTCTACCTGCCGTCAATGCTAAGAGTGAAATCGAGTATGTTATATTGAGGGAAGCTTTGGCTACTCAAGTGTATAAAGCAATTCAAAATTTTTCAGATCATGAAAAAATGTACAAGGGAATTCTCTTACTTTCAAACGCTTTACAGCGTCCCTCTACAGATTCTTGGGTGCTTTCTGTTCGGCGTTTTGGTTATTGGACTTTACGAGCAATTAAAATAATTTCCACTACTAGAACCCTTCCGTATTATTCTACCTCTTGGTTTCGCTTTTATTTTCAGTTATTTACAAAGCAAGTCAGTCAAGTTCCCTTTGACGAAACAAAACGGTTGGTCTTTACCACTTTGTTCTACCCATGGATCGTATTGTTATCCACTTTTTTTTTCGGTATCCTAACTTGCTTTTTTATTGCAAATGAATTTTATGACAAGGGGGCTTCCGAACGCTGGTCCAATTTCGTATTAAACCGAATTTCTGAAGCTGAAAAGAGCAGCACTTCTTCGCAGTATACATCTAGTACTTCAACTAAAGAGTACCGAAGGCAAAGCAAGTCTTCTTCTACAAAAGCTTCACAAAGGCAGCGCAAACAATCGGTTGCTTCGAAAAGTCTTCATGAACTGTCTATGAAATATATCCGTTCTGAAGGCACTAACGATTCGCCATCAACAATATCTTCTGAAAGAAGGAAATCTTTGCTATTTACAGATTCCACTTTTCCTGATAACAATGCTTCCATAGCTCTATCCACGGTAACGTCTACCCCGGTTTTTTCGACATCTCCAAGCCAATCTTCCAATACAACTCGAGACAATTTACTTTCCTTTGTTCCTTCAAAATTACAGAGTGTTTCAAAGGAAAATAAGTCATCGGAAACGAAACATAATCGAACTGCTTCGACTCCTACTGACACACACAAACCGGACCCATCTCCAATGACGGATGTGATGGTCACGAAGCAAGCTGCGCTTGAGGCTTATGCAAAACTTCCTGTACTTCCTTCGTTGATTGCACCTGAAAAGCTTGCAAGTTTGGTGGATAGTGATTATCGCAATAAGCACATTTTTTACTCCCTCTTGAATACGTTAACTGTTGTGATGTTCCCTGAAACAAGACATGAAGAATTATGATGGATCTAAGCATAAATTTCTATGAATATAACGATATGCCTTATTTATTATATAACCCTTTTGTTTTGGTCTACTATAATACTATATACGAATGAGTGGAAAATACAGAATCTATCGCATCTCTATGATTTTACATTAATGTTACATAAGTACAGAAGAAATAAGTTTTGCATAATTTTTTGGTTACTAAGATGTTTGTATTAAGTGCCTACCTAAGCAGGGTATAATCTCATAGTTAATACAATAAAAAATTGTTTTTGAAGAGCAATTGATTTTGTAAAATAGATTTCATCGTTCAAATTTCAAGTACATTTCATATATTTCCTTTCTTAAACTCCTCTCCAACCTATTCTTATGGATTAAGAGTCTCATAAACAAATCGGGTTTAACCGCTCTTTTTTCGTACTTTAACTATTATTATTTATTCATTAATTAAGCAAGCAGAAAAAATCAGCTATGCTCAAAACGTTATTTCTATTAGGCGTATCTGCATTCGCAAGCGTGTTTCTGATACTTGTAGGAAGAGAATGGTACTGTTCTTCGAAGAAAAATGGTCTCGCAAATCCTCATCTGCTAGTATATTTTGGTTCTGGAGGCCATACAGGGGAAATGTTGAATTTACTTGGCGCTATTAAAGATCATCAGTATCCTGTACGATCATATGTAGTAGGTGCCGACGACAAAATGAGTTACTCAAAAGCAAAGGCTTTAATATCTGATAATCCTCATAACAAGTCTTCAATTTTCACAATTCCTCGGGCTCGGTATGTAAAGCAATCGTGGTCAACGACACCTTTAACGGCTATCTGGAGCCTTCTATTTTCACTGAAAGTCATTTTTTGGAATAAAAACGGAATCCCAGATGTGATTCTTTGCAATGGTCCAGGGACATGCATATTTCTATGTTTGGAAGGATACGTAACTAAGGTAATCAACCTACGATCGTTCACTATAGCTAACCATACAGTTTTTTGGTAAACGTATCCGGATAGTTTATGTGGAATCGTTTGCAAGGGTGAACAATCTTTCACTAAGCGGAAAGATACTATTACCGTTCGTTGATCGCTTTTTAGTACAATGGCCTGACCTCGCACTCAAATACAAAGGTGCTGAATATGTTGGCATTGTTACTTAATTGGATGTGTCATGATATGTCTTTATTAACGCTGCCAAATATGATGATTTTTCTAAAAGACTTAGATAGAAACCAAATCTGGATCGACTAGGATTTAGGTGATTATTGAAACATGCGTTCTATAGAGTACAACTTTCATTTCATTCTTTTTCATTCCTGGTTTTTTGTTTGAGCCATTCAATTCCTTTATGTTAGTTTAGATCCAAGGCTAAAGCATGACTACAAGTCAAACAGAGCATCCTTTAATACTTTACATTCGGACATTTTTTAGTTCACAAACACTAATTAGCAAACTTTTTACATGTTCCAAGTTCGCTTCAGCTTGTACCATTGCCTTTTGGTTGTTTGCGTCCGTTACATGGGTGTAAGCATGCAAAACCCATGCTTGATCTTCTGCTAATGGGTGGAATGGAGGGTCAATCGAATGTAGTTGTGAAGGAATTAATGTTTGGAATAACCTGATAGTACAGTTGCTGGAAGCATATTCTAAACCTTGTACTATGTATTCATGAGAAAATCTAGAGAAAAGGTGAGCTAGAAGTTTGCAGTTTGTAAGCAAAATAATCAAAATTCTTACTCGTATCCAAGGTTTTCTACAAATTCCATAGGGGAGCCGTTCGTAATTTTTGCCCGACTAATTGGGCGAATTCCGCACCTTCCTTCTCTCTTAGGTTCTGATGTACCTTCTAAATGAATAGCCCTTATTTATATTAGCTCCTTTTTCATTTTATAGGTTTGCTTACCATTGTGCCTTTTGTATCCAGTCAGACTCACTATTTCCTATTGTGTCTAATTGACCGCATAATCGAAGCCAATAATCTGCCTGTCGAGGTAAATTGATTGGAACATCTACAAACATATATTAGTACTCTAAAATCGACGTAGGTCATCATGGAGGTTCTTGAATTTGAACCAAATGAGGTATTTTCCCAAAGCATTGCTAAACCTACCTTTCGGTCGAAAAACCATCATATACTCAAAAATTATTTTCGGTTCATTGAAGATTCTTAAGAGTGAATTGGCGACAATGTCTGATCGTCTAGACGGTATAACTCCAATTAAGTATAGCTCCTGCATTTCATCGTATGTGGAACTAGTTTGAGCGGACTAACCAAGAATTTGAAAATGAGTAAAATTTCCAGTGAACTAATTTCTTATTACAGTCGCTATAGACAAACTGTAATTCTTTGTTCACTTTGAGGAAGTCAATATCGACGAAAACAGGTGTGATATTTTCTTAATGGTCAGTAGAATAATTCTGCAAATATTATGAGATGCGTCAATGAACAAATAAATCAGGTTTATATTAAAAGATAATCTATTTAGAAAAGTTTATGTAAGATGATAGTCTTTATCCACTATGCTTTGGATTTCTTTCTTTGCAGGCACGTCTCTTGCAGAACACATCCAAATCATCAATAAAATAAGTTAGCATCTCAAACGCAAATTACAGGAAGCTCAGGTAAAATAATGTTTCACTTCAAGGAGGCAGTTAAAGCCATTCCTTCCATAAAGTGTAGATTAGTATTGCTTATCATTCTAAAATTGCAACATATGAACCAAGTTTAGAAAAGGCATTAAATAAACATAAAGAATTAAACATCAATATTATCTAGTTTGAAAACATGAGTATTAAAGGAGTGCCAAATTGCACAAGAATAGCGGTTGGAAAGCAAAACAAGTTTAGCCATACTGGATTCTATCAGAATGGGGATCAAGATTTTTCTCATATAAAAGAATCGAAATTCTAAGGATTTATAACTTTGGAACGATAAAGGGGCATTCTTCAAAAGGGAGATACAATTTGGCTCTTTACTTTGTCCAATCAACAACCAAAAGACTGGCAAAAGCAAGAAGCAAAGAGTTGGGAGGTGTGAAAATAGCATAGGACCACCAAAGGACCTTGGCGCATTCTCTCTCGAAAACCCCATTCAATTGACAAATTTGTGTGAGTTGAATTGCAGTAGGGCTTCCTACCAAAAGGAAAATAACGACAACGAAAACTGGATCATCTACGGTGCTAATTTCACTAAAATAAGACAGTAAAGAAAAAGCGGGCAAAATAACCATAGGAACAACCACCATTCGACCGAGAAGACTAACGATAAGAACGCGTTTGTCATTTACTTTGCCCGGCTGTTCTGGACCTTCTGTCTTCCCAATATCTGTTGCAAGGCTAGCACCTAGAACCACTAAAATCAAAGGTACAGCAACATCACCTACCATTCGAATACCACTGGTGATACTGGCCTCAACAAAAGAGCCTTCTTCAAAAAAGAATCTTTGCAATGGAGGAACAACGGCAATGAAAAGAGCAATAAACAAAGAGTACAGAGGAGGGCTGAAAAAATCTAGTAAGAGGATAATTGCCTTTTTGAGCTTGGAGTTTTTAAACTCAATGCCCTGAGTAGTTTCTTGAGTAACCGCATTTTCGGAATAATTGTTTTTGTTATTAGTGGGGCTTATGCCCCCGGGATGTGACAACCCACTAGAAGAAGGCAAGTCTAATTGACTGATATCTTCACGTTCATTAGGAGTCAGCAAACTCTCAATTTCCTCCTCACTAGGATTACCGTGGACCCGAACACGATCGTGGTCTTCACTGTCATCAGGTTGAATAGGTGAAAGGAGAATTCTATAACCATACGACCAACGAAGAGCCTGACCCAGCTGAGAAAAAATTAAAAGATACATGATACCGCGAGAAGCAACTTTTTCAGCAGTGTCGTCGGGAATTTTATCCCATTTTAGGTTTTCCACCGTATTCGCCAAGGAAGTAACTAAGGCTAGAGGAAGAGAATTGGACTAGAAAAGTTTCGTTAGCGACTGAATGAAACAGTTTTGTTTTCGTACATTTTGGAAAGTGATGCATGCAGTAGCAAAGTTACGTTGTCGTCGACTAAGTCGAAAAATACGAGCCATAGCATAAGAAACTATTATAGAACTAAAGACAGTATTAGCAAAGAGGGAAACACAAGGTTGAAGAGGTAAAATTTTCATACACCGCTGTAATAATAACATAAAAAACAGGCAGAAGAGAGAGATCGATAAGCATTTTTAGATTTAAACCATTGCCGACTTTTTCAAAAACTAGACATGGGGTAAAGAAGTAAACGTTTAAATTGGAAATAGCCTAACAAATTAGTAATTCGATCAAGTGAAGAATGCAAAAAATAGTACCTTTTGAGATTCTCTCGACAGGAATCCCTTTTTCGCCAGAATAAATCCTCCAAGGGCGATGACAATTACCCCAAGATCGCTCTCCAAAATCGGCTTCAAAAGACCCCAAACATCAATTCGGCCTAACAAGGAAGACATAGCAAAAGAAAAGAACAACTAATGTCGCTAAGGAAACCGAAAATAAAAGACACAAGTCAATGGGAGCTGACACAAGGAGAAAAGTCAAAGAGCCAAAAGAGTTTTAATTTTTAAAACTTGATATGAAAGGTCAATTAAAGTGAACTGACGCGATTTGTAAACGAAACTAAACCAGCTACGTGGCAAGTACTATACAGAAAAGCGCTAATCTTTGTTCAATGGAGAACAAAAGTCAAAACTGTACGCTTCAACGACGGATTTGATATTTCCTTGAAAATAACAAACGATTCTCTTTTCCTGCAAAAAATCGGGCTAATGATATAAGAAAAAGCCACCAAATTGGCTGAATTGATGATGAAAACGGTAGATGGAGAAGGAAAGGAGACTGCTACCGCATTCATATACCGACATCCTCAAGTAGCATTGTGACTTGTCAGGGTACGAAGGCATAAACAAAGAGTGCAAAAGTGGGATTCTTTTCTATGAAATGTGAGACATGAAAAAGGAATGAACATCTGAATTACTTTTTATGACAATACTTGAATACTTGGGGCTTCTTTTTTTTTGGTGCATTGTGAAGAAGATGGTTTATTTACATTCATGGCAATAAAATACAAGCTGGAATAAGGGAGTCCGAAAAAAGGTATGGAAGATAATTAGTAAACTTTATGGTAGTAATTGGATTTAATAATCTTCGTAGCACAGTACGTTTGAATATTGGGTATATGTTTATGCCTTTGGATATACATGTTCATATAGTCAAACGCTTTCAGCGAAAATGATTCATAGACTATGAGCTATTTTATACAAAAAACTGCTAGTTATCCCTACAACCTGAAGGGTACAGAAAGCGTTTGTCCATATATCATATTCATAAGTGTATTGAGAAAATATCATACTATTCATGAGATGGATTACGAAACTTGCATGAAAATGCATTTTAAAATTAATAGATTGGATTGGCGATTACTGAATTCAGAGAGGAAAACAGTAAAAACAATACTTTCCATTGAAGAATGGTCGATTTGTGCGACTGCATACCAACGAAAAAAAAAATGTCAAGATTGTCTACTTTCGACTCTTGTTTGATTCCATAGCTCACTGGGATTTTCTATACCAAGCTATAAAAAAGAGAGATCCGTTTTTGTTACTAACTCGTACTTTCCAGATTGCCTTAGCTTAGCTTAAATGACCATTGCTGTGGTTCATGAAATCATCATGAAAGGTCAGTTCTACCTCATGCATTTAGTTTATAAAGAAGGATACAGGGATTTGAAACCGTCTGCAAATTTTTTTTTTCGCTTCTTTAATCTCCATCCTTATTTCTTTGTAGACTTGACCATATCTGCGTCACCTTTTTTATTCGATGGCTTTTTTTTGTCGCCAATTCCATCATCCCTCTACAAATTCACCAAACATTTTTACTTTCGACAACTTTTAATTTTCTAGTATTTCTTTTTATTTCTTACAGTTATAAACATTCTTATTATCGTCACCTTTTTGTTTTTTATTGATTTATTCAATAATAAAGCAACCCACTTATCCATCCAAAGACGTTGTTGTCTATTTATTTATTAGGATCTACGAACCATTCTTATAGCTTGCCTCTCCACACTGGAATTTGGGGTGTCGAAATTCGTTTCCGGCAATTTACCTTCGGAAGCCGTTTCTTGCTCATTTTTTTCATTTAAAAATTCTTAAAGGACGTGCCCAGGCTGGTACCGTTTCCATTTACCTCACTTTCTTCTTTTTTTACATAAAAATTTCTCTTGTTTTTCTTATAGCAAACTACGGTCGCTTGCTTTGTATAAGGTAACGAACTTTAGCTTTGCTTCGCTATTAATTTTTGCACAGAACGTAAATAAACAAACGTACCTCCAACCGAGATTTACTTTTCAAGATTTCTCTTGTTTCTTATTTTTTCCTAAATCTATTTATTTATTAAATTTAAGAGGGTTTTCTTCCTTTAAAGAATATTTCGCTCGTTTTCGATTTATTGGCTTTGATTGTTAAAACAGGATTTTCTTGTTTGTATACTTTGTCATCGATTCAATCCAATTATTTGGTTCTCTCAAGTCTTCTTTGTCTTAATAATAATTATCTGTGTTTGTTTCTGTCACGACTCATCAGTTATCGTAAGTCATTGTTTTCTTGACGGAAAATCTGTTTTGTTTTGTTTTTCTTTTTTGCAAGAAGGCTTTCATCCAACTCAAAGGTCAAGTTGAACTTTGATATTTTTCAGTTTCATCCGACTCGTATGCATGAAACAGATCTTTTAGGTTTTATTTGTGCCTAAATTAACACATCCTTACTTTCCTGATTCCTATTCTCTACAAGGTTGAACGCGTTGTAGGTTTTGCATATAGCCATTGTCCTCTCAAATATTTTCTTCTATGTCTATTGAAAATCCGGGATTTCAATATCCTGACACTCCTCCTCTTCGCTTTTCTTCACAAGAGCTTTCTGGCTCGACAATTCGCGCTCCCTTAACCTCTAAACCTCAAAGTCATAAAGGATTGTATCAGACGCTAATTGCTAATTCCACTCCTTCTTCTTCTACCCAGAATAATGTATCGGCTTCTTTATCCTCATCCTCTTCTCGCGCAGCAAGTTATCCTCGTCATACAAAGCGAGCAAGGCGGACGAAAAAATCTAAAGCAGATCCTCCTTCCATGGTGAAAAAGGCTCGCATGCATCGAAGCAAAACAACCAGTGATTTATCAGCTCTTGAAAATAAGACTATAGCTGTATCATCTAAGTCTACGGATACTTTATCAAATTTATTTTCTTCAGAGAATATACCAACAATCGCCCAACTGAAAACCCGCAAAGCTACTCTTGAATCTCGCTTCCATCGCTTATCCAATGCACTAGGTGAATATTATTTAAGTCATATTGAAACAGCAGAACATCTTATGCATCAAAATAAGCACAGTGTCATTAATCGGGAGCGACAGTTTTTCGCTGCCAATTACGAAAATCGGATACGACTCTCTACAAACTCTACAAGGCTGATCCAACGTCAGTTAGAACATTACCTTTCCTACAGGCTCCAAACAATCTCAAAAAACTACCAGAGATACGCTATGCTTATACGGCAACATTTGCTATACAAGACGATGCAACGCTATCAAAACTTATGTGGACGTCGTCTGTATCATAACTTGGTTCCTATACTTAACCCTTCTACTTTTCAGCAAGAACATAAGCCAGCTCAACCAATTTCAGAATCTACATCACCACAAGTGACCCCCATATACTTACCTCGAGTCCCAAGTGTCCTTTCTGATCAACAAGCCCTAGATGACTTGGCTCTTTGTAATGTCTAACTATGACTATGTATCAATGCGACGCACTTTACGGTCTGCGTTCATTGCTACCCCCTTGATATCCCCATATACAATACATATATATATATATTTATGTAAAAGCAAATAAAATTGAATTTTCGGTACATACAACAATATATAGAACCAACCCTATGAGAATCAGAAGTCATACTCAGGTTGCTCCTTGTGCAATTATATATGGATCAACAAAGAAAAGTCATATCTGAAATCAAAAATGCCATCCTACATACTTAAATTTTACAAAACCCATTATATTCACATATTATTATACATAGTCAATGAAAAGCTCATGTCTCATGAGATTCAATAACGTTACCAGAACGGTTTTTTAAATCGCACAAACATAACTTTCTACAACCAGATTCAATTAAAATGATAATAAACATCAGCATCTATTCTTTTTCTGGTTTGAGATTTCAATTTAATAGAAGAAACCAAGGATTTTACCACCAGTGTCCTTGGCACGAGCTTCATTGTGAGACATGATACCACGGGAGGTGGTCAAGACAATGATACCAACTTGACGAGAGGGCAACAGGTTGTTGACCCACTTCTCAATATCCTTGATCTTGATGTTGTAGCGAGGGGAAATAACACCACACTTGTTGATACGACCGTTCAATTGGATAACAATCTTGCCAGAACGATGGTCATCAATCTCCTCAAATTCGTCAATGTAACCATGCTTTTGCATAACTGTCAAGAATTTGACAATAACCTTAGAGGACGGACGAATAAGCACTTGACGACGTCCGCGACGTTCAGCGTTAACGATGTTGTTCAAGCAGTCAGAAAGAACGGATTGACGGACCATTTTGTTTTTCTAATGAAAGCGTTAGATTTCTCTTGAGTGTCTTGTTTAAAGATTCAAGAAAAGGTTCTAGTTATTGAGTACATTAGCTCAGTGAAGAACTAATGATGTTCAATAACCATACGCTTTCATCTTTCCTCTATTAAAATCATACCTATTGTTTAAGATTTTATTTTTTTCAGATGTTTCAGAAAGCCGGTGATGGCAGAAAACTTACACCCTGTCGAATAGAGTGGTTTCCTTTTTCAAGAACAGTCACTAAACCCTACCCTAAAGCCATGAATTCGTACTTTCATATTTACAATACTGGATATTTGCCATTGACAAATCCAAGAAAAATATTAATGAAATAAACAAAAAATAATATAATATTCAAATGAATAACATTAATCTGTAGGTTTATCAAAGTACAATGATCTAGCACGGGTTTTTACTCGATCAACAGGTGTCATGTTTATTTTTACTTTAGCATTTTTAGTGCCTAAACCAACACCTGGCAAATAGGCTGTAGGCTCAAATGATTCATGGGAGTGTGTTTCACTGGAAGTGTTTCCTAGGGATCGATTCCTTGAGTATGGGTCAGGCAATGGAGTGGGCTCTTTTGAAAAGTCGGTATTATCGGTGATATGAATGGCTCTTCTTTCTGTTGCTCGGTCTCTGTAATCAGGACGTTCGATTTCTCGAATGCGATTCATGAACCCCTCAGCAGCAGTAACTAAGGAGCTATTCTTTAAGTTCTTTTGATGTAAAAAAGATTGAGTTAAATGCTTCAGTACATGGCCCCAGCTATTAAATTTTCTCTCGCACAAGACACAGATAAGAGATGATTTCCAAATATACTGTAGAAGAAATTTCTCTTCTTCTTCAGTAAGCTCGGGCAAATCTTCTGTTAATTCCCTTTGGGCGCCTTGCCAACGTGCCAGAGTAAGAGCAATCTACAAAAGTTAATCAATAAATTCATATGTATATATATCATACCTTTTTGTTTGTAGGTGGCTCTACTAAGTTTGTTCTTAATCGCTTTTCTTTCTTTTGTTTTTGAGTCTTTGCAATTGGTTTGAACTGTTCTTGGTCAACGTTATCAGGGACAAACGTAGAGCAGTATAAGTTTTCATCCCAATAAGCACGATACCCGTCTTTGGTAGGAAACTTCCAAGTATCAATTTGTCCCTGTGCTGGAACAAAGACGCCTTCGTGAATGTAATCAACAAGCACTTTTCGAGAAGCAATTGTGAACGCCTTTCCTGAAAAGGTTCGCGCCATTGTTAAAGTTTTAGCAGCCTCATCAACATTCGGCAATTCAATAATGGCATAACCACAAAACGAATCATCTTTCTTTTGCCGAATCATGAATAACCTTTGGACATTGCATTCTAGTTTTGCTATGCCTTTTAGTAGCGTAAGGTCATTTAAACAACGATCCAAGTTTCTTAATAAGAGGTAAAAAGTAGGTATATCGCCCACATCGTTACTTCCATTTCTTTCTGTATTATCGACATTAGATCGTAAAGTTTTACACTTGAAGCAGGCATCTCGAAAGGAATAGTTCAATGAATCACACTACATTTGTTAGTCAATACCTAAAATAATTAAAATAGTTGTAATACATTTTCACATTTCCATCCGTCAATCTCCTCTCGAGCTTCTCGTGAGTAGCGGACACTAACGTCTCTATCATCGATATGAATTGACGGAAAGTATTTCTCCATCCACTGTTTCGAAGCAGTTAAGGATACAAATTTTACAAAGCTAAAGCACTTCGATTCACGAGTAACTTTATCACGTATTAGAACGATGCTGTCAATATCTCCGCCAGTCTCACTCATTACTTCTGAAACCTTCAAATAGAGGGTAAGCGTATGAAATACGAAAATTCTAGTGTTCGTACATGTTGCTCATTTGTTGTGGGAGCCAGTCCTTGCAAAATTATTTCTTGATTTGGCACTCCCGCAAACCTTGGAGTAAAGTTGGATTTGGAATCTGTTTCGTCTCTGTTTCTTTCATTATCATCGTTTTTATCGTAATTATGCTCCTGAAAGGTATTTCTCTCTGTGTTGATGAATATATCCCTTGTATTCGAAACAGTCTGTTTCATCGTGCCTATTTTTTCTTTCTTATGCTCATCTTTTTTACCAAAATCCATATAATAGAATGAAATGAAAAATAAATACTAATTTGTGAATAAAAATGGGTTGCTATTCTCTTGTTATAACACTTCTAAGTTTTCTATGCGGTTTGGCAATATATACTTTTGGCAAGCGTGTCGTCCATAAGTATACTACTATTACTCATAAGTTATAATTAAGCACTAATAGTAAACCTGAATAATCTTTTAATTAATTGCGGATGGAAAACTTGAAATTTAATGCAACTACCAACTACAACCACTTGGTTAAACCACGTCAACGCAACGCTATAAATCCATTGTCTGTAAAATATCCAAAAAAGTAGAAACATATTTACCCATACCATCTACTATTCAGACCTTTCACCTTTTTCTTATAGTGATGTAAAGTAGTATAAAAGAGATCCAAACGTGTGCATCACATAGAAACAATACACTAGTAAATTTAGGGAATCATATATTATAGAATTACTAGACGTTTTTACCAACCAAAAACCATAATTTTATGCAGTAGATCCACGAACGCTAGAACCCTTACCATCCTTGGGACGAGCAGTAGCGGTAAGGTTTCCTTCAACATCTAATTGAAGAACCAATTCAACCTTTGAGTTGGCTGGGACATCAGGAATGTTAATGGTAGCAAGTAAGGTCTTGGGGACAGCAATGCGTTCCTTGACTTCCTCAGGCTCCTCCTCTTCTTCGTCAGAAAGTGCCTCCTCTTCATCTAAAGGTTCGGATTCAACCTTAGTAACCTTGACTGAGCGCTCAGCCTCAAAAACAGGGATATAAGCACCACCTTCCTTAGGGGTAACAACCTCAACAATTTTACGGGTGGGCAAGGCAGTCTCAATGTCAAAGACGGTAACAAAGTTTTCACCCTCGTTAATACCAATAGGAGCAGTAAGATGAGGAGCTTCAACGATGGCGGGCTCCATAGAAGAAGCGATATCAGAAGGTTCAAAGTGACCAACCAAAGAAGCTTGAACACCAGAACCAATAGCAGTGAGTTCAGAAGCTTCAAAAGGCAAAGGGGTAACAGAGCTAGTGGAGCGGATAGCAGTCTGTTCAGGGAAGATCCCTTCCATTAAAGAAGTCAACTTGGGGGTATTGGAAGCACCACCAGCCAAGATCACTTCAGTAACATCGAAAGGCTCCAAATTAGCTTTCTTAACAGCTTCCTCAACAAGCTGAGACATACGGTTCAAAGGAGCAGCGGCGGCGAGTTCAAAACGAAGGCGGTTAAGGGTAGCATGGAAATCAACGCCTTCAGCAAGAGAATCAACCGCAGCTGAGGCATTGGTATTGTTGCTGAGAACACGCTTGGTAAGTTCACATTGTTCCCTGAGCTTTGCAACAGAACGAGCATTTTTGAGGGGATCAATTCCATTTTTCTTTTCAAACTCCTTAGCAAAATATTTGACCAAAACATCAGTCAATTGTTCACCGCCAAGATTTTCATCGTGAGCAGTAGATAGGATGGTCATCATACCACCCTTAATAGAAACAACGGAAACTTCCGAGCGATTAGCACCAAAGTTGGCAACGACAACAGTCTTATCGACAAGAACGGACTCAGAATACATGAGTGCAAGAAGAATAGCAGCAGGGTCATGAATTAATTGAAGGATGGGGAGGCCAGCTTGGGCAGCAGCAGCTTCCAAAGCCTTTCTTTGATTTTCAGTGAAGTAAACAGGGACGGACATAACACAACCATCGACCTTAACACCCAAAAAGTCTTGGGCAGATTCACGAAGACGTTGCAAGTGGCGAGCACTGGCTTCTTGAGCAGTAACGATCTTTTCCTTTGGTTTAGATTCCTCATCCTCTTGGACGGTGACCTTAAAGCCCACTTGTCCCTCTACGTTAATAGGAGTAGCTGAATAATGGCAGTGGTGGTTTGTAACTTCTTGATGAGACTTGCCAAGCAAATCACGGAAGTTAGTTACGGAATTGTCGGCATTGCGAACAAGTTGGCCACGAGCTTGAACACCATGGTATTCTTGGTCACCTTGGTAAGACAAAATGGAAGGAATTTGGCGGTTTCCTTCTTCATTTGCCATAACATCAGTCTTTCCATCCTAAAAGCATAAGTTAGTACTCTATTCTATGCCAAGAAAAGAAGGGTCTGTCAACATCAGAAAAAGTAATGTCTGTAAAGTTGTAACAGGCCAGTTTTTCCTGTAAATAATTTACATACTCTGTTAAAAGAGATAGAACTATTTTGGTTTCCAAAAGAAATACCAATGACAGTCTTATATTCTTCGGATTCTGCCATTTTGAAAAATTTGGTGGATGGAAGAAGGATAGTTCAATACCCAAATTTATCACACCAACTCAGTGGTACTTACCACTAAAAATTTGTGCTTACTATTACTCCTTAAAATTTTAGTAGTTTACTTTAACAAATTAGTATACTTTTATTTATTTTGCAGCTACTAAATGTTTCCATTTGGAAATAATTTACAAAGAAACGATTGTTTGCAAGGATTCCTGTGACAGTCGGTAATGAAACTTGTATTTATCATGAATAAATAGATGTTTGTATGCATGTAAATGGAAAAAACATGCAAAGTATTGCTAAAACTGAACCATCAATTCATGTTTCTGCTCTGCTTATAAGATGTTGCATAGCAACATCATGGCTAAAAACATATTTATTACTAAATGAAAATACAGAAGTGCTATACTGATTGTTCTTTTGGATGCCTAATAAGAAACTATTGCAAAAAAATCGGTAAGCTAGATTTTGCGGTTGTAACAAAACTTTCATTTATTATTATATGAAGATACAAAAAAAGACTTAAATAAAATGTCCAGTTATAAAAAATTTTTCCCGGAAAACTAGAAACGAGGGTTGTAAACAGACAATTCTTGCTTAAGTACTATTAGAAACCGGGTGGTGTTATTAGTAGTATTCATTAACAGCATTGGTAATTAGTTCGTTTTTATTACAAGAGTAAAAGTTAATCCGATTGTCCGTACTGTCACCACATGCCAACATTAAATGATGAGGATGGAATTTCAGGCAACTTAGTCCACCAAGTTTCGATTGCGTCAAAAATCGAGAGCTTTCACGGAACGTATTGATATTTTTACCATCAGTACTCCATACCTTCACATATTGATTCGACGATCCAGTGGCAAACACAGGCGCATGGCTATGTACGCTTAGAGACGTCAAATCATTTGAATGAGCAGGAATTGTCAATAAGCTATGATTAGATCGAATATCCCATAGTTTTACTTCACCATCAACACTAGCTGAAATCAATTCTCTCATTCCCGAAGATTGCATTTCCAAATTCACAATTCTTGAACCATGCTCTTTCCAAACGTCTGTCATAGATTCTCTTGCTGGTAATCGTTTATCATAAACCCTTAATGCACCATCAGTAAAGCCTGCAACTATAACATTACATCCAACAAGATCACTAGTAAGACTAGTAATGCCATTACTACTTCTTGCTGGTAGACTAGAATGACAAAGTTCTTTGGATGCGTCCCAAATTCGTATAACGCGAACGTCTCCAGCTACGAGGAGATGACCACAATTTTGTTGCCAATTTAGTAATAAACCGGCATCACGATCTCCAAATAATAAGTCTCCAAGTGCATTCCAAGAAGTTACCAGTTCGACATCTTCGGTATCATAGTTGCGATAAAGACGAACGACACCCTCAGAATTACCGGTCATTAACAGAGCAATGTCATCCTCGTTTAATAACTGCATATCCATAACATCACTTCTCAAATTCGGATCAGTTTTGAAAGCATTAAGACACTTAGAACGCCCCCAGTCCCAGACTTGAATTAAGTTGTTGTTACTTAACGATACTAATTGATCCTCAAATTGATGAAAAATTAGTTTCTTTGGAGTGAAGACATTGTTTATGGACGAAACTTGCTGGTTCCAATGGTTATTCCCAGATAGTTCAGCGAGAGGTCGTGTTTGATAAATTAGCTTTTCATTCCTATTTCTTCTCCAAAGACGTTGATTGTAACAGATGCTACCAGGTTCGTCGTCTTCATTAGGTCTCATCTGGGGCTCTGTAAAATATTTACGAGACCAGTCAAAGAAATGACTTGTTAATGGCATATCGAGTTCAGACTGATATTCCATACTATTAAAAGAAGGAGGGACAGGAACTTTAGCATCTGTCAACCGAGAAGCTCCATAATCGCTCGCTTTGCTTTCTCCAGTAAGCGAAAGTATTTCAGAGGCTTTATCATTGCCAGCTAAGCTTAAGGCCAGTCCCTTTAATGATTTCGTTAAAGAGAATGATCTGGTCAGCATTTTCCTTTCTGCGGGATATCGAGAAGCAGAAAAAGATCGCGAGTCACCGTCAAGCGAACTATTTTCAGTAATTGTATCCTGAGCCGAAACAGGGTTCCGAAGAACCGGCAAACTTTTAGAAACGAAAGCAGAAAATTCGTCTTTAAGTGATGAATTGAGAATACTTTGGTACACATAATTTACAACTGCTTCCGCAGCCATAGCTACTTCCACGCTTGGATCAGCTGACAAACTCAAAATAGCCTGCCAAACAGTCTCAAATATAGTTGAAACACTAATAGGGGTATGTTGTTTCTTTCTTGGGTTTAGGAAAATGCTGCTTTCATAGGCAACGACAATGAATCTCTTCTTATAGCAAACTACAAAACGCGACAAAAATATCGTAAGTTCTCGACGTACCATAGGAGACGCATCTGACATTGCCACAAGCGCAGATAAGGCGATGTACGTTTCGATAGCTATAACTTCTTCAGTTTTTTCGGGGAAACCCAAGAACGTAGTGAAAGCTACTAAAGCTGAAGCACGAACTTCCGGAACAGGATCCGAAACAATCTCTGCAAGCTTCATGTGAGCATTATCGCGTATAGCTGACCATTTTGCTTCAGAATAATTATCCCACAGCTGTGCGATACAAAGACAAGCCCACTGTCTAAGCAATGAATCGGAACTATTCAGATGACTCAAACAATGTGATAAGACCTGAGGCCCAAGACAAGCCAATTGTCCCTGAGGGAATCCTCGACAAAAAATGCTTAAAATGAATGCACACATAGCACGGTGTTCGGAAATATTACTAGAAGGAAAAATTGAAGAATTTGGGTTCAAAATTTGTACGAAATAACCATAGCCATTATCCTTCAGTAAGTCTGCTTGGCATGAGTCATCAACGGCTAAGATTCTTGCCCAAATAAATACTAAAACAGGTTTTAGTTCTATAGCAGGTGACTGCAGTAATTTCAAAACGTAAGGAAAAATTCCAATGGATAGAGCTAAATCGACGGCCCAAACCCCAAGGTCAAGAAATTTAGATAACAGAATTAGAGCTCGAAGACGATGTACCTGCGAAAGTAAAACTTGCAATACTAGTGGTAACTGATCTGGTGGCTTGCGAGTTATTAAGCCTTGAGATAGCCAAACTTCGAAAGCTGTCAATTGTTCGCTAAAGAACATGGAATGTTTATATTCGTAGGAAACTCCTTTACTCTCAGCTTCAAGCATATCTGGAAGCTGGGATAAACAGTTGTCAATGGCAAGGTCCCAAGAATTCCACATTGGGTGATCATGAGTTGAGGGCAATGGAGGACTAGACTGTGGATGACATGAATGCACCAACATGATACGTTCGGCTAAAAGAAAGTTACGGAAAAGGGCAGCTACCATGAGATCCTGACGGAAAAGTCTTCGAAAAAGGTGTTTGGGGAATACGTTCCAGGCTATTGTATCTGTGATAGCTGTGAAAATCCAATTCAATTCACCAAGCGGAGTGCGGCGATCTTGTAAGCGACCAGGTATCTTCAAAAGCATATTCAAATTTAATTTGCTGGGAAACGGATTTTGGAGTACATACCATCGCACAGAAATTTCAATAGGGGAAGTCAAACAGGAGGTGAAAAGATCAGCAGGCAGATCAGGATTCATAGGAAGCGTTTCCTTTGGACCACATGCCGCAAGCTGTATACTGGTAGTATGGGATGGCATAGCCAGTATATTGGGATTTTGTTTAGCAAGACGAAAAGCCTCTCTATCTCTCTGTTCAGCAAATCGATTAAAGTTAGCAACGATATTTCCAGCAGCACTACAATCATAGACATAAATACAGGGTGCACCCAGCCATGTCTGTAGGTCATACAAAGACACTGGAATATATTGAGTATAGTTTTTATTAAACACCCATATTTCGCCAGAAGAAGTAGGCATAGGAACTCCATGGCCATTATAATGAAACAAGATGCGCTCTTCTTTAGCATTTCGGCGTTGTGCAATACAAAGCTTTTTTACTTCTTCAATTGCCGGATCAAGATAGTGACGGTATCTGGTACGCATACTGAGCGTTTCATACTGCTGTTGCAAATTCTTTCCTATAGCTTCTAATGCTTTAGAAGCAGGTAAAGAAAATGGATCAACCCAACACTCGTATTTAGCACAAGGGTTAGGTTTAATTATATCAGGAGGATCTACCCCTATGTTTAAGCACACTAACAAAGCTGCAGATATTGTTTTCAGCCTCTCGCGCATCCTCCAGTCATGTATAGTTTCCGTGGCTTCTGCAGTCTTTTTACTGATCACCCCGCGATGCCGTTTATCAGTATAATACATATAAAACACTTGTTCTAGCATATTAATATATTCTGCATTATTGTATTCTTCTTCAAACCCATGCCTGGGTTGAGGAAATGCAACTCCAAAACCATCATTAGCTGAACTTGTTGTATCCCCACCATTCTCTGTCATATAATTACTAGTCTCTGTATAACCATCACTCCCTGTCTCATTCGTATTATAGCTTAAAACAGACCTATGGGTCCTAGAGCTCGTGGAATGCTCGCTGTTTCGGTCATTCATATCGTGCAAACCAGATTTTTAATTCATACAATCATTTCTAATCTGTTCAAAGACTCCTATTTCCAATCTTTTAAAGTGTTTTAAGGAAAAATACGTTCGTAATTAGTAAATGGTTATAATGGATTCTGCTAAAGCAACTGGTGTTTAGCCGATATCATTGTAGGCTATAAAATTATTTAGTGAACTCTTTGGTAATATTAAATAGGCCGCTTGTTTTTGTTGCTGCTTTTAGTGTGGTGCAAGGCCCGATCTTTATTTCGAGCTGGATCACGACGTTGTAGGACAGTTACTATTTACCCTCAACAATACACAGCTTAGGCAAAATTAGAAGGGAAGTAATCTTGCTACTTTGGGTAGACGAGAGGGAACCTTCGTAAAAATGAGTTATTCCAAAAAAGATGAAGATAACGGTAAGTACAAGGGGAGATACGATGTGTGCTAATTGTCGTACTAGATGAGTCAATATTCTCCAATATAAATCAGGTTTCTGTAACGCAAGATGCGAGAGCATTTCACCAATCTTCAATCTCACCTCGGAAAAGCCGAATGTTGCTTTGCAAGATTGCATATCTACTGTATACTGGAGATCGATTTCCTGAGAAGCAAGCAACTGAGCTCTTTTTTGGCATCACGAAGCTTTTTCAGCACAAGGATCCTAGTCTTAGACAATTTGTGTATATTATAATTAAGGAATTGTCTTCGGTTGCGCAGGATGTGATTATGATTACTAGTAGTATTATGAAAGACACTGCTACTGGAAGTGAAGTGGTTTATCGTCCGAATGCTATTCGTTCACTCGTTCGAGTGATTGACGCGAACACTGTACCTGCTATCGAGCGTATCCTTACAACTGCCGTCGTTGACCCAGTTTCCGCTGTTGCTAGTGCTGCGTTGGTTTCCGCTTACCACTTGTATCCGGTAGCCAAAGATGTGGTGTCCCGTTGGAGTAACAAGGCTCAAGATGCTACGACTTCCCATATTGTTGGTAGAAAGGTTGCAAATTCGCCCTTTTTTGCTACTTCTCTAGGCTATACGCCTTCTTCCAGTGGTATTTCTCAATATCATGCACTTGCTCTTTTGTATAGAATCAGACAGTCAGATCATATCGCTGTCTTAAAAATATTTCGTGATATTGCTTCGAAAGTTGCTGGACTTTCAAATTCTCATGCTTTCGTCATGTACGTCCGCTATGTCGCTAGTCTTATGGATCAATATCCTGATATGCGTAAAGATATGGTTCCTCTGTTCCATAGCTGGTTGAAAGGTAAAGGTGATATGGTCAATTTGGAAATTGCCCGGAACATGGTTCGCTTAAAGACCCTTGACGATGAGGACATACGTCCCGTAGTCGCTGTATTAACCATATTTCTTACCTCTCATCGCTCTGCCGCTCGTTTTTCTGCAGTCCGTACTTTAAATGAGTTAGCCATGACTCGTCCTCATCTTCTCTACTCTTGCAATCCTATGATTGAAAGTCTAATCACTGATGCGAACCGCTCCATAGCAACTTATGCTATTACCACTTTACTTAAGACTGGAAATGAAGAATCTGTTGACCGTCTTATGTTGCAAATAGCTAACTTTATGTCTGAAATTCCCGATAACTTTAAGATTATCGTTGTTGATGCCATTCGTTCCTTATGCCTGAAATTCCCTCGTAAACAGGAGGCAATGTTATCTTTCCTTAGCAACATTCTTAGTGACGAGGGTGGTTACGAGTTTAAACGTGCTGCTATTGATGCTATTTTCGATATGATCAAATATATTCCTGAATCTAAGGAGAAGGCACTTGCAGAACTCTGTGAGTTTATTGAAGACTGTGAGTATCCTAAGATTGCAGTTCGCATCCTGTGTATATTAGGTGAAGAAGGACCTAGGGCTGCAGAACCGACTAGATTTATTCGGTACATATATAATAGAATCATGCTTGAAAATGCAATTGTCCGTTCTGCAGCTGTTAGTGCGCTCACCAAGTTTGGTGTTAATGCCAAGGACGACTTTGTTAAGCATAGTGTAAGAGTCATTCTTTCCAGATGCTTGGATGATGCTGATGACGAAGTGCGCGATCGTGCTGCTTTCAGCGTTAAAGTTTTAGATGACATGGATTCCTTCTTACCTTTTGTCAAATCTAATAAAGTTCCTTCTATCCCAGCATTAGAACGTAGTCTTGTTCTTTACGTTACTGGTGACAAATTTGATCAACCTTTCGACATTGAGGCCGTTCCTATGTTGACTCAGGAAGAAATTGATGCTGAGAATCTTAAAATCAAGAAGGCGTCTACTGAGATTGCTCATATTGCACCGGCTCCTACTGTTGATGAGAGTGCCGAAGAGGTTGTGAAAGCCGAAAACGAATTTAAATCTGTTTTGAATTCAATTCCTGAGTTCAGTTCTTTCGGTCCGGTTTTGAAATCGTCTTCCTTGATTGAGGTTACGGAACGCGAAACTGAGTATGTGGTTAAGGCCATTAAGCATATATTCGAAAAGCATATTGTCATTCAGGTAAGTTGATTGATCTCTTAATGTGAAATATGTTTTACTGACAGATTATAGTACCAACTCCATAATACACTTACGGAGGTTTTATTGGAGAATGTCACGGTTGGCTGCACACCATCTAATGAAAATCTAATCGAGGAATTTGTGATTCCTGCACCAGTTGCTGCCAACGAACCAGTCTCAATTTACGTTAGTTTCTCGTATGAAGGTTCTGAATTGTTCAGTACTCCTACAATTATTGAAAATGTATTACGATTTACTTCTAAAGAAATTGATCCTCATACGGGCGAAGCAGAAGAAGAAGGCTACGATGATGAATACAATATCGATAATTTGTGGCTTAAGTATGGGGACTTTTGCGTTTCTTCCACAGTTTCCAACTTTGATGAAATCTGGGAGCAACTTGGCCATGAAAGTTCCGCGGTTTATTCTCTTAGTGAAATTGAGTCTTTCAGTAACGCATGTTCTCACTTGGTGGAACTTTTGCAAATGCAACCTGTGGACGAAACGGATCATGTAACAGACGAAGAACCTTTGCATGTACTGAAATTATGCGGTGAGTTTGTTTCCGGAGGAAAGGTGCTTGTAGTTATAAAAATGATTCGTGCGAATGGCACAGAAGGTGTCACCATTAAATTAATTACAAGGGCTGAAAACGAGAAAGCTGTAAAAAGTTTGCCAACCGCTTTTGAAGGTTAAACAATGGAAACAAGTTACTTCATCCAACGAGAAACGAATTTCATGAAAGTAGATTTAATTCAAAGATGGAACCGACAATGCTATGTATAAGTGGAAGATAAATAGAAACAAAAATCTTAATTATATTAGGCAGACGAGAATGAATGAATTTTGAAAGAGTATCATATTAGTAGCTTAATTCGACAAGGAATTCACTGTTAGACACTGTATCAAGTATTAAAAATTAGTTGAATTATTTTAACCAAACAAAACGAACAAGCTGTAATGAATTTATGTGTAAAAAAAGTAAATAAAAGGAGTAGCATGGATGATACTCGTGGATTTGAAAGCATTAAAATAAAATAAGTTTCAACATCAAACATAACGGAATATTTCAAAGAAAAAGAAAATAACTTAACTCATGTAATGCAATGCTATGCGAATGAACTAAACGAAAAGGAAATTAGGAACGAATGAATATCGGGTGCTAGGACATAAGCAAGAGTGCTCACTCGGAAGGGGAACCAGCGAAAGGCACGATAGCATTACAAGTAGGGCAGGTATGTCTGTAATCCACAACCCATTTAGAAATGCAATTACGGTGGAATTCATGCTTACAAGGCAAAGCAATAACTTTATCGCCGCGGTTAAAAGCTTCAAGGCAAATGACGCATTCGACGCCATAGGCAGCACGCCGAGAAGATTCATCCATTAGAGGAACCGATTCTCTATCTGGGATATCATTTTCAATGTCTTCCTCGTCCTCGTAGAAGCCTTCTCGAGAAATCGTCCTTGACGGTAAGTTTTGGATAAATTCTTTGGTTTTAGAACGACTTTTGTAAGTACGGATGACACGACGAATAGCAAGTGCTTGGACAGTTGCAAGCATTATAATGGAAGGAGAAAAACATAGAAGGAAGGGCCAAAACATGTCACTGAGTTCCTCCGGTTTGGCATAGACTACGAGAGAGCGGTTTTCGGAATAGAGTATATCAGAATACAGAATGTTAAAGGAAGCGGTAGAAATAAATAGCGATGGAATTGAGACCTTTGAGTCTTCCTTTCCTGGTCCTACCATGTATTGTAGATGTGAAGAAGATTGTTTTCTGTTATCACCTACTACAATTCCTTTATATCCTAAACGTTGAGCATGAAGGGCTTTTTCAAAGAATGTACACTTCCCTCGTTGAACCATAAGAAAGCAGAGCGTGTCGTCATCAGTATCATCCTGTTCCTGTTTTTTCACGAAGTCAGACCAGTCTTCTTGCATTTTTCTAATAGCTTTCCTTTCTTCATCAACCGATAAAGACATACTTAATTGCTCATGTTTCATCTGTACGTCAGAGCAGCCTGTCATATCTTCTTGGAAATTGGAGGGTAAGGAGAGTTGAATCTTCGTCGTGTAAGAGCTATTAGTTAACCTCTTACCGAAACTAGCCTGCCTTGCCCAAAGTGTCACATTTCGTGCTGGAAGTTGCAGAGCAACATCTGTGCTAGCAGCAAATCGTTTGGGAGAGAAGATGTTGTCTAAAATCCCAAAATCAAGAGCAATGACTTCAAGCAATATGACATAACTTATGGAAGCTAATGTACATAATATAATGGAATAATTAGACATATCGTAAATTGCTAGAGAATGCGTTGCAAAGTCGAAGAGACAGGCAGCGGTGGAGTTGAATTATGAAGCAAACATCATCTTAAAGAAAAAATACCTCTTTACTATGATTCTTCGTTTTAAATGGAATATGATAAAGACGATGATGGTTGAACTGTCACTATCAAAAGAGAAAAACAAGAGCAGAAAGGCGCTTTAAAAAACAACTTTTTTTATAGAAACTCCTTAATTTAGTAGGATGCAGCCTTTGTTTAAACGGACTTCCATCACCATTCAAGCATGACGTATAAAATAAACAAATCAATACGGGCACAAAATCTCGCTGTTTCATCAAGCTGGAAGCGTTTCTTCAGTAGAGCATGATTTAGAACAGGAAAAAGGTGATCCATCAAATTGTACTCTTGTACCAGAACATATAGATATTAGCGAGACGTCCTATAAACAATTGCATTAACGACCTTTAGTGAAAGCTTTCGCTGTCGTTATACAAAAAATAAAAGTGAAAAAGTTATTGACGAAGGTGGGGTTCGAACCCACGCCCACAAACGTAGACTAGCAGTTGCTTTCACCTGAAGCTAGCGCCATAGACCACTCGGCCACTTCGCCTTGAGTTGATAGTAACCAAAGTAAGACTCTTATGACTAGTTCCAAAAGCAAGGAGAGAAACAGTTTATCTTAGCTTATTTTTCCCTTGCTTTTCTAATAAACAAAGGAAAAAAATGCATGCGAAGAAATCTGTTGCAAGCTTCCATTTGTAAAATTTATCTATACACAAGAAGAAAATATCTTATTTTTTTGGTGAAATAGTTCTTTGCGTTTCACATCATGTTGTTATGGTACAATTTTTGAATGAATGACATTTTGTAGTTATTGAACCATTTACATTTTTCAAGGATTGCTTTTCTTAAATTCTGTTGGTTTTAGCGCCTTTGTTATTATTATTATTTGGTTTTTTTTTTTTTTTTTTTTTTTGTTTGAAGTTTTGATTATTTATGTCGGTGAATCGTCTTCCGTAAATTAAAGTCCATCCCATTGATTCAAGGAAAATTTGAAAAGTACTGACTAAATCTTTTCTATGTGAAAGAGTTTCATCAATTGATTCTATTTTAGTGCTTTCTGCATGAATTGGAATTAACTGTATCACAATGTGACGATTTGAGAACGATGGCGTCCATTGCCTTGTCCAATCTCAACTCAGTTTTTTCAGTCAGCCTTCAGATCTTTTGAATTTATGTTCAAATATATTGACTACCTAGTCTATTCTGATTTTTTTTTCTCTCTCAAAAAAAGACGAAAGATCTTAATAAAGGAACTGAGCATTACAAATTGGTTGGGTTTTTCGTTACTACCAACAGTTCTCTCGATGGTGTAGTTGGTTATCACACCCGGCTGTAATGTTCAAGATACCGGTTGGTCGCTAGTTCGAATCTGGCTCGAGAGAT